TGGATGAAGCAATAATGTATTGTTTATTAAAAATTTTTTTTTTTCAATAAACGAGATTGGATGCATTTTGTTCTTAGAGTAGCATATCGAGCCTAAATTTAATTTTACATTAGAATTTTCATCAGTCATCGACTTAGTACTGGTGATTTTGTCCCAAAAATTCTATAATGTACACGCTTTTTGAACATTTACAGCAATGTATTGAGATCTTGACGAAAAAGCGCTAATAATGAATATGCAATTATGTAAAAGAGCTGGTAATTGTTTTTCACCTTCGGATCGAATATTGGATGTGACGTCCTTTCACCTTGCCGACAAAATTGAGGCTAATTTTTCAATATGATCAATTCGAACGTCCTTTTTTTTTCTTTTCAATACTGTCATTGTAGCCAAGTCCAAAATGAAATTATTAATTTGGCCGGATTATTACAAAAAAAAGGACGGAAGAAGTAATCCTGTTTCAGTGGAGCAAAGTCACCGACAGAATTTTTAATAAAGAAAAGCCAATTGGATTTTTCTTTTCATCGAAAAGTTTTCTCGCTCGGTCTCTGTCGCGCGCGAGAGCCGCTCGTGTGTGTATTTTTTGCCTTCGTCATAGTCAATAGAAGCAAATATCGGACACACACGCGTGTGCAAATCAGTTTATAAATATATAGAGCCGTACATGCGAGGCAAGGCAGAGACTTTCTCGCTATTGTCCTGCCTATAGAGCACACGCGCGCAGACACAGACGAAGCCGGTGCGTTGAAAAATTTACATATCATTGGCTCGAGAATATAACGCAGCAGCAAGACGTAGCTTGGTGTAGCTGCCACTAGTCGGTAACGGGTATAAAATCGATCGATCGAACATTTGTATTATAAAATGTTCGTGTGTTTAGGTGGCTGGTTGATTCTACAGGTCTGCAGCGACGACGAAGACGACGATGACGCCTCGTCAGTACTCGTGCAGGATTTCATACGTACGTCGATAATTCCAATCCCAAACAGGAGCGACTCGACGTAACATTTTGAGAAAAAAAGTATAAGCGAATTCAGAGTGCGATTCTCCAGCGATATTTTCCTAGCCTATCGAGAGGAGTAAAGCGAAACCGCATTTAATTTGTGGTCCTTCGGAGAGGCGACTAATTCGACGAGACGCGCGGCTTGTTAACGAAAATAGCTCCGGCGGTCGTAGGCGATCATTAAAATTGCATCCAATCCGTTGGTCCGACTCGCTGTGACTGTTTACGATCGGCTTTTACACTCGTGCCGGCTGTGGGCCCTGCTACAACTCTCGGGCCAGAGAAATTGATAAAAAATGAGCTTTTCCCAAAAACGTCTTTGCGCGCGCGCGCACAGGACGACATAGTAGAGAAAGAAAATAAAATTAATGACGTCGAAGAGTAATTCGCGCGGACGTGTATAGCCGGTACGTATAGTCGCTGTACGTCGTTGAAGCACGCCGAAGAGCCGAGCTAGCGACGAGCGTTGAAGGAGAGTAAGAGAGAGAGAGAGAGATGAAGAAATGTGCGACTTGCCGAGGAAAAAAAGCCGAGGCGCTCAAAATTTAAAGCACGACTTTTTCATTCCTGTATAATACACATGAGATATGTACGGCACGTGATGTGAAACTCGAACAAGTAAGAAATTCGCGTGTCAAACGTGTTTGAATGTCGCAGGCTCGCCGTCGTCCCATCTGTATACATACGTATCGCCGAGCATTTGCTCGTAAATGACTGTTTATTTCCGTGGGAAATGAGAAAAATTGTCTGCGCGAGAAATGTACACGTACAATTGCTACGCACCACCAGCGCCATATAAGCTGTACTCGCTACGCTACGTCCGCACCTTGAAAAGTATATCAACCAGATGCTATATTATATAGCGTACTTCGTGAGCAAAGTCGAGTAACAAGCCATATGCTACATAATCACGTGCGTACTCCATTATCCTTGAGCATCGGGAGCGCAGAGGGACGAGCGGCACATTTTTTATCCTCCCTAATGCGCGCAGCTCGAGCTTCGTATCCGCGCGCGCGCGCGACTACTTAACATCCCCGAGAAAACAAATGCGGCCACTGTACACGCGCTGACAAAAAAAAAAACTGTATCAACTTTGTCGGTATATACATGTGTCGTGCGCGCGCGAGCTTTGCTTGTACGTACACTCGCATGTGCCTTTTTTTTTTGTTGTATTCGTGCACACGCGGCCCGTCGCGATGGCGTTGCAAGACTCCATTACGCGTCCATTATTCGTCATTTATATGCGAAAACTTATCTTACCCACTCGCAGCTTATATTGCCCTTACACGTATAGATTTCTCCGGGCAGCCAACCAGTGTGTTTGTGTGTGTAAGTAACTAAGTGTGTTAGTGTACGTGAGTGGTGCGGCAGGAGTTTCTAAAAATAAAGCTCGTATACATCGAATAAGCTGCAGCGTAAGGAAAACTTGAGCTCGGCTAAGCGAGCTTAGCCAATATATAGCTCGTCTCTGTGTGCGTGTGAGTGAGTGAAAGTTTGTGTAATCACGCGAATCCTTGCCTTTTTTTCGTACCTTGAGAATAAAAAAAAAACGAGCCAATTCGAAATTAGACATGCATAACGACAAGTCGAGTCGAGCTCTGCTTTTCGCGGATCCTTTCAAAATTTTCTCAAACTGAGTCAAAATATATTTGATTTAGACCATTTTACTACCATTACTGACAATTTATTATGTTATCTATCACGTCTTTTAACTATAATGATTCAAAAATAATTATCTCTTTATGACAGATTTTTTAATATTAATTAAATATTTCTAATTATAAAAGAGTAAAAAAATTTAGTTAGTGTGACATTCTTACAGAAAATTAGTGACACATTTGAAAGCCATTGTTTATACATTTCATTTTACATCTCACCTCTATATCTAGCGTAATATTTTGAAGACACTTATGTTTGTTTGGATGATTTTTATTACTTTTTATAAGTGTAAGTGAAGCTTTGTGTTCGCAATATGGTGCGACGTAACAACAAAAATTAAATAGACTATTTATACACCTTAGATCAGATAGAATTGACATTTTTTATTATTTCTGTAAACAAAACTTTCTTACTATTGTATATAATTCTCCTATATTTTTGAAGAACTCATTTTGGTTTAATACTAAACCTACAATCTAAAATAATTTTAGATTGTAGGTTTAGTATTAAACAAAAATGATGACCATTGAAAAAAATTTACGCATGAATACGCAATGAAATGACGAGTGACACTAAGGAAGAAAATTCATCGAAAATTAACGTTATTCCTGAAAAAAAAAGAAGCAAATGTAGATACAAAAATTTGTTGCTAAAAAGAAAATAAGTGACGTTCTTCAGCCAAGTGAATGTCTGAGAGGGGAAGGAAGGGTATAAATAATTCTATTTTATTATTTCTGTTAATTGTTATTGACTAAAGAAAATACATCAGTCATTAAAACTTAAACACTGAGAAAAAAAATTCATTGATACAATGAAAATTTAATTAAATACAATCTATGAAAAAATTTCATTGAAATAATCTTTTTTTATTTCATCCAACTAAAGTTTCATGAAACGTTGGTAAAAACAATTAAATATTTTGTTGGATAAAATAAAGAAAGATTATTTCAATGAAATTATTTCATAGATTGTATTTAATTAAATTTTCATTGAATCAATGAATTTTTTTTCTCAGTGAATAAATACACCAATTCTATACAAGCATCTTTTATTATACTTTCTCAATTTAAAATAGGTTTCATAATATTACGAATTAAACAAACTTTTTTTAAGGATATTATCAATGAAACCGAGGAAATCGAAAATAAATGTTCGCACGTCCATAATTAACTTTACAATTATTTTACCTTACTTATACACTTATTTTGACTTTGCCACTTACAGATTTCTACATATAAATACTCACCATCTAGGGGAGGCAGCTTAGAGTGAAATCATGGAATATTTAAAATAGTTGAAAAATTGGTATAACTTTGTTTGAAACAGTAAATCGTTACATTTTTGCACTATAAAACACACTAAATATCTTAATTAATAAATACAGTCGTTCCTCTTTGGCATTGAGAATAAAAAAATATTTTGTAATACATTTTTCATAACTTTTAAAATGTTTCATTACACTATGTTCGTACTACGGACTACCCTTAAATAAGTTTCCTTATTCAAGTAAAGAATAAGGTTATTTCTGACTTGAGATCAAATCGCTTATAATAAATACGCGGCATTTGGTAACCACTCCAATATTTTCTTCGGATTTTTTATTCGCCTAATCGAGCACTAAAGTTGCAGCGTCAACGCGCGCTTCGCCGTCGTCGTCGACTTCCAAGGCAATTGGCGTCCGGCGTGAGAAAGCTCGGGCTTTCTTTTTGTATAAAATACACAACGGATATTATCAGGCCTTTGATGTATTTTCGTCGTGCACCGCGATGAATAATCGTTGGAAATTGGCTCAACGCAAACTCACTTGGAGAAAAAATTGAGACGTCTTTTTTTCATCGCAATCGTGAATATAATTTATTGTCGTACCCTTGGAGCATGATATTAACGAATGACTCATATTTTGTGCTTTATTATGCGAGAAATTCATCGAATTCCCAAATAGCAATTTTATCGACTTTGCGGACTTTGCTGACTTCTTGAATGCATTCGAGGGATGTCATGAAAATCAACTCTTGGAATGCATTCATGCTCCAATTGTACTCGATTGGCCCCCAGAAGAATGTGAAAAAAATTACCGTTACTTTACTGCCATCTATCAAGAGTCGTTCGTGGATTTGATCGCACATGCTGCATGATATCGATTTAACCAACGGTTGATAATGTCGAGCCTCTTACCTTCAAGTATATATAACAAGCAGAATCGAATCCATGCTTGGGGAAAAGAAATGCTTGTTTTCAGCTGCAGGACACTCGCACAAAATAATCCAGAAATACGAGGCAACTTGTAAATTTTCTTAAATACTTTATTTTTTGGTTTTTCATTATATTTATCGAACAGTTGTGTTAACTAATAATTCTACATGATTCGGAATTTTTGATCTTCGCTTGCGACGCTTTATTTTTCTTACGATAAAATTTGACACTGTAAGGATATTTTAGTTAAAAGGTTGAACATTGATAAATTATTAATTCTTATTGTTAATCGTGATCGACATTGAAGTATAGTTTTTTGAACATTCAATGCTATATAGTTTATTTTTTGCGATTTGAGCTCCTGGCAATTTTAAATTAAAGCAACGAGAATAATGATATTGCCTGGACACTCAAAGCTCTCTTTAGACTAGCTACAACTAATACGCTGAATTAAAAATGTAATTCATATCTAATTTCGTTATTAGTGCTTTGACCGAATTTTCGAATTTTACTTGTATTGTTTAAATTTTTCTTAATATATTTCTGTACTTGATCTGAGCTAGCAATCAAATTGTATCATTATTATTAATGAATTTTATAGGGTTAGTATACGAAAATAGATACTATGCTTTTGAATGACAAATGTACATTTTTATTATTATAATACATCATTTTCAACAAAACGTTATAAAATCAACGTCTAGTGTCATTAAAATCTAAACTATAACATTTTGTACAATATAGGAAACAAAATAACTGAAGGATCAGATGCCTGTAAGAATCGATGTAATTAAAATACAATATAAACGTTTAGTTTCAACGGCTCGAAGTCTTTTAACTCTTACATTTTCAGTTATAGTTATATTAATATATTTGTTTATACGCATAAGGTACGTACGTATATAACTATGTCCAATATTACACGAGATTAAAATACAGTCATATTTTGATACATTATCTATGTTAGCATACCATATGGAATGAGTCAGAGTTTTTATTAAAAAAAAACATCAAACAGCATAATAATGTTCACGTTGGCCTAGCGAAACTATTATCGGACATGTTGATTTCTTTATTTGTTTACTTTTGTCTTTTGTTCGCGGTGGTATAAATAAAAAGTCGTCTATTTGTACGATTTACAATTGTCGTGGACTGTACAATATCCAATGCGCAACACTCACGTCGATAAATAAAATACATTCAAGCGTCTATCGAGTTATACAATCGTGCGTACAATACACATTGCTAAATGTACGCAAGGGGGTGGGTCATAATCATTTCGATAGTTGTACTGAAAAAAAGGCGTCTTTCGACGAACGTCGACTTCTTCTACAGCACATGACAATAGTACGCGGACACAAGGTAAAAGGATGATACTCTGTCGCCGATGCTCGAGATCGAACTCGGTGACGATCGAGCTAACGGCTGCACGCATCGTAAGAGCCTGAAAGCCAGCGAGGTGACCAGAAGAGAAAAAATCCGAACGAACCCCGGGAAAGAATAAAAACAGCGAGGAAAAATGGAAGATGCGGTGGTGGGCTGCCAGGTCGGGGCTCACTGCATCATGAGCTCGTCGAACTGTCGCTGCAGCTGGTCGTGCTCGAGGCTGCTGTCGGCCGCCGAGGAGTCCTTTTTCCGCGCCATTATCGAGCTGCCCGGATAGGAGGAGCGTTTGCCCACCGAGTCGAGGAGGCGTCGGTTCTCGCTGATCTGTCGCTGGTCCTCCATGGCCTTGCGCCGGGCCAGCTCCAGCAGGACCCGCTGACGCAGCACGTCCACCGAGTTGACGATCGACAGCGAGCCCATGCGCTTGTCGCGGCCATTGCTGCTGCTGCTGCTGACGTTCGAGTCGGCTTCGTTGCTCGTCGTCCCCGTGTCGTGCTCGTTCAGATACTCCAGCATATCTTCCATCGACTTTCCCTGTAATTAATTGACAGTTCTGATCATAATGTTCGACGGTTCATTTTCACGGGCTACGAGTTCGATCGATGAATTCTCACTGCTCATCCAAGTCCTGAACTTTGTTCGCGCCTCGAGGGAACGAGCCGACTAATTTATATACGCTCGCTCGATCGGATCGATATACGGTTAAAAATACAGCCTTTGTCGCTATTTTCTTTTTTGCCCGACCACGCAGTCAAAGTTTTATACACGCGCGGAACAAAGTTGAGAACAAAGAGAAAAAAAATTCGATACCTCGGCAACGAAATCCTTCTGATTGACGAGTAAGATGAGAAGAAATCGATCGCGATCAACCGGGATCTGTAGGCTCTGAATGGCGGCGTTGTGACTGCTCGTGCGCGCCAGTGGTCCGGCTTGTGCGAGTCCAACCAGAGTCGTCGTGGCCAGCAAACTCAGCAAGCTCATCATGCTGCACCTTCGCTGCTGCTTGCCCATGGATCGAGTCTGGAAAAATTCATCAATAACGCCATAAAATAATCATCGTTAGATTTTTCAATTGACATTATATTTTTGATACTACATTTCTCATACAAATGCTTAATAGTATATAGATAATGGCCTACTGAACAAAAAGGGGCTATTTGACACGTTTTAAATTACCTTGCCATTAATTGGCTTGTTTTTGGCGATTTTTATATTACAATTATATTGCAATTTATTGATTATATGACGATTGTAAGTCGCATTATAAATATCCTGAAAATGTCAATTTGATTGTCTCGAAAATTTTTAACTACTTTACAATCAAAACACATAAAAAATTGCTGCACAGCTCCTACCGCTAGATGGCGAGTGCCTTCATCTATAGACTTGCAAGTGGTAAAATAAAAATAATTGTATAAGAAAAGCACCGTTTCGAAATTTCTTCTATTATCAAATATTCGATGTCTTTTCCTTTTCTGCAATTTGAAATTGGAAATTAATTTTCAAATTAAGCAATACTTATAAATTTTTCTTAGTTGAAGCATAATTGATGTTATTAATACATGCGCATCTTCGACCAAAAGATATTAATCTTGACAAATTTGAGGCATATCTCTTATTTTCAATGTTCAATGCATAATTAGAAATGATTTGAGCATATTTGCTCGCGCATATTTCGAACGCGTCATAATTTTATTTAAAGATGAATTAAATTTCAAAAACATTGAAACTTTCCATGAAAATTATCTACGTTATTACCCAACGATTAACGTGATTATTTCTTTTTACTCGCACAGTGAAGATGAAACATTGGGATAAAAAGTCCGTTGGATCTGTAGCAGAGAAAATCAAAGATGAAAATGTTCGCAAGTACTGGTAAAAAGTACGTCACTAACGAGAGCCACCACTGCAAGTAGATGTAAAAAAAAAAAAAAAAAAAAAAAAAAAAAAAAACAAAGAACGCGAAAAGAGAAGGCCGTGTAGGTACGCTGCAGCGCTGTTCGGTAATGAGATACATTATTCACGCGTGCAGCGAGGATGTATGCATATTTCATAATTCTCCGAAAGAAATATTCGACGAAAAAGCCGGATTTTCGAAGAAATGCGAGCCGCTGCAGCTTAACGACGAGCTACAGCGAGCGCGAGCTTGTGAAATTCGGTACAGCTATGCTATGCAGTATTATATGTGGAGCGCCGCGCGCAAAACAAATGCGTGATTAAATTTTAATCGAACGATCGCGCGCACTTCATACGTATTTATTTTAATGGGGTTTAGCTATGCTCGAGCGCGTCTGAGTCTGTGTGTGTGTGTGTATGAGTGTGTGTGTCACGGATCAGACGCGTGGTGCAAGTGGGCGAGTCGTCGTCGCATCGGTCCGTCGCAGTCGTGCCGTCGCCAACTGCTCGACGACTATACTACCACCACTATATATGCTCGATTTTTCACGCCAACTTTTATCTCGCTCTCTCTCTCTCTCTCTCTCGGTTATTATCTGCTGCCTCGTGCACATCCGAGCGATTGTCAACGTTTTCATTATAAATCCGAGAGTCGGAGACACTGTTTCGCGCGGGCGCGCGAGAGCAACGTGTAATTATACACTTTGGTATTTCATTGTATTTCAGCTGCTGCGCGATATTTCTACCTGTCGATCCGGCCGACATGCAAGCTTGAATACGTAATCGCGCGCCGCTGCACGTCAGCACGTATTATCTCATCGGATCGCAAGCTCCTCCCGCTTTTTTTTTTTTTTTTTTATTATATTGTATATCGACGACTGAATTGTTCCGAGCTTCCTATTCTGCATTGGCAGTTGGCGTAAACGAGCGAGCTCGTCGACTAAAAAGTCGCAAACATTTATAAGGATCATTTTCCAAGCCCAGTTTGTGTACGCAGATCGGCACGATTCATCGACGAGCTAAATGTAGCAAAGACAGTATCTGCCGAGAACGTCGGGACGATTTCGTACCCTCGGCTGGTTATTTTTACTCTGGCGTAATAAGTTGCGTCGTCGTTGTCGTCGTCGTCACGTGATCCCTTCATCTACGGTCAAGAGCTCGAACTCTCGCGCAGGCATGTTAAATGAAAAAACAAAATATAAATATAAACGAAACTTCAAAGGCGCGTCCGGCCGTGGAAATGCGCCCCTGCAACGTCTTACCATATCATTACTCGTGCTACTTGCATGCGCCCATATTTTTTTCTCTCTCGCTCTCTGTGCTCGGTCAATTTGCACCGAATGTATGTGATATTCATGAAAGCGTAGCCGAGCTTGCGTTGCGCTATACTTCGTGTCGCATAATTAGAGGCAAACAACTTGAGCTGCAGTGCTTCTTTAAATTACGTCCACATTTCGTATACGCGCAGACACCTACACGCATGCACACAGGCCAGTGGCTGCGATTCTCTCTCTCTCTCTCTCTCCCGGAGAAAAGAAAGCTAAAAAGTTGACTGTAAAAATCCAAGTGCGCAGGGGTGCTTAATTTTCAGGAAATAATCATTTTATACATCGACTGTATGCACTTGGTTAAACGACGCGAAGCTCGCACTCGCTCGACGATACCGAGCTGAGCTTGAGCTTTTTTTATCATTATGAATAGCGCGCGAGTTCGAGTTCCAGATGTCAAACGAAAATTTTACATTCGTTTCAAGAGCCTTCGCTGCGAAAGAGATTTTTTAAAGAGCTTCAAGTTGAAATTTCTGCCTTTTTTGCTAAATTACCACCTGAGAATCTAATCGTCCGAGGATTTGGGCCATTAATTCGTTTAACTCGAGACGGGACCAAGCTAAAATAAAAATGATGAATTCTTAGCAGTGATTTTCAATCTCACTAAAAGTACACCTCGGAAAAAACTGTTGAATATTTTGACTTCTTCGCGTGTCATCACTTTATTTCATTTGCTGTTCATTTATAGTAATATAATATGTGCCCATTTTCAATTCAATTGTTCAATTGGTTTGTGCACAAAACTACAATTTTGGTGGGTGACATTTTGTGTATTTAACATTTTTGATAAATAATTTAAACTTGAAATTAGACCTACACTTCAATAAATTTGATGTTGTTATCTGAAGCGGATGAAATTCTTGCCTAATATTTAATCAGCCCCTGCATAAGATCAAAAAGAGAGATTCATACTGAAGGTGCCGTGTGAATTGATAATTTTTCAAGTCAATAGAAAGAAGAGAAAGTTTCTGTTCAGTAACTGAAAAACAATTAATACAAGCTCACAGAGTTCTTTGGAGTTCAATTAGCATTCGCTAAAGAGTAAAACAACAGAAATGACTTTCAGTTTGTATGATACTAAACTTGGGCAATAAGCTGTACATTCTTAGTTATAGATGTAAATCAGCATGTAATGTACAAAATCACTGCATTTTTCAAGTTAATAATAGCCAGTGGCTTTCAATTGATTTTACGTTTTGAATTTCATAAAAAAATTGAAAAATTGTTACAAAGTAAAAAAATTGTTACAATTATTAAATTCGTGTTGTCATGTCCAAAAAAACAAATAGTTTTTCAACGCTAGGATCTCAGTTGACAGTTGAAACTCGGGTTGATACGTAATAAGTTTTGCGTACGTAAAACCTACGGCAGCCGTAGGCGACAGTGACTGAAATCGAATCAATTCTAACTCAAATTTTATAATAAATCTAATATCAATCACTGACAACATTCTTATTCTTCAATACAATATGATATTATTTAAATGCAACAATGAATAGAAAATCACAACTCCCACGTATTTCCTATTTTTGAATTTGTGCTCTCAAAATCATACAGCATAAATCCTCCAAATTTGTTTCTCTTCTTTAGTTGCCTTACGTAACTCGAAAACTGATTTAGTTTTTTCTCTGAAGCGAGTCAAATTTATACATGGACTGATTCGATTCTACGCAGTATTTTAGGTAAAACTAAATCAATCCATTACCGAAGCTCAACAGTTGGTCTACGTCATTTTACACGCATCTAGACTGACGTAGTTCACATGGTTGAAAATAATCATCACAATCAGGACGAAGAAATGATGCTCAATACGTTTTTCTTCGCATTCGTGAAAATAGCTCTACTCTAATTTACGGATCTACGCAGCGTATGTGTGATTGCATACAGGTGTAGGAAGGCAATTTCGAATCTATATACGGAGGTCAAGACGTCCTGCGCGCGATTCATGAATTCGATTGACAGTAGTATTGAACGCCACACACACGCATCTATCCAAACTAGCCGTTTGATTACGATACAGTAAATGTTTTTTTATCCGCCTTTCCTTTTCTCCTTTGCAACGGGTATAGATATGCTGCTCTCTGACAATCGCGCATCTGATGATTCGATAAAAAAAGAGGAAAAAAGCTCGAGCGTGGCCATGGACGTACATTCCGTTGGTCGGCGTAAGAAAATCCTGCAAGAAACATCCGAGCTGGGAGAGCAAATTTTATTTCTCGATGACAAATTCGAGACGACGATCTCGAGCTAGATACGGGGCAGTTTCGTTGGCTTAATTAAGCGTTGCACACCCACACTTGCACGAGTCCGACTACGAGAATAGAGCCAACGAAGAGGATATCAATTTGCCCTTGCGCGTACGCGAAGAAAAGTGACTTGAGTCAACAAGCCGTCGATGACATGATTTTTCTGTTTCCCGAGCGCACAAAAGCTTTAGTGTTGACAAAAATCAACACGCTATACTTGTTGCGCCCACGCGTCCAGCTCTCTCGCGTTTTATTGCACGGTAAATATAATAATACACGTATAGCGGCTTGATTAATTTCCTCATCCCCTCTCGGCTCTCGCCTCTGTTCTCTGCTCCGGTTCGCTGTGCAAAAAAATAATTTTTTTTTCTAGCTAGTGCGACCACTAGAAAAACCTTAAGCCCCCGACTGAAGCATGTAATACGTATCAATTTTCATCCGAAAATTACAACTACCTCGCTACATACGTAGCTCGTGCCTCTAGACAATAATTTTTCCGCTTATACGTGTACATTTCTGAGAATAAGTACTTATACACTTGCTTATGGGCGGGGTAATTTTGCCTCGAAACAGTCGAAACGGTAAGTACGGCAACAACAACAATCGTATAACTCGAGGCAACTAATGCCCAACTTTATTATAAGGTCGCAGTCTTGGCTACTAAGTACGCTCGTCTCGGCGGAAAAAATTACCCAACTTTGATAAATTTTATTTTTTACGATCGCTCTAAACTCGAGTACATTATAATGCGTGCGGAGGCTTTTCTTCTTCTTTTTCGTGCGTTTCGAGATCTCCGTGCGACCGACGAATCGATCGTGCATCGAAGTTTGCGCGACGTGTAATCGTTGCGACGTTGTTGTTGTTGTTGTTTCTGCCAAAGGTGTCATCAAACATGTATAAGGTTTCGACGCAAAGGCGTGCACTGTCGCAGAGCGTTGAGCTGCCATTCGATCGCCCGGTTATATACTCGCGAATTAAAGGCGAGTCGATTTTTTATTTTCAACGATAGACGCGGCTTTCGAAATAATGCACGCCAGCCCCGGTTTTTCCATCTTTTTCCCCCTGTAATCATGCGAAAGTCTATTTCTTCGGAGCCACGGGAAATTTTTTCTTACTCATACGCGGTCATCTGATGTATTTATAAGTCATCGTAGGCTATTGCGGCTGGCGTACACAAAGCGTATTGTGTCCCGTAGCCAAAGATCAGCTTATATCCTTCTTTTCTTTTCTCAACAAAAAGCGAGTTATTAATTCGGCTAGGTAAGAGACATAAAGAATTACGGCGATGGAATCGTTGGATCGACAAGTGTTGGCCGTGCAGATCACGTGCGGTACGTAATACGCTCTCGCGTCTCATTGATATCGATGAAAAACGTTTAATTGTTTTGTCGTAAAAGCGCGTTGACTGCAAACATATATATCGGCCGACGAGTGAGCGACGTTTCTCCGCACTCGCTCGATATATAGCTGAGCTCGTGTAAGCGAAGATCTTATATGGCCCGTCGGAGGGACATTCGCGCAAGCTCGAGCTTTTCATTGCATTTATGTATCGTATATACGACTGTAGGAAAGAGAGAGTGAGTGAGTGAGAGAGAGCTTAGATCGCTGCACAGGCGGAAACAGAGAAAGCAATAGTCAACGAAAGCTGATATCGCCGGGAGGGAAAAAAACCCTTATAAAGTTCAATTCGACGAGAAGAATATAGCCCCGCGCCCGCGCATATATCTCATGATTAAAAACTATTACTTTTCCCTTCCAGCCCCCTGGCCTCCTCGTCGCACCAGCTCTCCCTCCGCCAGCTCCTTTCCCTTTTTTTTTCTCTCCCGAAAAGAATAAAAGGCGAGCTACGTAGCAGCTGTATAGCTTTATCGTATAAAGTATATATACGTCGAGCGAGCCGATTTTATCAGCTGATCCGAGGGAATAGATTTGTGCACTTTATGTGTATGCATTAGTGACGCAAGTTGTCGAAAGAAAGGAAGGAACGGTGTGCACCTATATAAGGAGGCGGAAAAAATCGTATTTCCGCGATCCGGCTGCGTATCTCCGGCTTTTATACGTACGATATAAATGACAGAAAACAATATGCATACGGAATTCAGTCGAGTAAATACTCGAGCTCGACATGGGAATGGCTCATTTTTCTATTCGAACAAGCTCGCGAGTGTAGAATTTATTTATTTCTTTCTCTCGCTGCGTCTCGATACGTACCTCTCCAGTCGATTCGGAAGGCAATGTCGAGTCAACCGATGCATCGGAAAATCAGCCGATTATTATTATCGTCGTCGTCATCTGATTTTTTCCTGTATATCGTTGTTTATTCGAGGCAGCGTAGCGCGTAATTACATCTTTCATATGTTACTTAACGCAATTTCATCGATAATCCGAAATATTTCCCTCGGTAATGACGAATTGCATCTGTACGAGAGCTCAGCGTGAATATTGAATGATCGCACTGAATAGGCCGAGCGGCCGGGGCGAATAATATCTCCGACCTCTGCCCTGATTATGTTGTACGATAAAAAATCATTATTTGCCCTGTAAAAACTAAACGATGACTGTGAATATTGGTGGATTTTTTCGCACCCCGACGAGGCAAAAAAAAAACACTTGCGAGTAGACGAAGCTCATTAAATATTGAACAAAGTAATTCATTGGCGCGTCTAATTCAGTCGCAGCAAACAAAAAAATTAAATATTCCTGCCGTCTGGAGCCTGTCACTCGCTCGTCAATTGTAATTTCAGTGTGTATATAGTGCCAAATCTCTGATCCCCAGTTGTTTTACATGAATATTTCGGCAATCGTCCTGGGATCCGAGAATAAATTGTCAAAGTTTTGAAAATACACTTTTCTCTCGTCACCGCGCTTCAATGGAGAATCGTACTTATTTTATTTCTTTCAATCGATGTTTCCAAGTATTCGAATGATTGAAATAATATTTGTAACGTTGCACAACACAAAGACACTTTTCGACCGCAAAGAGTTGCGCATCCACGCATTGTTATAACAAAAATACGGCAGCAATATTCGGAAGCATGAAAACATACATTTTAATGTATTTTTCTATCCCCGGAGATGTATAAATTTGTGTGCGGGATTAGAAAATACGTACGAACGGCAACGAAAATAAAAAGAAACGAAACGAAAGCAAAAAATCGCTGCACAGAGCGAAGAGCAGTATCAAATTTTTGCAAGATATCGCACGAACATATAGAAATCCTTCGATTACTTCTACGTTTTGTAACTTGTTAAAAATACCGGAGAAAGTATCGGCACGGGCCTTGTGGGAAATATCTCGCAACTTTTGCTCGTTTATTTAGCAGCAATCACACGCGAAAATTTTTCCCTTCGATTTATTCGCACAAAGTTCGTAGCTCCATGAAATTTCAATTAGTAGCAGCATTACACAAAGCGTACCGTTGTACGCGTGGAATTTCGCGTTATTAATTTGCGCATTTTCTACATGATAAATTAATGTCAATATTGATTTTCGAGCGGAAAATGAAGCTGCACACAACAACGTGTATATTAATGCACATGCAGCATGATCCGCAAGGGGGCTGGAAATAATATCTTTTGCTCGAGGTGTGTCTCGCAAGATAACCCTTGATCATTTCTCGTGCGCGTCGCTGAGTAATGGGATAAATATGCATCGGCCGAAGACACCAGGGTGTGTTGACCCATGCTCTAATTAACTCTCCATGGTACGTCGTAGAGCCATCGTGACTGTTTTTCTCCCCCTCGTAAGCGATTGACGAAAAAAAGGACTCGTTCGAACGCGTCAATTTGATCCTTTATAGGCACGAGAAAGCACCGGCAAAGCTTTTTTCCCCGAGGAATTAATTTAATACGCGTCAGAAAAATCTCTTTGACACTTTCTTCCTGACTCTGCTACGAACTTTATGAACAGACGCGGACTCCGTTGGCGGAGATTCGATTGGAAAAATTAAATAAAAATTGGTGTAACGAGCGAGAGCGATACCGAGCTAAAAGCCGATACAAAAAAGCTCGCAGAGTTGGTGACTTCAAACGAGAAAGAAAAGGCGTAGGTGCAGTACAAAACGCGTCGTCCTGGGCTATTTGCGGGCTGACACAACGTGAACGCGGAATTACGTTACCTTGCACAAAGATGATCAAGGATCACTTTCAAATCGAGCAAAGAAAAAAATTAAAAACTTGGAAAAATATGGAAAGGAAATAATGGCATAAACTCACCGATTATTCTTTGAAATGTCTGGAAAACGGCTGAAAGACACCGGAGAAAAGTGCACCACAAAACGTTGAGTCTCTCTGTCCGTCTGTCTATCTCTTGCACAAAAACTGCTTTTCGGTCGGTCGGAATCACTGGTCAAAAGAATCGGAAAACTTAAAAGGCGGGCGCAAAAAAAGCTCGACTTGCGGTGCTGCTCTCGGTGCGGGGGGACACGAGCGTTTGTGTATGCGTATCGTGGCCAGGTGCTACTTGTACGCGTCTCGGGCGATGTGTGATAGCCGTAAGCTCGTCTACCCCTACTTTTATAGAGTCACACTCGTCGGTAAACGCAAGCACAAGAGCAGCAGCAGCAGCAGCAGCAGCGGTATATGTGTAGAGATGCGCGCGCTCTACACGCGTCTGCACATATATCAAGTGGAGCGAACGCGGGCTGATTTTTACGTCGCTCGTACAGGTGGTATGCGCGTACGTACGTACGTATGTACCTACGTATACGTATATATTGTACTCGCGGAGCTCAACAGGCGCGAGCTTTGACGCAGCTTTTATTTTTCGTCGCGCCAGACCGAGCAGACACCGAGGCCTTTATAGCACGTATAATTAATACCTTACGAGCTTTCAAATTTTCATGCTTGATTCTTCGTCGTACCCTCGTCTCCCTTCTGTATACGCGTTTAAGCTGATCGATTGGAAAGTTCATGGGCCGGCTCGCGCGCTCGTCCTAAAGCTCATCCCAAGGAAAACGTAAACGCGGAGGCGTCCCGAAAGCTCTCCACGAATATACGTCACGCTCGGCCGCGTGTGTAATACGTCGCGCGCGCGCAACTTTCGGTCCTCTGCATGCTTTATGATTTAATATCTTACCAGTCAAAGCTCGCGACGCTTTTCCAACTGGCGTATACGAATTTTTATACGCACGCAGCTACTTTTTTCGTTCGCTGTAGGCGAGCTTTGCATTTACGCGCGCGACACTTTTCAATGCCCCCGAGGACGCCAAACTTTACGACTATTTTACTCACCCTCCTCCCTCTCGAGGCTCTGACGTACATAAGTAAGAAATCTAATCAGTGATACGTGTGAACATCCGTCCGTATTTATCCTTTTTTATTATTTAATCTCCCTGCAAATACGTATGTACGTGCGAGCAATTTTCTTCTTCTCCTCTTGTTTTTTCATTCTCTGCAGCTCTCTGTGCGCCGGACGCAACGAGAGTCAACAGGCGGCGCGTATATTATCGGCGGACGATTAAACAAATGATCGAACGGCAAATAAACGTCAATCGTGACAGGAACACGAGGCGCGTAACAGCTATTGGGCCGCGATGACGCTGCCTCGCCAAAGTCTTGCTCTATAGACTATATGTGTGAAAGTAATCACCGATAACAGCCGTAATTGATCGAAAGAGACGAAAATCGCCCAGGCGTGCCGACGCTCCTCGATTCGTGTACTTGCTCGTAAAAGACGGGCCTCGGTAAAAAATATGTATACAACGACTGCGCGCTATACAATCGCTCGGATACGGGGCGCGGGATGAATTTATGCGCTCGGGATACCTGTTGAATGCCGCGCGCATGTGAAAAACGAGATCTCATTCGGTGCCACCCACATAGATATATATTGAAAGAGTACGTTTACCGTGGGCAAAGCTACGCGGCACATAAACAACGTCCTTAAGAATCCTTAGATAATCATTTTATATTTTCTCATGAGAAATGTAATACGATGCGCCAAGTTTTTTCTCGCTATAAGACGTTGCGATGTACGCCATTTTAAATGTAATTGGTTTTTCTCGAAAGATTCGAGCCCTTCCACCAACCCATGCTATATACTCCTTCGTTTAATCATTAAAAACATTCTCATCGCATACGTAAGCTCTCTCTCTCTCATTTTATAGGGTACCAACGTTCCAAATCCCGTAATTGAATTGCGCAACTCGAACTTTTTTTTTCTAATTTCGGGCTGAATTTTTCAAGCCAAACTTCTCTCCCGCCTGCGGAAGCTGCACAAGTGGCTAAAGAAATTTCAAGAGAAATAAAAATTACGAAAGAAAATTTGCTCCACTTGATTCGCTCGGCTAGTTGAATGCAATTTCGAACAATGAGTATTAATTATGTCGAGCTGCATGCGAGTGCGAACCGGCCCAGAACGGGATCTGCGTCGAAGCATATTTCAGCTGCCGAGCGAGTGCACACCTCGTATAGTATTCGAAAAAGAAAAGGAAAAAGTCGAGTCGCGCAAATAAAAGCCGAGTTAGATTTTGAGTGCAATCCGTCGAGAGTTTTGTGCCTCTATAAGCTCGACGATCGGTTAAATCGAAATTCAGCTTCGACACGAATGCAATGTATGTATTATGCGTCAAAGCCGCTAGAACATGTATAAAATACTTGAAAGACTCGCCACACCTGCGCGCTGCCGCGCGTCTCCGATCTTTCATATTATACGCGCGCCTTTCGTTCTCTCTCTCTCTCTCTCTCTCTCTCTTTCTCTCTCGGGCAGGTATCGTTTGATTTTATCGACCGCGTGTAAGCGAGACTTTCGCAGTTGATTCTCTCGTGGTTTATTTTTGCGCTCACGATCCCGCGAGCCCCTGTCTCCGAAAGGCAATTTTTTTCGCTCCACCTCGTTTTTTGCATAATCTCTCGTTTGTCGCTGGCCCTTTGATGATAAAACCTCCAACGATGAAAAATCAGCTGGAATACCTATGCGTACAGCTAGGCCGTTCGGTTCGGGTCGCGTATAAGCAATGCGATCCTCGCGGCTAAATTAGCTTACATGTGTATACGTACTATCGATTCAACAAACTTGCTCCACATGCTCGAGGGTTGGCAAACTTGAAACTTTGGATGCAGTTTCGAAGGGAAATTTATACGTATATAGCATCGCGCTATATGCGTCGTATATTTTGCGTCGGTAGGGCGAACAACAAGTCTTGTTTCTCATGCCTCTTTACGGCGCGGCCAAAGGTGTATCGTAACGCTGAAAAATATCACGGCGGATCAGAAATTACCAAATAATGCTGGCATAATGTGGCACATTGCGTAAGAGAGCGCGAGAGAGAGAGAGATGCGATGCGATGCGACGACGCGACGGCAGAGGTGCGCTCGCAGTTCGCCTACCTGCGTGCGTATCTTTTAGAAGCAATCATAATTTTCTGCACGGGGCCGGCCGTATAGCGTATATACATGTAGCGCCGCCTCGGTGGAGTCTATATAGACGTTTAATCTCAAGCAGCCGCAAGAATTCGAGAGAAAGAAAGTTGAATGACAAGAAAAAGAAACCATATAATAATGGCAGGCGCTGCTGCTGCTGCTGCTGCTGTTGCTGTTGTGCGAGTCGACGCTTGCGATCTCGGAGCTATATACGTTATAACGAGAGCCAGTAGCTCAGCCGATGAGGCAATCGTTTCATCTCTCGTCATCGTCATCGCGCGAAGCTACGAGAGTCTTTCCTGCGCCTCGCCTCGCCTCCTCGAACCAGCCCAGCTCGACCAATTTCTTTTACCTCTATAAAATATACACACAATGAAAAAAGGCGAAGGAGAAGAAAAAAGTCAGAATCGATCCTTCTCATCCTACGTACGACGAGATGTGTGCCGCGAGCGATGGGCAATTTTATAATATACACAAGCAGCCGAGAGGAGGCCAAAACAGATAGGAGCCGATCTCTGCGTGGCTGCCTATTGTTTGCCTGGATCGCCGAGAGCTTAGGCGCAGTCAATTGTTTCAATTGTTGTTGTCTTTTGCGGCATTCTACAATGCCTGCATGTATACACGTTCGAGACGTCGAGCGAAGCGCTGAAAATGCGCGTGGAAAAGTTTAATTGTGCCTCTTTTCGCATTCGCCACGCAGCAGCGATGACGATTGTTCCCGCGTGGCTTAATTTTTCATTAACGCGCGCCAACATATAGGCCCCGGATCGCGTGCGACTTTTCTACATCGGCTGTATCTTTACCCGGCGCGCGATAAATCGCGCATAATCATTGCCTCAGAGATGTTTTTATTTATTGCCACGCTCACGCACACACACGCATTCGTATACGCGCACCGGCTCGTTCGCTAATGTACGTACTCGAGGCTGACGCGCCGCCCGAGGGCGAGAAACTTATATTTATAATATTTCGAGACCTCGGGTTCTTTCGTTGCAGCGAGAACGACGAAAAAAGGCAAAACTTTTTTCTTCTCCGATGGTATACCTACTCGTAACGTCGAAAAAATGTCACTCGTTATCAATCGCGAGCCAATTTTACGTTACTTTCCGAAATTTTTGTAATGCCACTGCGGAGCAATGCGAGAGACTTTATGATACACGAAAATGTTGACCGGCGATCGGAGCGTTGAACTTTGTATCGGGCCGCGCGACAGGCGTACGCAAAGGCGATAATGAGCCACGCGTCATCGTTCGCACCTTTTGTCTCTCTGTCTCTCTCTCTCTCTCTTTCTCTCTTACACGGCATATAATATCGGTTTCCGCTCGGTGTATAACGGATACGCCGCCCGTGGATCGTGCTCGGACTCGCTGATCCCAAGAGTGGCCCCGAGCCGATCGTTTTCCAAAACTGCACTGCACGGCCCAGCTGGCATAGTTTTTGCCTCGACCGGTGTTATGACTCCTTCGTACCGGTGGCCTTCTCGAACTCGCTTGGTCAGAGAGACTAGGGTTTTTCGGGCACTTGAAACGGATCGACGCGTACGAACCACTCGAATCGTTCACTTCCATACCTGCCACTTGACTCGTCTATTGTTTGTTTTGCCAGAAAAGCTCATGCTCAAATAATAAAATGAGTTGCGCGCGCGACACAAGACACGATTTGCGACACGCGGGATTTTTTGCCGAGTCGTTGCACGACGTGTATTTGTGCGGGTGTATAATAAACGCACACGTACACACACGCATACACAGATGCATCGGCCAGCGCATGTATAAAATATTATTGAGAGGCAAAGTGCGTCCGCGCCTTTTTCCGTAAGCGCATGCCACGCTATGTACATGCGGCTGACGACGAGGCGCCTTTTTTACTTTTCTTTCTTTTCCTTTTTTTCCCCCTTTTGCCTTTCGACTAACGGCTGTTAACAGACGCACCGATCGGCATTTCGTGTATATATTTTTAGACTCGTCGATTTTTCATTCGCCGGAACTACGTAACGATCTCTCTCTACTTGTTTAAAGATCGCCTTTAATTTGGGTGGCAATCGGTGAGGCCCAGCCGCCTGCACGCCACGTGTATTATTCCACCAAGGTTCATTGAGCGCGCATATTTTCGAGAAAGTCCTCGCAAGTGCTGCTGCTGCACACGATGCAGCATCGCTTCTACGGGGCAATTTTTTCTTTTCCTTTCCTTTTCTTTCCTTCTTTTTCTCCTTTTTTTTTTCGTTTCATGTTGACCGGGCCTTGCGTGTTGGCCTTGCCTCTCATGACTCTTGGATGCAGGCTTCTTTTCTTTCTTATTCCTTGTTGTTGTTGGCCATGGAATGCAGGGAGGTTTCGAGGTAGCGAGCAAAAAAGTCGCGAGCCAAAGCCAGTACGATCGTTACTCTTTCGGGCAATTTTTGCGCGCACCCGTAATAAATTTATTTACTTTATTATTTCGAGCGGACGAGGCAACTTTTTTCTCTCGTATTATCCTTACAGGAAGCAGCATTTTGCGCGCTTATATGTAATGAATCATTTATTCCTTTTTGTTGGAGAGAAAAATGCCGAGTTAAATGTTATTGTATAAGGATACTTTCGGGGCGTTTTTTTGGCTCGTGATCATGACGCTTTCAATGATCACTTTCGATTCTCATGCAAATTTTATCAAAGTCACACACTAGCACCTACGTGCAATGACGCTAACCAATTATAACGATCTCTACATAGAATATACCATAAAAAACGATCATTCATTTGGTCTTTTAGATCAAAAGATCATCCTTCCGAAACTCGATGGGAGAACCGGTCGACCAGGTGGGTAAACGTCTGCACATAAAAGATAATATCGATCGGCGGAATTTCGGCGCGTTACATGCTTTTTTTACATTGCGCAAAAAAAAGATGCTCGATATGAATGTATATAAATAAAATATATATTGCTCTAATCGTTGACCTCGTTAAAGATCTTCTTCGAGACAAAATTGCGCAATTTTTACGCATGTATGGCATTTTTTTTCAATCATTTCTCAGAATACTGCTATAAAATCTTTTGGCTTGAATACATTTTCTACATTTTTCCAATCTGCGAATGCAATTTTTTTGTTATATTCAAGCGTTTGGCACTAAATGTATCTGGGAAAAACCGAAGCCTTGGGGTGAAAAAAAAAGACGACCAATGCAATCCACGAAGAACAAATTAGCCGGACGACGGCTGAGCCGCAGACACACGTGTATTGGATGATTCACTCTCGGTTCAGTGACTATTGTAAAAGTAATCCCGATCAGCCGACCGGTTTATGGAGCTTTTATTATATTAATAAAAGGCGTAAAATCACCGATACATTTTTGAGAGAGAAAAGAGAAAAGAAAATCAAAGACTCGAGCGCGACTGCGTGAAATGTGCTGCATGTAATTCGGTGTAATCCTAGATCTCGCCCGGCAAATGTTTTATTTATCTTGATTATTTGTGTTTTGTTGTTCCGGAATCGAAAATAGATCTCACCTTGGCCGGTGCGAATTTCCATATGCATATATTTATTAGAAGAACACAAGGCGGCGAGGTAGGCGCAGCACGTAGCATTAAGCGACTTTTCCCCTCCGTTTATCGGGCGCGAGAAAACATCGTTTTCACTTTCGTTTGCGTTTGTTTTAATTATTTACGTGCGTATCGCTTATCAGTTGTCGATATCGCCCCACGAGCTTGTCCTTACCAGCTAAATTATCACAATGTTGTGATAGCGCAGGAAAAAAGTCTGTACATTACATAAAGTCGTCGGTAGAGCGTACGCGATAGGCTCGATGCGTGTACATACAATTGTGTATACGAAATTTTCTAAGCAGTGTAGTAGCAGATTGCGAGGACGTTTATCGCAGCCAAAGCTCTGAAAAATGCAGGAATTAAGCCCTATATGTACACAGAGCGTCGGCAAGAGGTGTCCTCCAGCTCGTGTTTTAATTTGTCGCTACTAGGCGGACTATACGGATGGCCGGCTCAGCGGACAGCGGCGCGAGTCCTGCGTGGGTGGGCTTGCGGGTTTAGCGCGCGCGACAAAGTCAACACATTACACTATATACGTCGGCAGCCACGACATGTACATGCTAATGGGCCGCGCGCAAGCCAGTATATAGCGTTGAGCAAATGTCGCGTTGCGCAATCGACGCGTGTACAATGACACCAGCGAGCACGAGGCGGCATCGCAGGCGCGCGCGCGACTGAAAAAAAATTAAGGCGCTTTAAATAGGATTTATCAAAAACGATTTTCGTGAGGAATTTCACGAATTAATCGAATCTTGCACGCGCTCGCGAGCTGTTTTTCTAAATATTACGTTACGGAATCCTCGGGATCTGGTTTCACGCAATTTATGAAATGTGTATATTATATACGGAGATTTAATGTATGTGCGACGAGAGACGCGACTACGGTGTGGCCGAGCGCGCGCAAGATTCGATTGCAGAACGATCAAAGTTACGCTTATATATAATAAATATATGTGAGCCTCTCATCGCCCATATACATAAGAGGATATTTACTCATCGGAGCTACTTTTTTCCCCACTTTTCTTGCCAAATATCCGCGTAGGTATACGCGCGATATCTTAAAATATTATCAAATAACCAGTGCCTCGAGTCCTGTTCGAGGCTTAGCCGCGCGCTGACTCACACGCGGAGCAAACTCACGTATTTTGATTCGCGCTATGTAAATGCTCGCCTCTTTTTTTTTTGTTTTGTTTTAATAACAAAGCAAAGGGAGAAAATTCAACCGCTCGGCGAAGATTTCGTAAGTCCTCGTAATTTACGATCAAATGTATAACGCAGCTCCAAGTTCAAGCGTCGGGTCAACAGTCGGCCGAAAACAGTCCCTTGTTCGAAGACATTGAACCTTTTGACTGTATAACGTCGAGACGTAAAGAAAAAATTTTTGGCAGACTCGAAGCCGAACTGCAGCCGAGGAAAAATATCTTACCTAATAGCAAAAGTTAGCTTTTATATAGCGTACGTACGCGTATACGCGGAATGCCAGCTGGCATATCTTTGCGCTCGCTCGCCGCGGCTGATAAATGACATTCTAATCGTGAGATTTATGCATTTAGAAATCGATTATCCTCGGCTACGGCGGCGTAGACTTTCGCCCGCGGCCTGGTGCGCCTGCTGCGAAGGAGACGAGCTTTTAACTAGCCCGAGACGTAATTTTACACACCCACAATAGCTGGGCGAATTCTCGGCTGCTGCTGCTGCGGCGGCGCCTCGAGGAAAAGCTTCGCTAATCGCGCCGACTTGTAAATTCTATTGATGCGAGGAGGAGGAGGAAGTGGCGCTCACGCATTGTGTATATACATAGTTGCTGCTGCTGCTGCTGCTGACACGTAATGCAGCGAGTACGTAAAACATAACGAGCGACGGATGATACAATGGGACAAGTCAATCCGCGAGTCGGCCAGTTCAACGCACTGCACACACATACCTACATTGTACAATGTACACATGTGCAGCTGCTGCACAATAGTCTCGACGAGCCTCGAGAAGCACAGGCACGGATCGAGCCGAGACTCGCGTGTGTGCAGCTTTGCGCAATACTCACACACATAGATGCAGTCGAAACTCGAATCGACGTGTCGCAGCAAGAAATTACCAAGAAAATACTACCGAGCTGCTACTGCTTCGATCGGCGCGGCTGGAAAAGGCACCAATGTGCAGTCGCATCGCTAACAATGCAATAACGCAGACATCGAAATACACAAGAGCTACGAGCTGCTTCGTGCCTCGGAACCGGCAGATTTTCGGAATTTACGAGCGCACGCCTCGAGAAGACTAATTTATATGCAGCTGGCACACATATACGCGCGTCGCAAGAATTCAAGTTCAGCAGCGGCTCGAGCCAGTGCGAGAGAGACGGAGAAAAAGAGACAGAGAGCATTAGCCCCGGCAGAAAGTCGCCGATTCCGACAACGCGGCTGCAAATAATACCCGCGCGCATTTGCGAGCGCAAAAATTACAGCCCGAGCTGTGCACCGACAAACGATCGCGCGCCCGACCATTTCAAGATTAACCGGTCAGTAGTTATACGATATTACACTCGCGGCTAGCGAGCAGCCGCGATATTATTTCGCGCGCCCAGCTCCCGCGCGATTTTATTTAGCTTTCGCTGCTGCAGTATCCCATGTACTCGCGACTTTTGGCGTGCTTTCACAACCTCGACGTCTCATTTTTTGCAAGTCGATCGCGCCTAAATAAGAAAACTGTTTCTCGAGCGAGCTCGTCTTCGAACTGCCTGCGAACTACGTGCGATACGAGTCCATTTAAATGACCCCGTGCCGCGCGCGCGATGCCAATAGGCCTAGAGCAGCATAAAATTTCGTGCACAAAGCGACGAGTACAAGGCACGCGTCGAGAGGGGGAGTCTCGCGAAGTTTTCGACCTGTGTGCAGGATCCAGGAGCGTCCGCGGTGCCACACGACGAGGCAGTCGTCCTGCGGGCCCCTACCCCTTTCCTACTCGAGCGAGCGAGACCGAGAGACCCCCACCCGTCGCCCCGAGCCGAGGCTGCGACGATAAGGCCCCCGTCGCGCGCGCTGGCCTGGGGAGTCGGCGGCGCCGGAGGAGCGGCGTTCATATATAAAGTCTAGCGCGGACCCGCCGACGCCGACAGAGTTCAGTATCTCCTCGCAACGGACAGTGTCGTATATAGCTATAGTCTTGGCATATACGTAATACGTTTGTAATTCTTGGCTGCAGCAGTGAATCTTTTTTTATCAAGACTCAACATGAAGGCTTTCGTAGCTATCGCAGCGATCCTCGTCGCCGGTAAGTAATCCTCGCGTTAATTATTACCAAACCAAAAGTGACTCTACATCCATCTACCCGTGTCGTCTCTTTCTGGCGAATTTTTAATTTCCATTTGGGATCGATGCGTTGGAAATTCCAGAACGTTCGCGGGGGGTGAGCAGACGCGTCGAATTAGCGAGAGCGAGAGTCGAGGCAATTTTAATTATTGTTGCAGCAGCAGCACCGCGAGGCTGCTTTCGTATAAGAGTTAACTTTCGATTTCGTTCTAGCTGCCAGGTGAAAACGGCCAGTTTTTTATCTCTCTCTCTTAGCGGCTCGCGAGTGCATAGGAATAAATCTTTAATCGCTCGAGAGTGCAGTGACGCCGCGTGCATAGAATACTTTTTCCATCGTTTGCTAGGCCGGTTCGCGCGCGCGAGCGTATTAACCGATCTCGATCTGCCGCCCGTAGTCCGTGGCTAGTACTACACAATCTCATCCCTGGACGCCTGGATCTACCGGTTTTTTCCTATATCTCCATATATTATTACGTCGTAGCGCGAGTTCACGGAAAATCGACCGAGTTCGCGCGATCGACACAAAAAAAAAGAGAGAGAAGAAAAAGATTTCGGGCCCTCGAGCTCTTATGGTCTTATGGTCATTGGAAACGAAAACGAGTCTCGTTACAGCACGGCACACGCAATCGGCACGCGATCTCTCGTATTCGCATGTAGCACATTTTTCAGCTCGGCCTTTTTTCTCGCGATTCTTATGCACTCTCGACGCGACTACGGACGACGACGACGACGATCGGGCCGAATGATCGACTTTTACACGCGGAAACGGACTCGGCAATTGCGGAACTATTCATACATAATGTAGCCGAATGCAAAGCAGGAAACATGAACCAATTGCTTACTCGCATATCGTGTAGCTTACGTAAGTGCACACACAACACACATACGTAGTACGTAGCTCGCGGCCATACGTAAAGATTGTCATTAAAATTTTTCGTCAATTATTGCGAGATTCGGTCGGTGCGATTGATGGCTGCTCTCGCTCGCCTCGCGCGCTTCTGCAATTATGAATGACTGATGGAGCATCGTTTCTTTTTTTTTCTTTTTACATAAGCCCGCGCGCGCAAAGAGACGTTCACATTGGCGGCTAATCGTTCGGGGGGCGCGATAAAAATACCCACGCCGATCGTATAACATATTTAAGTATATGCACATGGGCATATATAATGGATTCCGATCGAAAAGTCGAGTTAATTGTTGACTTTCACCAGGAGCGCGAGTTTGCAGCGAGGGTAAAGGCGTGCGGTAAAGGCGCGAGTGTGTGGAACTGCTGCCGATCTCGCTTTGTCCGCCTCGATCGCTTCCGAAGATCGGTTGCGACTCGCCGAAATGTACGTAGCGTACGTATAATACGCACGCACGATCGTCGAGGCGGTGGCGGCCACTCCCGCGTACGCGAAAATATTCGACTCGCGAGGATAAATGGAAAGTGAAGGATGTTTGTAGGCTCTGGCTCGGACGCAGAGATCGAGCAGTGAACGGGATGCTGGGGATTCTATATAAGAGCTGCTACGCGAGAGATCAGAGGCCTTTAATAGTGAAAGTGGTCCCCCTGTGAAAGCGCTCCGCATCGCGCATGCATACGAGCGGCGCACAACGTTTACGCCAAAGTTATACGCGCGCGCACTTCGATGTGTCTGCTGCTGCTGCTGCTGCCTGACTCGCTCTCGTGTATATATGTGTACCACTACGCACTCGCGATATACGGCACGATTACGCAAGACTGCGCGGCTCCGTGTACGCACCGCGGAATTATGTATTCGCGGCCAGGAGAGAATGTTTCGTGGTCCTGTTGGTACGGACCCTTTGCCCTTTTCTTTGTCGATTCTCCAGCCGGCGGCTTAATTGGCCTTGGCTTGCATCCGTTGTCGTGATATAGATTTCAGAATTCTCGACCGAGGCGATTTCTCGTGCCCGCGCCTTACCAACGAAAAAAGAAGAAAAAATAAATAAATAAGCAAAAACCATGGAGCTGAGTGGACGGACGTGCATATTATCACCTTTCACGTAATTGCACTGCGTTCGCGCTCGCGCGCGTCAGATCTGTAATGGCACTCTTTGGCGCAAGGCCTCTCCGCGCGACTCGTTCGGCCGATTTTCAAACAGGTCATCTGAAATTCGAGTATATTAATACCTTATTACGGCTTATAATATTAACGCGATTATCGCGAGCGCGCAACGTATTACAGCGGCGTGCGTAGCTTGCACAATTCGCGGGTACTTATACTCGAGCGACCAGACGCAGAAACGAGAGAATATCCAACCCTGCAGCTCGCTTGCGACATTTATCTCTCTCTTGGTTTTTTTCTTTCTCTCTCTCTCTCTTTTCCGTCCTTTTGCTCTCCTTCTGACTGCTGCGTGCCACTTTGCCTTTATGTCCGCGCGTCCCGCGGCGCAACTGCAGCGAGCGTAGAAAGGGGTCGCGTCCTTCGCTCGCATATACTCAAAGGAGATCCCAAGTAACCCAAGGATCGGCTCGGGAGCTTCAAGGATGCGACGACTGGTTTTGTCAGAAACTTGCACAGGCCTGAGCAGCTCGTTCGGGCCGTCTAAAAATTAAAATCAATATATATTTTTTCCGCCAATTGCGCAAGCTCCAGCTCGGAATTATTGCAAGAAGCAAACTCTCTCACTCTCGCGATTTTGTCGCCATCGTCTGGTACCGTACAGATGTGAACAGTGATGCAATTGGCATTTCGTCGCTCTCGTCGCAGAACCCAGCCTACGAGTACCAAAGATTCCTCTTCGCGCCGCTGGGAGAAAAATGTCGATGCCGCAACACGCTCGCGACTCCTAATTGCCGGCGATGATATTTTGTCGATCCTCTGCCGCAATACTACTCTCACTATTTGTTTCTCTCTGCAGCGGCAGCAGCGGTTCTCAGCTCGAAATTAAGCCTTGTGCGGGTGAAAATTTATGCGAGGCTCTCGGGCACATTGAACTTGTGCTGCTGCTGCTCCTATACGCTCGATCGAGTGGCGCAATTACACTTGAACCAAAGTTGGGCCTCGGTAACGCGAATATTATATCAAGTGCTCGAGTCGATTTCACAAGATTATAATTCACTTCCTGGTGTCGGGCTCTCTCGCGCGTCGAGCGATATAGCTCCAAAACTACGCGCTATTCCAAGCTCGAATACGCGACAACGACGGGGGCTAGGTGTACGTGCGCAGCTTCGAGGGGAAAAATGTCGAAAAACAAAGAGAAAGAGAGAGAGAGAGAGAGTGAGAGATGGAGCCTGGAAAAAGTATCGAGCTAAAAATAAGCGGGCGATCGGTTGCTCAAGCCGGCACGGATCGCGATTAAAATTCGCGATTTATCGGCTGTCTTGGCGTCGCACAATATGAGCGTGTTTCGTCACGAGTCGCCCGCGCGTAGGTACACGTAGCATAACATGCGCTGCACTCGCTATTGTCTCGCGGTGGTATCTGCAGCGCACGAGGAATTCCTTTGTGCGCGTGTCACGGCCTGCGCCAGTCGAGTCCGCTCCTTGATCGTCGAGTCGCGGTGCTCGAGCTCGACTTACGATCTCGCATGATTCTCGTACTTTATCGCTCGGCTTTTTTTTTCTGTTCCATGGACGACAGGCGCCTCGGCCCAAGAAGCGTTCAAGTGCCCGCACGACTACGGCTTCTACCCCCATCACCTGAGCTGCGACAAGTACTGGAAGTGCGAGAACAACCAGGCCGAGCTCAAGACCTGCGGCAACGGACTGGCCTTCGACGCTTCGGACAGCAAATTCCTCACGGAGAACTGCGACTACCTGCACAACGTCGACTGCGGCGAGCGCACCCAGCTGGAGCCCGCGATTAGCACGCCCCACTGCGCCCGCCTCTACGGCATCTTCGCCGACGAGAAGCACTGCGACACCTTCTGGAACTGCTGGAACGGCGAGGCCTCCAGGTACCAGTGCAGCCCCGGACTGGCCTACGACAGGGAGGCCCGCGTCTGCATGTGGGCCGACCAGGTCCAGGAGTGCAAGATCGAGGAGGTCGCCAACGGCTTCGTCTGCCCGGCCGCCGGTGAGGTCAGCGGATCCGCCGGAAGCTTCTCGCGCCACGCCCACCCCGACGACTGCAGAAAGTACTACATCTGCTTGGAGGGCATCGCCCGCGAGTACGGCTGCCCCATCGGAACTGTCTTCAAGATCGGTGATGCCGACGGTAGCGGCGCTTGCTCCGACCCCGAAGATGTTCCCGGATGGTGAGCTTTTTTCCCTTTTTATCCCTCTCCACCTCGCTCCACTGAATTCACAAAATAGATTTTAATCCTCGATTTTTTACATTCAGCGAGGACTACTACGGCGACTTGGACTTGAAGAGCATCAGAAAGAGCGAGCTCCTCTCCGGACTCCAGGGTGGTAGGGACTCTGGCGAATCGAGAAACGTCCCCGCCAAAAACCTCAAGCCAAGGCCAAATGTGCCCCAGGCCGCCAGACCCGGTGACCAATAAGTCCTCTTCCGTCGAACCCCTCGAGAAGAGAACTGAAGCAGCAGCAGCAGCAGCAGCGGTAGCCGCGGCCGCAGTGGCACAGCCGAGCGAAAATGTTTTTAAGCCGACGAGCAGACTACGTTTCTTGCTTTAGCCCTGTATTATACGCGAGGGTACTATGACTTCTCATCCCCGATGAAAATCGACGTGTTTTGTATTTTTTTTTGTTTTTTTTTTGTATAATTTTTACCCACTTACTTTTTCGTGGAAGCAATTTTTAGTACTCTCGGCTCTGAGGGACACGTAGTTCCCGTACGGAAGCCCGTAAAAACATTTTCGTCTTCGGGGCCCGGCCAGCGCGCAGCGGCACCAGTACCATGAAAACAAACAAAAAACATACATTATATTGTAGTTATATGCAACGATTGCGGACATTTGACTGCCATGTGTTACATACAAGCCACATTCGTAGCGAGAGAGAGACCAGGGTATCTAGTCTCGTCGACGCCCACGGCGATCTTATCCTCCTGCAAAACTTAAACCCTCCCCCCACCCCCCAGGCCTTTCTCCTTCTCTTCTTACTTCTTCGCTTCCTCCTCCCCCTCCTTCCTTCTCCCTTCGTCCGAGTCTTTCTCTACACACTTCTCTCTCTGTGATTGAAAAAAAAATCCACCAACTTACTTTACGAGGTATGGAGCTTGGTGAATTTTTTTTTCAATTCTTCCCTCCTTCCTATTTTTTCCTGTGTATTCGGAGACGCGTCACATCGAACTACTTACGCACGAGCTGCAAAAAACGCACGAGGAATCTGATGAAAAAAGGAAAAAGAAAACCCTTACGGAATCGATGCCGCATTGTACCCGAGTAATAATAATTTTCATGTCAACGCGCGGCACGCAAAAAGTAAAGCAAAGCAAAAAAAAATAAACCAACTCTACAACGCGCCGACTGTGTACCTATATATTACTTACTTATTACTTACTTTATACATATGCATATATTTTTATTTTATATTTATATACGTGTACTTGATTTGTATTCCTACTACTTCCTCTGAAAATATCGGATAACTGTATGCGCAACGCTCGGAAAAGCAGTACGTTCGAAGGCTGAGAACTTTTTTTTATTGATTTATTTTTAATACTCGATAACTTGTATTATTTTTAATGAATTTTTGTATTCTTACTTGTATTTTTGCTAATTATCGTCAATGCGAAACTAGTAAATTGTTGACGATTTTTGTACAAAAAAACTACAACAACAACACGCTCTATTATCTATTTTCCCCCTCACCCTCTCTTTTGTTCTATCTTGTAATTACAATTTTTTTCTGTTATTGCGATGTGCAATGCTATTTATTGTGCGAAAAAAACAAACAAACAAAAAACGAATGATCATCAGAGCGAGAAAGTCTCTCGAGAAATCGATCGGTTCAATAGAAACAAAAATATCTTATTTTTCAAATGAAAACTCATGTTTATATTTATACTTGACAGGAAATTCGTACAGCTATTATAAGATAAAGACGGAAAATAAAAATGGCGAAAAAAATACGCTGTATAAAAAGTGTAAATTATTATTTGTTACTGAGTACATATGTTTTCTCATATTTGCGATGGAGAGGACTGTTTTGGAACGGGCTAAATTTCAAGAAAAAATCGTCGGTTAGTTCGACAGCTACTCTTCAGTCATGCAAAGCCAGTCACTATACGAAATGACGCTTTGGCGAAAAAATATTTTTAACTCCAATTCCGATGGAATTCGCTTCAATTACGGCGTATTAAAGATTCATCGAGCGTAGTCTGGTCGAGCTAAAAAAAAGATAGAGAGAGAGAGAGAGAGAGAAGAGGCGTACGTAACACGCCCCGACCTACGCGCTCAAATTACAAACTCGAGGATATAACAAACAATAGAATCATCGCTTGGAGCTGTCGGCGGATCGGCTTGCTATATATATCGTGAATCCAGCCGTGTTATATAGCCACGTAATATGCAGGAGAACTTTGATTTGCGTAGGTGTCGGCAGATTTTTCGCAGCGAACGAATTTGCGCGGATCGATCGATTTCTATGCCGCGCATACACATCGGTATGCGTGCTTTATATGTGTAAGTGCGCGAAATCACATGCAACTACATCGTATGTATAGTTGTGTTTGTGTGTGGGCATTTGGGAAAGCGAGAGTGAAAAGAGACTCTCGCTTTCCCTTGGCAGCTTGGCTCGTTTTGCGCTCACGCGAGCACAAGCACGCCTAGACATATTATACCCGTGAATGCATGTATATAAAAGAGCTGCGCAGGTAAATTTTCCCAAAATCCAGTCGGCTTCCTTTTTTTTTAAAACATTTTATTTGCCGATAATGAATATATATAATCGGTATACGATGTCTAGAAAGTGTCATATCGGCTAGACCACGACGACGAAGCGACGGTACCGTGGCTGAGGTGCAACGCCGGCCCAGACGGACTTCTGGAGCCGTGCGTGAAAGCGGGTGTCGTGTGTGCCCGAGTGTGAGTTTGTGTATACGCGCGCGGGTGTGGCCTCTCCCGACGACGACGACAACGACAACGACTTTTACTAATCATAGCGAGTTTTTTTTCAATTTCGCTACCCCGTCGAGCGGCATAAATCAAACGATGCAAATGTTCGCGATGATGCATTCGTTTAATCATGCATTTAATCAGCTGTTTTTCGCGCTCGCGAACAATACGCGCGAGATGCAATTAATTCGCGCGCCGAAATACGAATGTCGTTATTATTTGCGCGCTACACGCGTTAATTAATTAGCCACGATCCGATCCGATGCAGCTCGCGAACATTCGTTCATCCGATTTTCGTCGCTAAAATTCCACGTACACCAGGATGGCAGCTGCAATTAATTTTCAGCGGTGATGTTCGCGATATTTGCCTGGCTGTTGCTTGTATACACAAAAGTTTCAGATGGAAAGCGAGCCCGAAAATTATGAGCCGCTGAATTTTCTTAATACTCGATCGTTTCTAGATTTAGCGATGACGAAATGAATACGCGACATAGTAAAAAGTGCGCAGCTCTGTTAAGTTTTAAACGATCCAATCGAGAGATTACCGATCATTACAACGCCTCTTCTATAGCTGTATAATGCGGCTGCGAAATTAAGTTCGATTTGGCAATCGAATTACATTTTTTTAATGCTAGCTTGTAGTAGCAAGATGCTAGTTCGGCGATATAATATTAGAGAGTAATCGTGCTCCGAAGCCACATCGATCCACCAAGAGACATATCGCTTTGTAATCGTTCGGAGCGCTTACGATTCGCTAAAAGCACCAAATTCGAAGAAGCGAAAGAAACAGTAGATCTCCTCGATGTAATTCACATGCTCCTAAATATTTATAATTATATGTCCAAATGGAATACGAGTGGAATACCGACGCGATTACTTCCTCATGGGGTTTCTCCGACGTACACGTTCAGTGTTTGCTTTGCCGCTCGCAGGTAAATGCCGCGCAAGTATATAACGGCATTGCGCGGCAGTCTTAATTCGCGGCTGACAGTACACGGACAAGTGCGCGACGGCTGAGGCGCTTAATTCGAACGAGAGATCCATCCTGTATCAAAGATTGGATCGCTGCAAACGTCTCTGCGTCGTTCGCGGTCAACTCGCATCGGTTCGAGAGAAAAACGAAGAAAGGCTCGGGCGACTAATTTTACTCGATCATAAGGAAAAAGTCGAGGAAATGTTCGGTGGCGGCCTGCGTCTCTTCTGGATGGTTGCAAAATTGCATCGCTGGATGCATTGTAGACTCGGCTTTCAGCTCGGTATATAATATCGGCCAGTCTCGTGTAGCTGCACAGCTGCTCCGTGCGCGTAAAGCATGCAGCGTATAATGCAGACTACGCGCTGCACATGCCATGGTCGCGCGCGCGACTAGCCAAAAGTGCATTACCAGCGCCACAAGCACACACGTACAAGGGGGAAACAGGTATACGAGAGAAGTATAGACAGCTGCAGGTAGATGCATCGGCAGTTATTGGCCGCTCGAGCCTCGAAATATATGTGTCGAGACACCGCGACGATATCGAGTAGCGTGGACAAAAAGTTGCATTTCGTTATCGGCTCTCGCGGTGCAGCTGGTATAGCTGGCTCGATAATCGACTCGACGCCGAGTTGACAGTCGAGCGCGTTGCATCGCCATAACGTAACGTTGCATATATACCGACGATCCACCAAAAAAGTCCAGTCGTAGCTCTCGTATAAGAGTGTCCAGAGTGTGTGTAATTGTCTCCTCTTTGCTGCTGCGCCGCGGCTGTAGCTGCACACAGCTGCAGTACACACGCTATATAATTAGGTACACATATGTAAAGGCAGCTACAGCCGCGTGCCTCGTCCGAACGAGCACTGCCAACTGCAGCAGTCAGCTCGCGCGATCACAGCTATGCAATAGGCAGCTTCATTGAAACTGCCAACTGTGACTGCATCTTACACTCGGACCGACTGCACCATCTCGGGGCAGGGGCGCGCGTTTAACCAATTGGCCCACGCATTTCTCGCTCGGTGAATCGAGTGCTGCGATATATCCCGCGAGTCTGCAGAGCTGCTGCTGCTGACCAACGCAGCTCGCGATGCAATAGCTCGTCCGTCGCGCTCCGCGAGTGTGTTATGTGCGCGCGTGTGTGCCTCTAAACAGCTCTCGAATCGGGAGATCGTGTGTACGAGATACTGCTTCGGCTGCATATGTAGCCCAGTCAGTGGATATCCAAAGTGCCACCTTCTGGATCGTGCACCTAGTGTAGTACTGGCTGTGTCGCGCGTAGCAGCGAAGCCTAATAGCAGCAGCAGCAGCGACTCGAAACAAAACATCGACTCGTCGCGCGGCGGGACACTTTGACTCGACTACTGCAGCCAGCTAAGCCTAATTTTTACAAGGACGAGGCTTCGTCGCCCCGAGTTTATTATATAGACCGCTCGCATAATATACTCTCGCGAGGAGCGACTCGACAGGTGAGAAAGTTTCTACTACTAAAGTATACATAGACAATGATAGCTGCATGCACGCACTCTCGTTTCTCTCTCTCTCTCTCTCTCTTTCTCCATAAACGTACACACGCGTTCGTAACACATATACAGCTCGTATGTGACCTGCAGACGATTAAGTAACAAAAAAGATCGGACCAGCTGTCTTATTTACTCTTCGCTCAGCTCCGTCTTACTCGGTGCTGCTTCGGTCAATTAAAGCCTGCAGCGTCGATGCAATCGTCATCTCTCTCTCTTACGCCAATAATAAAAGTAGTCATTTTCTTTTTCCTACATCGACTGCTATCTCTGTGACTACACACAGAGCCACGATCTGACATGTTCTGACAATTGCGCTCGGCATCCATGTGTCAGTTCACTGACTGCAGCGTGTAGCGTGTTGTTATTACATTTTTTTATATTATATATAAAAGAAAAGATGCGTCGACGAATGATATCGAATCATAACAACAACAATAACATTTAAATGGCTCTACTTATTGCGCGACCCTCTCCGATACGCGAACCGAATTGCGATCGAACTACGGCCAATCGCGAGTACGTAAACGACGAGCTTAATTGCGATCGTTCATTGTCATTGAATCAAAGGTGTATGTGCCATACACTTGCGCGCGATGCTACATATGTAGCTGCTGCTGCTACTGCGTGTATGCAAACGCGGAAGATAACGAGATTACAATTAATACATCCCTTCCACGCGTTCTCTCTCTCTTTCTCTCTGCTAATATCTATAGCTATAACCTGTCGGTGTGTGCGTGTGTGCATGCGCGCGTACACTCGTTTGCGTGCATTGCTCGTACTGTACATGTACACACAGACACAGCTGCGTCCTCCCAAACGCGTGCAGAAAAAGAGAGTCAGGCAGACGGGCGAGTTTTCGTGACATCACGATCTATGCTACAGGCCTGTGTAGTGTATAACTGCTGGCTGACTGCCTGTGTGCCTAGTATACCTGCCTCGCTTGTGCTGCGTGTGGCCAACTAGACGTATTCCTCGACGTACACCAATACACGATTGACGTTATAACATAAATAATACTCGTTTATATATACTCGGGCAGTCATCGGTGTGCGATCACGCGTTCTGCAGTTAAAAAGATTCGTCTTGCGCTCTTCTTTCTGCTTACATTGCCGACGACGACTTGCTGCTCGTCTGCCCGACGGGCTCGCGTTATTTTTTTTCTCCTTTTCTTGAGCTTCCGTGAGATTTTCCTTCTGCACTGCGAGTCCAGACTGCACCAACTGACACTTTGCCCAATCCAAGTGAGTTTTATCGAATTCGACTAATATTATCTGCTGTTGTTGCATTTTTCCAAAACAAAATTCGCTAAGGAGTTGCTCCAACTTTCTTCGACATTACTTGTGTGTTACTTATTTCATTTTATTTCTTGTCTGCAACTCTATCACACCAAGTCGTTTCATTTTCTCAAGTGCCAATTTTAGAATCAAAATCTTGATACTGTCATTGATTTATATCAGTTTAGTACTCATGTCAAAAGTCTTATTTGTTACTTCGTCAACAAAGGCACAACCATTATAAGCACAGTCGATTCACAATTATTTTATTTATAAATCTATTTATTTTCTTTGATTTCAGAAAATGTTCTGTGCAAAGCTACAGGATTAGGTTAAAATAAGCTATGTTATAGGGACTTAGTTGCATATATCAACAAAATTACGTTCAATGAGTCTGTGACAAACAAAAACTCAAAATGTTTGAGTCGCCAAGAAGTTTACAGGATGTCTGTATAGACTATATCTGTGATAATGTAATGGGACTATGTGAATTTCAAGCTTTGGAGGGTAATGCACCAATAAACTATTCCACTCTTCCATGCCCAGGTAAATATTAAAATAACATTGTTCCTTTTAATTAATTAGTGAAAATATGTAATTCACTGTATTATGTAGCTGATAATAGTTTTGAATGTAAAACTAACTTTGTTTACTCTGTTCTTAATATCAAATCATCTTACAAATTAAATCTCTTGTTTTTTTTTATTATTTTAGATGATGAAGTCAGTTGCAATGCAGGTGAAGGTACCTCCGATCTGTCGCAAGGTGCTTTACCAACTAATGCACCTACCAATCAAGCATTGTCATCTACCAGACTTAGTTTTAAGCACCCTGATACCTTTTTACCAACAGCAATATCTGAACAGCTTCTCTATAACTTGTGTGAACGAAAAAAATTATCTGATTTTACCATAACTTTGTTTGATTCTAAAACTACCAGGTTAAAGTAAGTGAATAATGTTTTTTCGACATCCACAAGTTAATGACAAATTAAACACATTTTATATTGTAGACATGTCAAATTAAAAGATGCTTCAAATCTCACTGCTAAGGGGCTCAAAGTTCTCAAGCAACATAAAGTAATAGATTTAGAAGTGAATGAGTTGAAAATAACTGTTAATGATTTAATCGCTTGTTTGGGAGATTGGACTCTACAAAATCTGAGATCACTCAGTGTTGCAAGAGGTAGTTTTATGGATTGTTCAAGGTCAGTAAAAATAAATACAGAGTAGTAAATGATTACAATTAATTTTAATGAATGTTTTTTTATTAATTTCATATGATAACAGATATTGTGTTGTTGTGGCTTTAAGTAAATTGCGGGCTCTAAGAATACTCAATGTATCGGGCACGGAATTCAACAGGCATGGTCTTGAAATCGTTGTTGAAGATTTGCCACTTTTGGAAAGCCTCGATATATCCTGTACTAGGGTTGATGATATTACACCTCTAAAAAAATGCAAGCACAGACTCAGGGCATTGATTATGTATAATTTGAAAATCAGTGGCTGCGGAAATATGATATCTGTTTTGTTGGAATTAAATGAGCTTAGAACGTTAGATATATCGGATGAAAGAGATACGTACCGATTCGAAGTATTTGCGCCCGTCCGATCGAAAATCACAGAACTTTTAAAAGCAACCGAGTGTATGCCGCATTTAAGAAGTTTGGACATATCAGGTAAATTAAGTTATAAATTCTTTTTATCAAAAACTTATTTACGAAAATATGAAAATTTATAAATATATGACTTGGTGTTATCCAGGTAAAGATGATATCGATGGTAAAGATTTGTGGGAATTCATTCTTGCACATAAAGATTTGAGATTCCTTGGGCTTGTACATTCAGATGCTTGCTACGAAGATAGCTTGATGAATCCAACAAACCGAAATCATAAACAAGATCTTGTGGTAAGTTGATGATGTAGTGATTTTAAACGAGGGCTATTAAATCTATATTTATCTTGCAATATTCTTACAACAGGTCAGCGGTACGGCAACAGAGGGTCAAATTTTAGAAGCACTGCGAAGGTATCCGAATAGGCCTATTTACGTGCAAAAATGTCTCTACAATCTTTTCCGTCTGACTTCGTACTTCAGCGAAGCTAGAGTCGACGTAATTAAATTAGTTTTACCCGGCATGCGTGCTCATCCCCAAGAGTTTCGAGTACAGATGGCGGCCACCGCGTGCCTCTACAATTTAACCAAGGGCGAGCTCGCCACTAAAATACATCCATCGGTTCTTAAGCAAATAGTCGATCTTACCCTCACAGCTATGGAGTCTTATCCGAATCATTACCAACTACAGAAAAATACTCTTCTCACATTGTGCAGTGATCGTATTTTGCAAGATGTAGCTTTCGACAAATACAGGTAACTATTCGAAAAACTTTGTAATAATTAAAATAAAAATTTCATCGAGTTTTTAAAATGTATTTTCTGCGCAGGTGCGCTAAACTCGTAATGAATTGCCTGTCAGCTTTCGATGATGCTTCGATGAATCGTATGTCAGTGGCGATATGCTCAATACTCGCTGCTAAAATATCGACTTTCGAGACATCCATGCTTGGTGCTCAACCACATTACATGGCTAAACTGCTTTCGATGGTCAAAACTAAAGTGCAATCGAAATCAGTCGATATTACCATGAAATTCACTTTAAGTGCGCTTTGGAATTTAACAGATGAAAGTGCGACCACCTGTATGGTTTTCCTCGAGGAAGGTGGAATGAATTTGTTTCTTGAAGTACTCGACAGCTTTCAGGGAGAATCGAGTGTCGAAACAAAAGTGCTCGGTTTGCTTAATAATATAGCTGAAGTGAGTTTACGCTGTAATAAGTGTGACGACATTGTCGAGCATCGTGATCAATCCGTTTTTTTTTTTCGGCGTTGCTCTCTAATAACGAATCGTATTTGCGACTATACGCATATTGCGTTATAAAAAAATATTTCTATGTTTTTAGTACATGTGACGCGATCGCGTGATAGAAAAGTCTTTCCAAGTCTTTACAATATATGATATTATTGCTAAGATGTAACGTTTCACAGCGCGCGAGTACGCAACGTACTTTTTATGTTCTATTTGCTTGCTATTTATTTCACCGTCATTGATAATTAACTTACATGTTTTACACGCATGCTCGACAACGAATCATTCACACTAAAATTAGTAATTACCCTTTTTATAATTATTATTCTCGAGGCTAATAATCATTCTAATAAGAAATATTTGTTAATAAAAAACCTAGGTGAGCCACTTGAGGCATCGACTCATGATTCCGCGTTTCATTGAAATGCTGTCTCTGCTGTTGGACTCCAAGCACATCGATGTTTCATATTTCGCTGCAGGAATCGCTGCACACTTGCTGAGTGACGGTTTCAGATTGTGGACGACTGCACCGCTTTTGCAAGATCGCGGTTGGGCGATGCTCGATCAGTTGTCGCATGCTGTCACCAGCTGGCAAACACCTCAAGGCGAAATGGTGGCCTACCGTAGCTTCCAGCCGTTCTTTCCTCTTTTGCGCTGCAACGATGCCTATCCTGTACAGCTTTGGGCCGTCTGGGCCATTCATCATGTTTGCACGAAAAATCGTAAGTTTTTTACAAACATTTTTTCACGACCGATTGGATAAAAAACTTATTTTTCATTAAATCTACAGCCAAACGATATTGTGAGATGCTAGTAAAAGAAGGTGGCGTACAGATACTGGAGTCATTGTTACAACAGCCGAATGAGGATACAAAAACTCAGCCAAACGTCTCGACATTGTGCCGGGCGATTTTGGATACGCTATCGCAACAACCCTGCTAACGAGCACTGAGCCGCGACAATTGCTTGACGACTCGTTGTTAAAAACAAACATCTAGAGACGGCATTGTCGTTCATCAAAGTTTTGATTCGCGTGCGCGATCTTTGTTCACAAAATTCTTTTATCTCTTTCTCTCTCCTCCTCCTCTCCTACCCTTCTCCCTCTTATTCCGTCCCTCCTCCTTCCTTTGCGACTCAATCGTCACTTCTCATAACGCTCTTGTCCTTTAATGCGCTTGAATGAAGATACGGGCAGCGATATATGATGATTTAAACCGATAAAGATTAATTCATTATGATATATGATATTATAAACAAACGAGCAAACGTAGACAATTTGTTTTCGAAAAAAATATTGGGCGCTGTTGATCGATTGTAAAAAAATTTATGTACTGACTTGAGAAGTTAGTATGCTAGTCAATTTATTCTCTTACGAAAAAAAGAAAACAAGTGGGATTGCAGGAAGTTGAAGAAATTAAACATGATCTATATTATATACCTATTATAAATTTTTTTCTTCCTGAAATGCCCTGAATTTTTACTGTTATTGGTTCAATACGATCGAAAAGGAAAAATCACGCGATCAAGCTATGTCTATCGTATTTTTTATTTTCAATTTTTCAAATCCCAACTTGTGTTGTCGGAAAACGTGAACGATTTTTAATTTTCTACTCGATATGTATTTCAATTTCTAATTGTTTTTTGAACAATTTGACAATTTTTTAGATGTGTTCTGAATGGAAAAAAGTGAAAAGTTTTTCAGTTCCGTGAGACGTGAATGAAACACATACCCTTTGGAACTTGCTTTTAATTTTCTTTGATTAATAGTTTGTGATTTTTGACAACTATTTTAACGGCTAAAAGTTAACTATACGACCTTTGATTTTCCGCCTGATTTTGCTAAGGTCAATATAAGCTAGGGCTGTGCAATCGATTGTTTTATCTTCTCATTGCGTTTCATGTATGGTCAATCACATGTCGATTAAAAAACGAATCGTTTTCTTTCTTGTTTTATTTCTCTTTAATAAAGCTCAATAACAAGCTTTACCGACTACGTATACGGTGAGAAACGAGATAACGAGCAGTAGTTAACATACGTATAAACTCAAACACGTGTGAACATAAAAAACAAGGCCATTGTTGTAGCGCGAATATTCAAAAGGGAAATATTTCAAGGAAAACGAAATGAAGCATCTATGTATACGAATATAAAACTAACTAAAATTGTAATTTGATTTATATTGAAAACGATTGAGTGTTTTTTCTGTCATAAATTCAATTTTTACCATAGAATATGTTTAAAAACATACAATCGATTGTCCGATATTGATCGATTTACGTTTAGCCGATTTATTATAAGTTAAAAAAAGCGATGAAACGTTAAATATGGAAACTAAAAGCGGCTCGTTTTATCTCGTTTAATAGTCTTTGCACAGCTTAACAAAACATTTGTTGTACGGTGTATATAGAAAAAATAGCGGCCCTGGTTTTAATGAATGAATGGTACACGGTTATATATCGATTATTATATTTGTGGACCGAAAATATAAAAGACGTCAAGCTATGGATAATATTTTTGGCTATATGCCGTCCTGGACGAACAATTGTTGAAATGCAGAGTATTATGAATTATAGAAAAAAAAATTATATTTGCAAGTAACGAAACAACTGGGCAGTTATTAAGCAATTATATATTATAAATATTTATATATATATATTAAAAAAAATATATATATGAGCAGTTTTTTCATATATGTACAACTTTTGTGCGGGGGGTTCTCGGATCTGCCCCAAAATTTAGTATGTTATTTGGGTATGTGAAAATAGCCTTCAGGTAAATTTTTAGCCCTCTAGGGGCCTTAGGGCCCAAATTTGGGCCCCTCGAAGGTCCAAAAATAGCCGTTTTTACCTATTTTTGCGTATTATTCAAATATTTGTAACTCGGGCACCGGTGCATATTTTTTAACTCTGAGGGTCGCATTTTTTAGGTCAAGACATGTACTTTTCGTAAAAAAATTATGTAGAGCTCGATAGACCAACCCCCGGTTATGGGGGGGCAATGAAGGGGGATGAAAAATCGCAAAATTGACGTTTTTTAGCTTTTTTTGAATTGATGCAGAAGGCGACTGGATTGACGTATTTACTTTTGCAACGTCTCATTTTAAAGGTATTTTTATTACCTTTAAATTGCCGTGCGCAGAATTAAGATTGGTTCAAAAACGACGGAGATAGAGCTGTTTAAAGGTGTCAACATTATGAAAAAAGGCGTTTTTTCGAGATTTCGATAAGCTGTAACTTTTTTCTAGTAACATGAATCTCTTTGAAATTTTATGTGAAAGTAGTTGATTACATGTAGTTTGAAGCCATGTAGGTAAGGATCTTGGTATTTGCCTCTATAACCGAAAACGAGGCCCCCGAAATCCGGCACTTTAGCCCTTATATAGGCAAAATACATGTTAAATTGGGCGGCAAAACTATTTGGTAACTCCTGAAATTATCGCAAAATAAACATAAAAAAAAAATCAAAAACCCCATATTAAACGTATTTTTCGACGAGGAATCCAATGGTAACCTCGAATTTGACCTTGAACATAACCTCTAAACTATAGCGAACCAAAATTGATTTTTCGCACGGTGACCCCCTTTTTTTATTTCAGATTTGAAAAGAGCGGAAAATTTCACGTTCAAATACATATTTCGTTTTTTTTTTCAAGGTAATTTTAAGGGCCCCACAGATCAAGAATAAACTCTTTGGCTGAGTTTAATATTAGTTTTAATGGAGCCTTCATTTTCAAACTGTGGGGCCCTTAAAATTACCTTGAAAAAAAAAACGAAATATGTATTTGAACGTGAAATTTTCCGCTCTTTTCAAATCTGAAATAAAAAAAGGGGGTCACCGTGCGAAAAATCAATTTTGGTTCGCTATAGTTTAGAGGTTATGTTCAAGGTCAAATTCGAGGTTACCATTGGATTCCTCGTCGAAAAATACGTTTAATATGGGGTTTTTGATTTTTTTTTTATGTTTATTTTGCGATAATTTCAGGAGTTACCAAATAGTTTTGCCGCCCAATTTAACATGTATTTTGCCTATATAAGGGCTAAAGTGCCGGATTTCGGGGGCCTCGTTTTCGGTTATAGAGGCAAATACCAAGATCCTTACCTACATGGCTTCAAACTACATGTAATCAACTACTTTCACATAAAATTTCAAAGAGATTCATGTTACTAGAAAAAAGTTACAGCTTATCGAAATCTCGAAAAAACGCCTTTTTTCATAATGTTGACACCTTTAAACAGCTCTATCTCCGTCGTTTTTGAACCAATCTTAATTCTGCGCACGGCAATTTAAAGGTAATAAAAATACCTTTAAAATGAGACGTTGCAAAAGTAAATACGTCAATCCAGTCGCCTTCTGCATCAATTCAAAAAAAGCTAAAAAACGTCAATTTTGCGATTTTTCATCCCCCTTCATTGCCCCCCCATAACCGGGGGTTGGTCTATCGAGCTCTACATAATTTTTTTACGAAAAGTACATGTCTTGACCTAAAAAATGCGACCCTCAGAGTTAAAAAATATGCACCGGTGCCCGAGTTACAAATATTTGAATAATACGCAAAAATAGGTAAAAACGGCTATTTTTGGACCTTCGAGGGGCCCAAATTTGGGCCCTAAGGCCCCTAGAGGGCTAAAAATTTACCTGAAGGCTATTTTCACATACCCAAATAACATACTAAATTTTGGGGCAGATCCGAGAACCCCCCGCACAAAAGTTGTACATATATGAAAAAACTGCTCATATATATATAAAAATAAATATTATGAAAAATTAAATATATAAATATATTAGCAGTTTTGCGATGAGCGCATTATGTATTGATACGCTGTAGTCTATCAAAGCGATATTTGCCTTTTTCCTCTGTCGATATATTTGTTGAGCTTGGACATACAATAGGTTTCGAATCTGACATGTTCAAGTCTTTGTAGAATTAATGGACGAATGTAATAGACGAATCGTTCTATCCAACGATCAATATTAATAAAAATACATATGCGTTGTGTTTCATAAAAATAATATTGTCTTTCTTTCAATACAATATACGCAATTTATTATTACAAAATATATTATGCATACACAAAAATAAGTTTCCTTTATAAAAATATGTGTCACGACATAAGTAACATTTTTAAGTATTTGATTTGAATCGGTCAAAATATTATTTTTGACAGCAGGTCTGTCAAAAATAAGGACAACATTATTTACAATTTTTAAAACATTTATAAAAATACCGAACATACTTTTTACAACACACCATGAAAAAATAGACGATTTTAAATAGGTTCCATTTTTCACTTTGATCAAAAAGATGATTTGTTGATGAGATCAAAGATTTGCATGTCTTATGCAAGAGATTCAAAGTTTGTCTTTGAATAATAAAAAAAGATGCGTACGCAGGGCAAAGAAAAAAAGTTCATTTTAAATGAAGACTCTATATGATATACTGATTGAGGCGACTTCTTAGTCAGAGAATTCATTATAAGTCGCGTCAATCGAAACAATCTTTTTTACGCACGAACGACAATTGTCGCTTTTGCCTGCGAGCGAAAACGAATCAACGTTTATATGTATATATTGTAATATTCGTTACAATATGTATGCGTTATATCACAGTGTATCGGTCAATCGTGGAGATGTTCGTTCGTTGCAGAATATGGAACACATGATAAAAGGATGCTTTTTACATTTACTTGCGATAACCACTCGTCGAAGTCTCTGCAATTAGGCGCGATAAAAATTAACAATAATCATCTACTAACTTTAGTAACAAGCTCGCGTTGCGCATAAAATACGGCGTCGTGAACAGTGGCGAAAATCACGAAGCTCATGTCTTTCGTTTTCAAAACTTCGCATTTGTAAATGACATCGTAAACAAGTGGCGAGCAAGCGGATATGTAAACGGGTATTTCTAACTGTGCGTAGTCGTCGCGAATTTCACGCAGAGCCGACACTCCGGCGGAATCCAAATGTGTAACTGCTGACATATCGATAATAATGCAGCGAATACTGCTGCTCTGATTTTCGTAATCGTCGCTGCTTGTGTAATTTCCATTGCTCCTTTTGGCGAGTTTTGCTCGATACTTAAGGACACTAGAGGGCTCGACGCCGATTTTTCGATAAATATCCGGTCCCAGATGCCGGCTATTCACGAAATTCAAAGATCCAGCATAGTGATATATCTTGATGCCAAAAATTTCACCAACCTGAAATGTGCAAATTGTGAAATTACCTTGTAAAACATTTGAAAAGGTGAGAATTGTTTTACTCACGCCCAAGTAACGACTTGTATCCAAATACAATTCAGTATTAGGCACGTGTCCGAGCAAACAGCTGTAAGGCCTCACACTTTGAAACAAAATACTGACAATTGATGCTAACAAGCCACTAACTAAACCTACGTCAATGCTCACTAAAGAAGTTGTTAAAAAGGTAACCATCCAGACGCAACCGTCGATTTTACTTATTTTGAAAAAATTTAAAAATTCTTTGGCTTGCACTAGCATTCCCTTTAAAGCTACCTGCAAAATAACAATGGGTGCGTTTTAGTACCTGCACAAGCAAGGACATGACGAATGAACGAAGATAGCGCAACTCACAACAATGATTGACGCTAAGACGCATCTTGGAAGTGGTTCAAAAAATGGTCCAATCCATAAGAGAATGATCAAGAGTATGAAGCACGAGACAATGCTGGCCAATTGTGTTTTTCCACCAACCGTTTGCTGAATTAAAGATCTACTGAGCGACGCCGACACTGGCATGCACGAGAAAAAAGCACCCATTATATTGCTACTGCCCTGCGACGGAAAAACAATATTTGTCAATTAAGACTATTGATCCTGTAAGAATAGGAAAATTACTTAATTTAAATACCATGGCAAACAGCTCTTGATTCGAATCAACTTGATAATGCAGTTTTTTGGCAAAAATTAGGCTCATAGACATTGTGACTGTGTAAGAGACCATAGTTATTCCAACACTCTCCAAAGCAACCGTGGGCAATAGTGAGAAAGCTGGCAATTGTGGTTCAGGTATTCTATTTAATCACCGAAAATAAACGTTATTTTTCAAGATAATTTTATTCATTTGCACAACTAAATTTTAATTTTAGAAAATATCCAAAATTTGAAAAACGTATTCACCCTGTTGGTATATTTCCGACAGTTTTAATACTGTACTTATTTGGTAAATTTGCATATCGAGAGATCATTGTACCAGCAATGACTGCTATTAATTCCATAGGAATAGGAACTCTACATCTTTTTCCAATCCAAGGCTGTTAATTAATCAAGATCATAATGTAGAATACATAAATATGAAAGTGTAAAATACATTTTTTACCTTTAAAAATTCATTACTAAACATTAATAGTCCACTAGTTATTGTAGAAATTATCACAGCTGCAGAATTTGCATTTGGAATGTCAGTACAAATAACAGCTACAGTCTATGAAATTGTAATATAAGTTTTTGATATTAGTTAAATATAAGTCTTGAACAGTAGAAGAATATGTTATACCTTAATCAATTTAAAATGTCCTCTTGGTTTTACTGAATTCAATCCTATTAAATCAAATACTTGAGATAATAAAACTTGAATTGCAGCCCCAGTAGTAAAACCATTGACAAATGTTTCACTTAATAAAGTACTTATTATTCCTAGTCTAAAGACATACATCAATAACTGAAAACATGATTAATAATTGATAAAAAATAAAATAAAATGAAAAATTTATTTAAATTACCTGAATGATCCCTACTGCAAATGTTACAGTGGTAGCAACTTGTAGTGGAGTATAAATTTCTGCATTGGGTAATGATTCTATTGACTGGTCATAATTTGTCAAATTAAATTTGTCATTATTTTCTAGGGATGTTGAATAAGATGAAACAGCTCTACCAGTCATCAGACATACTACAGCAAATGTACCTGAAATGAAAATAGATATTTGCTTATATTATTTTTATGCTAATAAATTAAATAATTAATGAAAAGTATTCTCACCCATTGAAACATGTTTAGAAGTTCCAAGTAATACATATACAAGGACAGGAAAAAATGCCATATATATACCAATAACTGGAGTCAAATTTCCTAAAAGTGCATATGCCATACCTTGTGGTATGTGCATTATTGCAACAGTAAGACCAGATATAACATCATATAAAAAATCTCTCTTCCACTCATACTTTCTAAGCCACTTTGTGGCAGGCACAACATTTTCAATACATGATTTACACTTGATAGATCTAAATGACGTTTGAAGATTGTTCAACACTGTTCAATTAAAAAAAATCAAATTTAATATCGTAAATTACGTAAAAATTCGGAAAGAAAAACAATTACTTCGTACCAGAATTCGATGGTTTTTCGTATTGATACAATTGCCGTAATTGCTCCTCATCTAGTACGGGTCTTTCGACGTCCAGTCTCAGCACAGCTTGCGACTCTCGAATTATATTGCCTGCGAAAAATTTTTAAAGTCATCATACTGATTATCATTACAGAAAGAAAAGCCATTTCAGTTGAAAAGTGAAAAAAAATCAATCCCAGTGGCAACGTGTTTGTTTGTGCTTGAATGAACGCTTTGGGCGCATCAAGAGACCCTGACATTCGCAGGCGCGCGCGGCGAGATCCAAAAATAAATTATCACTTACGCGCCATTGTGGACCACATGTGCAAGATCGTAAGCGTGCGTTAAAAAGCTCGTATCTCAAAACTAAAAAGAAAACTTTTATGCAAATAATGAGCAGTGACAGTGGGTATAACAAGTTGCATGGGAATCATGCAAGTTACTTGTGTCATCACGCGCTCGTCTCGAAAGAAACAAGAAAAAAAAAAGGCAGAGAAAAACCGCAATCGATAAGATTGTGGTGCACTTACAGATATATTAATTTCCACATGCAATAGTGCAAAGTCGCATCGTAGGAGTAGAGGTGTATGCAGAAAACACGAGCGCGAGAGAGAGACACGAGATTCGCGTGCATTGGACAGTTGACACTCACCTTGAAACCGCAGAGAATTTGCAGAAGTTGTGGAGTCGTCGTTTGCAGTAGATGCCATTGCTCGTGCTTAGTGTCATATAAAAAAGCGAGGCAAAGGAGCGCGAAGACACGATGGCGATTTCTCTTATAAAATAGCTACACGTCGATGACCAATTACGAAATTACTTCGGTATATACAGCGACGTGATCGGTTGTTAATGTTGCTGCTTGCCAATTGCATCACATGAGGAAGAAGTATAGAAGCTGATGGACTGACGACTGGCAAGTCTCGCGTATGAAAACTGCCCGCCTTCTTCCGCATGCGAGTCGCGATGATCATTTAAATACCTCCTTACGAGCAGCTGCTGTGTGTCAATGTGTTCGCGAGTCGCGAGAGTGTGTGCGACAACCGACTATTGTCCTATATATAACTATAGCTATCAAATGTACAACTATATACAAACGTAAAAGCTGCAGCCACGAGCGACTTGATAAATGTGCGCCGACTACAGCTGCGCGATGCATATAAACACTCCCCCTTCCGTATACGCTAATGTGCACTTTTTTTCAGCTACGATCGTCGCATTGATTTTGTTCGCAAAACGCATGCACGCACAAACTGTGTGGACGAAAAAATTCTTGAGCCAGCTTTCTATTTTTTCTTGTAAATAGATATTTATTTTGCATATACAAAGTTGTTTTTATCATTTAAGCCTAAGGTATTTGTTACCTAATTTATACATATTTATGCAGTTTACCATTTTACCTGTTAAAAGAAAAATTTTACAAGTAGTATTAATACTAAGGTAATTCATTGTCTTGGTAAACTTTTTACAAAATCTGCTTTAGTTGAAAAAATCGTAGTATTTTGCACATTGTGAAAAATAAAACTAATTCATAACAGTTCAGAGTTTTTAAAAATTGAGATTTTGAAAGCATTTTTATATCTCACCCTATAAATTAATTCAAGTTTATCTTTCAATATTAAACCACACTGATTTACTTCTTGGCAAAAGATATCTTCATCGCGTGAGATGGCGTTATCTTGAATCCTTGAAGTGCTTCTTTAGCAGTAGCTGACTGTACTTCATTTTCAAATTCAACAAAAGCAATATCATGTCGATTTGGAACCAAGCGCACTTCTTTAAAACCAGGAAATTGGTTAAACAACATTGATAACATAATAGAACTTGTTTCATCTGGTAGGTTCGTGAGGAAAAGAATTTGATTTGGTGGTTGCTCTGGAACAGCATTATTGCCAGGCATTCCCATGTGACTTGGTGTGTATCCAGGAGCAGATTTGGCTTGTTCTTTTGCTCGCTTCTTAGCTTTCTTGGCTTCATCTTCTGCTGCTGATAACACTCTTTTTGGTTTCTTTGGTCTTTCTTGGAAAGTACCTTTCATCTTGGCAATAATATCACTGTCAGTTTTGGAATAGTTTATTTGCTGAAAAATATAACATGATAATTGATGATTTCAATTGTGAGTTCATTATTTTAACCATTAAACAATGCAATTGACTGACTCACCATAGGTTTATCATAAAATGGAAATCCTTGCATGGATCTCAGGGCGTTTGTTGCACTAGATATTTCCTTAAAAATAACAAATGCTTGACCCCTCATCTTCAATGTTTTCAGTGCAACTATATCTAAGATTTGTCCAAACTGTGAAAATATTGCGTAGAGTGATTTTTTTAATTCTTCTTTCTTAATTTTTTCATTGAGATTGTTTATGTAAATAGTATTGTTTGGTCGGACATCCATCTTGGTCTGCAAAAATAGTAAGGTTAAGTTTATTTGTAAAGAAGAAATTGAAAATAGTAGAGTGTTAACACATAAAATCTCAACTATATTGTAATTTCACAGTACTGAATCATGATACTTTAAAGATTTGAATTTAACAAATCATATTTCATAGTGCAAAAATACGGACGTAAATAACAAGAAATCTTATTTGAAAACAGTTTTCATCATACAATTTTGTGTTAAATTGTGCGAAGTAAAATGAAAATATTATTACTTACAGATGAGAAATCAAATGATTACTATAGTAAATTTAACTAAGCGACTACTAAGCAAAGGTAAATTTTTATAATATAAAAGCCGGCCCAACAATCAAAAGACAGAAGTTTCTATCATGCTTGATGCTGCTTACACTTTACAGCCATAGACAACGCCGTCACATCAGTTAACATAACCAAAACCCGACATCAGCGCCGTTATTGCATACGGTGAAAGGTAGTAATTACCAGTTGCGGATTATAAAGTTTTACTTTATCAAATCAAAGACTTTAGAAGATATTGAGGGTTATTGAGAGAATATGTAACCATGCTGCTATATTCTTTGATACGAATTATGCCAAAAAGTAGATATAGTCGAAACAATACCACGGTTTATTCGAAAAGGTTGAGAGTAAATTTAAATATCCCGCTCGTGGACCCAAACGGAGTCGAATTGTTTCGTATTGATCATTGGTGGCCGGTGCAGGCCGTGCAGCTGCAACCGCCCCACCAGGCACGGGCCCGTTCCGCGCACCACTATGAACAACCACTCCGAAATTTAACTTCTCGGACGGTGGTGCGCATGCAGGCAGCGCCTCTACTTTTACCCCCTCTTTTATCGAAATTTCAAATGCAGTTCCTAAGGTTCCCTACGAGCCGTGACCATGAATCCGTTGCGTCAATGGCGTCATTTATCAACGGTCTTCTTACTGAACGGCTTTGATGCTCAGTTTCACTATACGAACCCGTGGTCAACTGTTTAGTTGCATCTAAGCCACGTGTTTTTCCCCGCTTGTCAACAAGTTAGTCGTAAATAGTGAGAATTGTGCGATAAGTTAATAGTGAAAGGACCATCTCGCGAGGGAGACGATATAGTCATTCGGCATCAGACCGAAACAGTCAAGTGAAAAGCCATGGAGGAAGAGGTCGGAGAGTGCGATGTTACAATTTCCGATGAAAAGTTTCAAGAGCCTCAGAGAAGATTTTGGCTGGTGAGTACTTACTTAAATTTATAGTTTTTAAGGTGGGTAACTTTACCAAATTAACTTTTAACGATAATCCAGCGTTCGAGAAAGAGGCCAAAGAGCGATGCCATTAGCGTTAGTAGTATGGATATATCCATCGATTCAACCATGGGAAAAAGAAAGAAACGCAGAAAAATTTCTGAAGTTGCTAGCAGTTTTTTTGGATCGGGGAAGAAAGCAAATTTAAATCAGACGATCAGCGGAGCTGAACTATCATTTGCCGAAGTTGATGATGCACCGGCGAGTCCGATACCGTGAGTATTGTTTATTTACAAATTTTTTATTGTGTACATTTAAATTTGTGCTTCTCTCTTTGAGATAAATATTTTATTTTTTTTTTGTCTATAGAAAAAAAAACTGCAATGAAAATGATGCAGCGTCTGTAGCAGCAGTGAAAAGCTGGGTTACCGATGTAGCTACACAAGATTTAACCTCCAAGTTAACTGGCACTGAAATTAAAAGACAAGAGCTTATATACGAATTGTTTTGTGGTGAAAATACTCTCTTGAATGAGCTCAATACACTTAAAGATTATTTTTTGGTGCCACTTACTAAAACTAATATCTTTACAAAAGAAGAGTTATCGACCCTCTTCAACAACCTTGATCAGTTAATAACTGTGCATAGTGATTTGAGAGATGAACTGAAAAACATTAGAAACCATCAAGGTTCCACAGCTTTTGTAGGGCCAACTCTAAATGAATGGGTATGCAAAGCTTTTCTTGCTTTCTTTATAATAACTAGTGAGTATAATAAGATTTTGATATAAATCATCAATGATGGTTTTTATTTTATATTTTAGATGAAGAGAATTCCAGAATTGTACATAGAAAGAAGTAAAACTCAAGTTTGGGCCAAACAAATTTTAGATGTCAAAAAGTCAACTTGCAAACGTTATCAAGAGTTTATTAAAAAACGATCAGAAGTTTTAAAAACATCTGATATGTGGACTTACATTGACTCTTGTAGATCTAGGATAGTTAAATATCCTATACTTATAGATGAACTTTTGAAACATACCATCATGGGACATATAGATGGTAACATTCTTTTATCAGTTAGAGAATTTTTTAGTGATCTATTAAAAAAAATTGATACTGCAATGGGATTGGAAGAGTGCAAAGTAGCACAGTCAAAAATAATTGTAAAAGCTGAATATGATCCTAAAAAATATGTCGAAACTGCTATAGATCTTGTACTTGAAGGTACTCTTAAAGACCCTAAAGGGAATGTGAGTATTTCATAATGTTACTATAAATAATTTAACTATTATCAGGTATTGATTGAAAAAAATTTATTTCAGAAATACCATTGTTTTCTCTTCAATAATTCTTTCTGCATAACCAAATCAAATAGGAAAGCAAACAAAAAATACAGCATGTGCTTTCCTGTGATACCAATCAATGATATTACTGTTGAAACTTTAAATTCAAATTATTCTTCAGCAAGTTTCGAAATAAAAAATCAAATACTAGTATGTAATGACGAACACCATCGACGCCATTGGTTGGACTGTTTTAAACGCACTATTAAACATTTAAAAGACAGCAAGAAAAAAAGAAAAAACGTACCAGTACAGAAGGAAAATGAACCAGAATATGATGACGAATTAGATGAAGAAAGGCCTCCGGGATGGTGTCGAGAAACATACATTAAAGGATTACGAGATGCATTGTTAAGACATGGTGCAACTGTGCGAGCTGAGTCAAAAAAGTCTGCCTTACCACTTCAAGTCCAAAATTAAAATTCTGATTTTAAGCTGCGATTTGTAAAATAGTATTGTCAATAGTCTATAGTATCTTAATTAATGAAGTGATTCGTTTTTTTTAAGATAAAATTTTATGAAGTATTAGAAGAGGGTTCAAAGTATTAAATGAATTATGAACCCAGTAGTTCATAGAAACTTTTATATTTTGTACAGTACAAAACTAATGAGACAATCTTCATTATTCATAAAAAAAATTGTATTAAACACAAATTATTTGATTTAAGGTATCATTTATGAAGAAATTTATAAAAAATCAATTCATCCATTATGCACTTAGTTTAAAATTAATAAAACCTGATTGATTAATTTTCATTCGGAACTTTTTATTAATTATTACATATATAGATCTATAATTATATAAATGTGTATATATTATTATATATATAATATAGATTATACATGTTATAATCAAATATTAATAAAATTAGATCATTAAAAGTCAATTTTTCTGTACATATCTTCTAAATTAAGTTTTTACTTATACAATAAAAAATTTATACAAATGATTTTTTTCAACATCACATTACAAACTGTATCCATTTGGTGAAATGAATATTGTCTTTGTCCATATTGTAGTAATACACTTACAATGCTATTGAAAATTTAGCCAATTTAAGCTTTGGCTGGTTTCATGGAGTTTCCATCAGGATATCTTTTTTTAAAGGCTTTAATTAACTGAGGATCAATCAAATGAACGCCATCTACTTGGTTGCCCAAAGTTATCCAATTAGGCTGTACATTATGAGGTCTTCCAAAAAGTTCAATTTTTCTAGTACCAGGACTCATCCTTTCGATAATCCCATAAATTTCATCTGGCTTGTGACTGGTAGCTCTGACTTCTGCCACTATGACATCACTATCTAATCCTCTATTTATCCTTGGGTTACCTTTCATTCCAACAAGACAATGCTCTTTTCCATGGTTCAGCCAATGTCCTGTGCGTCCAGTTCTTATAATCCTTTGCAACTGATTTGTCTTGACCCAAATAATTTCATCTACCCTTTCATATCCCCATAGCTGCAAACATTCTCTTCCTAATTCCATAGCTCTTCCTGTAACCCATAAAAATAGTAAACCTTCATCTTGAAGAGCAGGAATTCCCAACTGACGCATTTCATCATCAGACATTGTCCCATACGGAAGTTCCATATGAATATCCCATGGTGGATCTGCCATTATCACTGCAAATTTTCCTAAAACTGTCATGTCTAGGTATCTTAAATCACATTGAATCCACTGGGGTGGATATAGAGTCAGTTCAGCACTATTACCAGTACTACTTTTATTAAGAGAAGTTGGACTATCAACAGATAAGCATGTAGTCGAAGAATGCTTTGGGTCTGATGTTCCATTTGTTGTATTTTCATCAACAGAAACATTACTTTGTTGCTGTTGCAAAGATGAATAATCAACTTCATAGTGGACATACTTACAGGTATCCATATGAAAACAAGTATTCAAAAAACTACAGTCTCCCAAAGATTCATCTGTATGTGCCTGAATTATTTTTTTGAAATGAAGTTTTTTACACTTACTAGCAAACCCTTGATTTAGTTTTACGCACTCTACTTTAGTACCATGAGGACAAAATTCCATCACTTGTGCTCCCCCTTGTGATCGAAATCTCTCAGCCAATGACTTTTCTTTAGAAGTTTGTTTGGATAGAAGATTGAGAATTTGTTCACCATACTTTTTATTTTCTTTCTCTCGGATTGTAGGCATGGATATAAGTGACATGATATCTTCTGCACCTTTTTCATCAAGTTTTGTTTTTTTTTCACATAGTCCTTGGTCACTTGTTTCTGAGGTAGCAGATTCTGTGCTTTCAGCATTTTCAACAATATCTGGTAAACCTTCAATGTTATGCAATTGAACATCTGTAAGTGAAAGAACTGTGTATCCGAAGACTCCATTTTCTGTAACTTCTTTGATTCTGAAAATATTAATGTATTACTAACAGTTTTAATTCATTAAATTTGAAGTTAATAAACATACTTCACAACATTTTGAGCTGCCAATTTTTCCAGTAGTTTATTTACATCAGAGTGAGTAATATCAGCATTAAAAGTTTTACGAAGCTGATCCATTAACTCTGCAGATGTAATTGGAAAATTAGTATGTGCTTCGTGCAATAAACCAATCAAATCCCTTTCATAATCTGTGTGACTCGTCGGTCTTGATGAATTCAATCCTTTACGAATTTAAAAAAATTGTTTGAATTTAATATTATTTACAAGATAACAGTAAGTTTACCTGGTGATCTAAGCGGCTCATTATTAGGCGATGAGGATAAAGATACACCCGACGTCAATGTAAACAACTCATGTCGTTCTCGCTTTCTTTTTTGCAATTTTTCTCTCATACAATTTCGTTTGATTTTGATAGCTTGTATTTCTTCAAAAGCATCGGACATGGTGTCGAATATTTTCCCCTTGATTAAGAGAATTCGTCGAGATTTAAAATAAAACTTACAAAATTAACTATTATGCACTGTTTGTACAAGTCATAAATAAATAAAATTCTGTCATTTGATTGAATTTCAATTACCAAAGCGTCTATTGTATTACGCGAGGTATTGTTTACCAATAAAGTTTACTCTGTGTTTGAAAAGGTTAAGTTTCCATCATATGTCAGTTGTCGGCATTTAAAAATGGCGATGTACACTTTGAACAGCGAGGGTGTAGTGTTGACAACATTTGTTTTCAAATTTATTATTGGTTTTAACTAGCGTTAATGAACGATTAACTAAAATGATAGTGAATGAAACAATTAATTTGTTTTATCAATAACTACGTATTTTTCATTTTAGTGTTGATTAATTACACTATCATAAGTTTGTAATGCATTTAGGAGTCATGAAATTCGATTAGATTTCACATAATTTGAACAAAGCACATAAAAAGGCTTTGGAAGATGTAAATTTAATGAAAAAACAAAGGTAAGATACAAGTTTAACTTTTTCTTGTAGTTTATAGTTCAAAAATGATGTTTACAAATATTCAAATTTTTTTACATTTAGATAATATAAAGATGGATTTAATGCCAATGTATGATGATGATAGTGAATGTGCTGGCGATCAGCAATGTTTTTCAACGAATATGGATGACTACGATTACGAGTATGTTCAAGAACAAGAATCTCTTGTTGAATTGTACCAATACTGCATTTCACCAACTCTAAATGATACTTTATGGTATTTGATACCACTTACAATTGCATCATTTACTTGCAATGTGGCTGCTAGGATAAGTATGTTAAATTTTAATTGATAACTAATTCTTATTTCTGAATTTAATATTTACTCTCAAAATATTTTGTTTTTTTGCAGACTATATTCCTCACAAAATGTTTCATAGTATAACGGCTTCAACAGGCATATATGTTCTTTATAATTATGCTTATGAATGTTTCTTTCTGCTTTTATTTTATGTTATTCTTTCATACTTATTTTTGCATCTGCCAAAGAAACATCGCCAAGGTACCAAAGTTTTTCTGCCAAGTATTTTTCTTATCTTGTACTGGTAATATATTCATTACACTCCATCATTGTGAATTGTTTAAATTAAATCTCATTTTAAAATAAAATTTTAGTGAAGTCTTCATGCATGCAAAAGATTGGAATAAAATTAGAGGAGTTGTGATGATAGCTGTTATGAAAGCTATTAGTCTTACTGTAGATATGTCAGACACAGATAAAATTGTTAATGTTCATGAGTATATTGGTTACATGCTGTGTGGTATTACTGCTATATTCGGTCCATGGACATCATTTGAGACATACACAAATTTATACAATGAAAAAAAATGGGTATAAATTGCTTCTCTAAAAATATAAAAATTACAATTATTTTCTACTCTCACAAATTCATAATCTATTTTCAAACAGAAACTATGGTGGTTTTTTGTGGTTATTAGCTATGCAATTGTTGGATTATTTTGCTTAAGCATATCCAATTGTTGGACAAATTGGATATTAAGCGATAATGCAGCCAAGTAATTTTCAATATTTTACTTCACACAATATCATAAACTTGTATTTATTGCTTCTACCCAAAATTTATTTCCAGATGGATGGTAGCCTTCAGAGATGCCTTTGGTTTCAGAACATCACACTATTTTGTCTGTTTCATATCATCGGCAATAATGCTTTTGGGTGGATACCCCTTAACACAGAGCTTACTTACGAAGCCTTTAGAAATTGAAGTCCCTCGTTCACTTGTACAAGTTGTTGTAAGCTGGAATATGCCTATGCATAATTGGTTAAAAACTTGTAAGTGGATACCTGCAACAAATCCTATCATTATTATTTTTAACTCAAACGATTAATATCAAAATCTTTTCAGACGTTTTTCGTCCAGGTCGAAAACAACTTGGTCGTTTTGGAGCCATAATTCTCACATACTTAGCCAGTTCTTTGCTTCATGGTCTTAATTTCCAACTAGCTGCAGTATTATTGAGTCTTGGTTTTTATACTTATATTGAGTATCAATTGAGACAACTTCTAGCAACAGAATTTAATGCTTGTATTGGATCTAAACAGTGTTCAGCATATAAATGTGAACATTTGCGTACCACTTATAATTGTTACTGGGTGGTTCTTGTAAATGGAGCTTTTAGTATATTAGCAATTTTTCATTTAGCATATTTGGGCCTGATGTTTGATGCATCTGAGACGCAAGAAACTGGATATAGCTATCAGCATACTATCAATAAGTGGTCAGAACTCAATTTTGCTAGTCACTGGGTCGCTTGTACTACTTATTTAGCTTACTATTTAATTAGATGATGTCCTAATGATTTTTATTTGATCATAAAGGATTTAATCAAAAGTGTGCCAATTTTTTATAATATTTTACATGACTAATGACAGGGAAAGTATTTGAAAGTATTATGAAGCGAGAATTTTTTCTAATGTTTTTTATATTACATGAACTTTTATAATAAAAAATGTTTGATTGAAACTTCAATTTATGAATTTATTTGAGATTTATGAAACAATAACTAGAGACACAAAAGATATGATTTAAAGTTTGTTTAATTGTTGCAAAGCTGATCTATGCATAATTTCATAGTACACTTGCTTACAGATGAAATACCAACATTTCATTATATTTTATACTCATACTATATAAAAGATGTCTTATGCACAATGATTTCTTTTCTTTTTTATGTATAGTATATTTTGATTTATTTACATACTAATTATTTTGTCAGGAAGACTGACACACATAATCGTAAAATTTTAAACGAACTAACTGAATGTATACAATGTTTCAAGACTTGGAAAAAAGTAAAAAAAAAGGTGTTCACATTAATGAAATTTTTTACAGATATTCACGAACAATATTTTGTTGTAAATACTGGATTTCTTTTTAAGTTGACATTCACTGACTAACATTACATTCTATATCATTATCAAGTGTTCAATAATAGAAAATAGAAAAATTCGAGAAAAAGTACACATTACAATTGACAAAGAATTTTTTTTTGTTTTTGATTAGCTTTTTTGATTGAAAATAATAAATACAAGAAAAAATTTTCGATGTAGCAAACTGATTTTTCCTTACAAAAACGCGATACACTTGTATTATACGCTCTAATTTATTAATGCAACATATTGATTTCAAAAATTTTCGCTAAAAGTGTTAATTGATTATTTTTAAGTATTATGATTTAAATTTTTGAGATTGTCACGGATCCTGAACATTTGTTTCTTACATCATTTTTTCCATATTCTAGAATATTTTTGAATACTCATTAACGAAGAGAACTTATTTCCATTTTTTTTTTTTTTTATTAATCTTGAAGTGGTATCTAGATAAATAATATCTAAATCAGTGTGCTAAATTGATACTTTACGACGTCATCAAGTATAACAATTTTTGTGAAATGTGATTCAGTCATAATACTCACGTGCAGTCTTTGGTAAATACATGATTGGAAAAGAAAATTATACTCATAAACATTCGAATGTAACATTTTGTTTTCAAATGCTAATTATTTATAAATGCTATTGTTCATTACGTTAAATGTCAAAATTGGTCAAACAGATTACATTTCCAATTTAAAGTATCTATTTTTTTGATTGAAATAGTTTTCTAATGATTCTTTTAATTGTCGTAAAAACTAGAAATTACGTACGTACATGATTTATTTTAAACATTTTACTTATTGTTCGTAATTGAAAAATTGTACGTATCAAAAATGTCTCTATAATAACAAAATCACAATCGCAAAAGTTCTGATACAAGAATACAATTTTAGGTAGAACCAAAAAACTTGAGTAAATTTTTTTACATTTGCGTTCTTTTCGATAGATGCAACTAATGATACCGAAGTAAAGTGTCTATTTAACAAAATCTTGAGGTTTAATCAACAGTTTGTTGTACTATATGTATACAGCAACACGAACGTTTTACATAATGTAATTTCACGAAAAAATATCGTGAAAATCTATCTACAAATTTATAAAAATATTTTTAACCTACGCGTCGTCCTTAGATCATTCGACCAATCGATTAAAATTGCACTTAATTTTCTTTATAGAGAAGCCATCATTTTTATAACTTATACGTAAGAAAGACGCTCATTTTATGAAATTCAAAAAAATAAACTTACATCGACCGAATAAAGACGCGAGAGAAGCCTACTTCATCAGCACGGACATTTATCACTAAGATCTATAGACCATTATAATACTTATGCATAATTCGTTGAGATACATTTGGACTTTTCTCATCGCACTGATTTGTTTATGTTTTTCGTACATCTTAGGAAAAATGGTAACATTTGTGCACAAAATATCTTCAATCTGATTGGAAAAAAGATAAACATGAGTTTTGATTCATTCCACAAATTATTAACAATTCCCAAGTTTTCATTGTTTTCTTTACACTACCAAAAACAATTCACAGCAGCTAAAAAAATGTTCTCTCATTCTGGTTTTCCTTCGGAAATGATTCATTCAAGTTGTTATGTAAGTAGTGAAAAGCAAGTGCCGTGTGGCATGTTCAAAAATTAGCACAAAAACGAAACAATGATGATGATGTGTGTAAGAGTGTGTAAAGGTGCTCTTTTAATCATCAAACCAGTATTATTAGGCGATGTTTTACGACACGATTGGATTGATGCGATGCGATCGTCTGCGCTGTTGCGATATACGTGGTACCGGTGCAGCTACTCTATTCGAAGTAGTTTTCATCAAGGCCGGCGCGGACTCCGAAGCGGCAGCCGCCACAGCTGCTGCTTTTCCTGCCCTGGTCCTCTGTTTTTGCTGCTTGGTTGCCGTTGAAGGTGCCATCCCCGCTGGGCCGCTGAGAATATCGTTTAGTCATCTGATAATTGCTTTTTTGTAACTTTGCGACGGGCGCGTTCTGTGAGATAGAAGCGTCGAACAGCATCGCCATCGCCGTATCATCATTGAGGGCGGATTGATTACAAACAAACAAACAAACAAATGGGCTCGATTCATTAAAGGAATCTTTTGCGAGAAGCTGTAGGATTGTTTCATTAACTAACAACGTTTTGATGAGATTATTAATATTATCAAATCATGCGTGTCAAATGAGATTTGAAAAAAGCAAAAAGAGAAAACAATCATAAAAGAAGATCTGAAGCACCGTGTACGGGAACAGTGTTCATCTAAATTAGGAACATAGACGATCATGCTTCAAATGGAAATCAATTCATGCATTAGGTAGGCTTTGTTCTTAACCGGCTTTGAATTGCCCATCCTCGTTTCGCTATGTATCCTTTACGCAAGCATTATGTAATACGCGTACTGTTACAAGCGTGGCGATGCATCGCATGACTGTACATTACATGTTCATATGTTTTTAGTATGTTTTATGACATTTAGATACCGAGAGAACATACAGACACATGAAGGATGAATGTTATAAGTTAAAAAGATATTTAGTTAGTAAAAAGAAGAAGCAAGGCGGAAATGTTACCTAATTCTACTGACATCAAAACTTCCACATCAACTAATCGCCAAAAAAATTAATAAATTTAGTATTGAATTAATATTTAAATAAATGCACGATGCATTCATCCAAAAAAATAATTTGATACAAAATAACAATTTCTGATTCGAAGTTCTAATAATAGCATATTTCTAGCTGTAAAAATGCTCACTAATTCACAACTATCTCTCCCTGACATTTTCATAGCAAAACAAAAAGGTATAACAAACGAAATCGACAAAACTTGAAAAATTAAATCTGTATAAACAGTATAATTTTATTTTTTTAAGGCTTACGGCCTGATTGGTGGTATAAGTGTAGCGTGAGCATTAATATTCATAAAACTCTTGCTGTTATTATTATCCAGGGTGTTACTGCGCGTTGCCGACTTTTGCCTAGGTGGCTGCTGTCGTTGTTGTCGCTGTGATGGTGTTGGTAAAAGCTTTTGTGGTTGTTGTTGTTTTGGTTGAAGTGGCGGTTCTTTTATCGTTTTCGTAACATTATCGATTTTTCTATACGCAAATTAAACGTAAAACTAAGCTTGAGCATTGTCACATATTGCTACATATAAGTATTTATAATGGAAGACATTGATCGACTTTTAGTAAAAAGGGACGGATTCGCTTATTTAAATTGATGGTAAAACTTAGAAAACTATTTTTACGTACGCACGTTACTATTTAAAATTGGAGTTAAGTTATCTCACTTGCTTCAAATGAAAATTAAAGGGCCTATACTGTAATCTCGTTATAATAACGTTTGAAGTTCAACTAACATGAACAGGTGAGCAACATCAACAATACATTACTATGTGCTCAATTTTACTTATGACGACATAAAAATAGTAGGGCTTTGATAGTCAATACAGTCACCGAAGAAGAAGCATTTGAATCTAATTTTAGATACGAGAAATACATTAGAAACATTAAATACAAGAAAATCAAGGACGAATATGGGGTTGGCTCGGAAAACAAAAAATTAAATTCTCAGAGGAAGAAAATGAAGCAAAAAACTCATTCAACGAGACAACACATCGTAATTATAAAACTTACTGCCTAGTAGACCAATATCGTCCGGAATTATTAACCGTTCCTGGCGCTACGGTTTTCGTTCGTGTGGTGGGATTCGACGTGTATCTACTGCTTAAAGGTAGCGTCGTTAAACACGCGCTGCGTGTGTTTGGTTTGCTACTAAGACTTTTGCTCGTCGCTGTAATAGTGGGTGTCTTGTTAATCGTAGTCATCGTAGCCGTTGTTGTCGATGCAGTCGCCGCTGCCGAAACCGATGACGTTACGGTTTGGCCTGTGACACGTGCCGTTGCCTTATTCACGTAGAGACCAGCACGCCTGATCGGCTCATTACCGTTTCTATAAAATATATATACACAGATAGATAGGAGATGCAGCCCATAGAAATGAAATGATTAATATGAAAGTCATGCTCAATGAGATTAGAACAATAGAGCGACTACTTCTACTCCGGATGCAGCAGGATATTCGGTATATTGGAAGTTGACGGAAATACGGTAGGATGTAAGGACACCTATATAGACATGTTATGGTTATTTTAGCTCACAATGTTTTATGCTTGGACAATAGGAAAATTTCAAACAATAATGCGGAAGGAGTTGATTATTTACTGATGGAGCATCGAGGTACGTAATTTGAAAAATATCGGCCAAACCTTTTGACGAGGTTCGTGGAAGCTGAGCGTGTCACGACGCGCTTCGTAACTGCCTCTTTATCCTTGGATAAGACCAGCGAGTTCTTCTGGCCTCTGTTGTGCAATAGCGGGCCCAAATATGGACTTGAAAAATATATCAACGAGGCGTTTCAATGACGTTTCTGCCAGATCGAACAATGATTGCGAGTGCAATTACTTACTGCGCTATTATCGGTATAGACGATGGCGAATTAACGACCACGTTTATTGGCGGTGACAGGGTCCGACGCGCCTTTATTAAATTCAATTTGTCGCCTTGAGTTTGCGTCGAACTTTTCACGGGCGTTCGTACGGGTATTTGTGTCTGAATGTTATAATCCTCCAACTGAATGCCGTCGACCCTATGCAATATGCCCGAAACGTTGTCGAAGGGCGATTGTCGCGTATTCCTTGGTCCAGCCAAATTCGCATGAGCCCCCAATGCCTTGGAGTATATTCCATACTTGTGCACGGGATTTCCGTTGACGGGCTTCAGTGGATCTTCGATCAAACTGTGCAAATATTCTTCTTTGCTGGAGAGAACAAAAAAATATACATACATATTATAAGCATTTTTGCTTTTTTAATCATTTTTATTGTATGATTTTATTGAAATACTTATTATTAAAGATGTATTATTTGAAAAAAGCTACAATTCACTTTGAGGTATTTTTTGACACCAAGTACCTATAGGTTTTTTTCATAGTAGTAATAAATTCTCGATCAGTAATTTTTGCTTCGTGATTATTTTAATACAGCACATGCTAGCCGTAAAATTACTATGATGGTTATCATAATTAGGACTGTGCGAACATTTTATCAAGAAAATTGATCAGAATTCGTTTCACATTAAAAAATTTGTTAAAAAATTTTAGATTTTTTTTATTATTTATTTTTCATTTTAAATTCCCTTGGTATAATCAATTAAATTTCTAGCCATCGTGATTTTTTAATATGACTCTTATTTTTAAGATGTTTTCGTTTTAATCAGTCAAACTCAACTTATATTGATAAAATTGACTGATGATAAAAAGTACAACTCGAATAACATATAATGCATGCATTGAAATTAAATAAACAATAATTGCCAAAACAACGCTTCGCGAGGTATTTAATTTCAACATTTTATTAGAGGTCAGAAACTTGTATTTACTTAGAAAAAAATCTAACCTCACATTTTAAATAGAAAAAAAGTCATCGCAAATTTATTCGTTCTATATTTTTTAACGCGTTTAAGTATTCCCTATCACGTGCTCAATGGTTCTAAGCACGTGTATGGGGACTACACATGGGTGGGGGTTTGCGACAAACTACCGAAACATTCGACAAACAAAAACAACAAAAATACTTAATAAAAAAAAATGAGCAAAAAAGGAATAAAATTTATTGAACATAAATTCATTAGTAACTTATTTAGTATTCATTAAATTATATATTTTTAATGAAATATATTATAATTATCAATTCAAAAGTTCATAAGTGCGTACTGCGTAGGCAGCGCAGGGCCGGTAAATTTTGGCCGGAAAACAAGTAGCGCCATAGTCGGTCCATACATTATACTAAGTTCGTAGCGTTCGACCACCCCACCGGCACCCTCACTGTTCAGTGATCACTCGTGCAAAGAAGACTTGTCGATACCTGAATCAACTGATTCTCAAAGTTTTACTTATTTTCTATACACAAGACTTGATTATTATAAATCATTCAACATGAGTTGGACTAATAGCAACAGGAGAAACAATTATAGAAACGATAGCAGAGGTAATTATAATAATAATGATAGACGCCAGGATAGACGTCAGGATAATTTTTCCTCGCAAGAAAGTGGCCATCAGATGTACGTACCGTCACAGCATCTCGGCAAACTCATCGGCAGAGCTGGTAGCCAAATTAAGGAATTTCAAGAAAAAACCAATACGAAAATCCTTGTTAAGAAGGAATGCACTCAAGGAGATTCCACACTGATTGAGATAATTGGTGATACAGAAAACCAAACTGAGGCTGTTAATGCAATTAGTAACCTCTTAAATCTTGGAAATAATGCGACGCAATCATACGGTGATCACGGATTTAAAGAAAACGCATTGGAAGATACCAAACCCAGTGCCGTGGATATTGATTGGGATTTAGCTTCAAAAGAAGCGGACAAATTTCAAGCAGAGAAATGGGCAAAATACCCACCAATTATAAAAGACTTTTATATTGAAGACGAACAAATCAAGAATATGCCAAAACAAGAGGTAAAAGAATTCAGAATTAAAACAAATAATATAAACGTTGGTCTAACATTTGATTTGGATGATCCATCCGCTAACATTGATGACGTAATACCCAATCCAGTTCAAACATTTGAACAAGCATTCAGACATTATCCTGAAATCCTTGATGAAATAAAAAAGCAGGGCTTCGAAAAGCCGAGTCCAATTCAATGCCAAGCTTGGCCTATTTTGATGAAAGGATTAGATATGATTGGAATTGCTCAAACAGGTACTGGAAAAACTTTAGCATTTTTACTTCCAGCGCTCATACACATTGATCGTCAAACCATTCCAAGGAAAGAACGTAAAGGTCCTACATGCCTAATCATTGCACCAACGCATGAACTTGCCTTACAAATTGAAAAAGAGGTAAATAAGTATAATTACCGTGACATTAAAGCTGTTTGTGTTTATGGTGGAGGAGATCGTAAAGCACAGATAAGAGCAGTTGCTCAAATAAGGGAAATTGTAATTGCTACTCCAGGTAGATTAAATGATTTGGTTCAGGAAGGTACGTTGGATGTTAAAGGTGTATCATACTTGATTTTGGATGAAGCTGATCGTATGCTGGACATGGGATTCGAACCACAGATTAGAAAAACTTTACTTGATGTACGTCCAGATAGACAATCAGTTATGACAAGTGCAACTTGGCCTGCTGGTGTTAGAAGATTAGCTTCGTCTTACATGAAAAATCCTATTACTGTATGTGTAGGTACTATGGATTTGAAAGCTGTTCATTCAGTTACTCAAAGAATCATTATTGTAGAGGAAGAAGAAAAAATGGATATGCTGAAAGACTTTTTCCACAATATGGGACCTGATGATAAAGCTATTGTTTTCTTTGGTAGAAAAGTTACTGTTGACAATATAGGAAGTGATTTAGCTTTAAGTGGAGTAAAATGTCAAAGTATTCATGGAGGACGAGATCAGTTTGATAGAGAACAAGCACTTGAGGACATCAAATCTGGACATGTCAATATTTTATTAGCAACTGATGTAGCAAGCAGAGGTATCGATATTGAAGACATTACTCATGTCTTGAACTTTGACTTTCCACGGGACATCGAAGAATATGTTCACAGAGTAGGCAGAACTGGCCGAGCTGGTCGTAGAGGAGAAAGCATCAGCTTTATGACTCGCAGAGACTGGGCTCAAGCAGAAAAACTAATTGCTATATTAGAAGAAGCTCAACAAGATGTTCCTGAAGAATTACACTCAATGGCAGAACGATATGATGCCATGAAAAAGCGCAAAGCTGCTGAAGGTGGTAATTCACGTTTTGGAAATAATCGATTTGGAGGAAATGATCGGTCAAATAACCGAAATAATTATTCAAATAACCGTTCTGGTAACAATTCAAGGTGGTAGTCACCTTGTGCTAAACAATAAAATTTAAACTACTTATTTTTTTCAAAGTTAGCTTTAAAAGCATTAGAATGTATTTGATTTGACATGGAATAAAATTTATTTTTTTCACATTTATAAGCAATTGATTCATAATTTATTATTTCAAATCCTCAAAAACTATTCCCACTACAACCTAATAAATGTAGAAATTTGTTAGCAAATATTTCATAATCAAGTTTTTAAAATTATAAATTTAACTTCATTTCTGTTATGGTTTTACAAATTTATTTTTTTAAATTAAATATAATTTTTTATTTAGATTGAATTAAATGAATACCTTATCTTAAAATTTTAAAATTATTTAAAACTTTACAAATTAAATTCTATAAAAACTTTGGTTTCAACTGCTTGTACCAGATAATATATTGTTAATGAAAAATGGTCTCATTATTGAATATGTGCTTAAAATATTTTATTCTGAATATACATGCAATGTATTAAATTAAAATTAAAATAAAACTTACTCTTCTAGCCATTGTTGTTGCTGTCCTATTACAGAGCCAGGTCTGCAAATTCGTATCCAAGCTATAGATTCTAAGGCAGATAAATGATAGTGTTTCATTAGATAACATGCAATTAATGTGCCTGTTCTGCCAAGGCCAGCCTTGCAATGTACTGCAACAGCTCCACTAGTTTTTTCGGATATTCTGAGAAAATGTCTGAGAATAGAAAGTGTAGGTGATGATCCATCCACAAAAAATAAATCTTTATGATCAAATCCTGCTTCTATAAAGTCAGACGCATCATAACGCTTTTTATTGAGTCTCACAATTGTAGTTACATTGTGGGCATGAAAATAATCAAAATATACATCTGGTGCATGAAGCATGTAGCCTGAAATTATTATTAAAATATAATCTATAGTCAACAGTATTCATTGATATTGTAATGTTTCTTACATACCATTTTCATACTGAGTACAAGAATGAGGACCACAAAAAGCAATAAATTTTTCTGGTAAGATCCAGTTCAAGTCTCCATTTTCAACACGTTCATAATGTTCATACTCTTCAACATCAAAATCATTGAAATCAAAGAAGCCTAAATTATGGCACTTATATATTGCATCAATGCAATCTTTAAGTGATATTTGGTAAATAGGCACTCCTAATGAAGCATCTCTGAACATTTCAAATGGTTGACTGTTGGTATTTGCTGTTAATGTGTTATAGATGTCATCTGGAGTTTGTTTCAAGTAAATGATCTGAAAATTAATCAAAATTATTATATTAAGAGTTTTGGTTGTAGATGATGTTGATTAATGTATATTTTTAAAAAATTGTTACCGCATAACAAGCCATGAGAAACGCTGCATTAACTCTTTTTTCTGGATTGGTAGTAGTATAATGAACAATTTTTTTTTTCAATAACATTTTTGAGCGTAATTTCCTGTCAAGTTTTTGACAGTAACGGTAAACCATAGCTAAATTGAGTGGACCAAAGTCTGCATAAAAATTTTCATATACTAAATCATCGTCTATACTAAAATAATTAGTATTTACTGTATTTTTAGCTTTATCTGGTGAAGTAACAGTAACAAAATACAACCGATCTGTAATTAATTAAAAAGTAAGAATTATCAGATGTTCAGACATTGTGAAATTTGATTTGAGACGAGCCAATATACCTTTTATTATTTCGGCTGGGCCAATTAATATTTTAGCCCAATCGTCCATTGTAACTACTAGTGTTTTTATTGATGAGTATATTTTATTTCTCTTTGTTCAATTATAAAACTAATTGATTCATCCTACTTTTGTTAGATCTGTAAAAAAAGTAAATAAACACGAGAATAAATATGGGTTTTAAATAAAAATTTTAAAATAAACATTTATTAAATCGAGTAAAGCTAACTCAATAATATCTATCTACCACGGTCGGTTTGCTAGGGCTTAAATAAAAATCTTAACACGCAATCTCGTACGACCCTGCTCCAAAAAGTTACGATTAATCTAGCCAGGCCATAAGTTGAAAATTTACTCTTGTGGCCTTTCGTGCGAACTAGGCAATAGACAATTAAATAGCCATCAAATGCCTAGAAGTTGAAGAAAAGTTGTTTAATGCCGTTATTGTCGGCGTAAGCGAGGTATAAGCGCGGCGTCTAAACTCGTGTTTTGCGAATATTTGCTCAAAGATATACTTACAGTCGAGCTTATACCGAAAGGCCTATAATAATCTAAAAATATTCGTTCAACTAAAAAATCGATTCCGGGGCTGGCTTAGACAATCGTTAAAGATACGAGCACGGACAATAACAACGGAACAGCTTCGGTACACGAGGCTGGGGTCCTAGCGGAGCTTCGTTAGTCGAGGACGCGGTACCGCTCGGGAAATATGAAGTCGAGCATGCAAATTTTGATTGGGTGCTAGTTAATCAGATTGGAGATGACGCGCGAGTATGTGTTATACGTTGAAAGTAAATACCCGGTGGTGTTTCTTATGTACAACACGCCATCTTGCTCCACTGAATGTCTGCACACAATATATATATATATGTATATTTACATATATGTATGCAATGCACACACAAACGTATCATGCATATAATCTTATGTGTGTACACAGAGCTCGTATACGTATACAGCAATACACGTACCTATTCGCGCTCTTGGTAAACATTACGGACTCGGTTATTTTTGCAGCAAGTTTGGAGCATTCCTGAGCGCCGTTTGAAAAATTGGAATGCACGACTCTGTACACGGAACTATAATACACAGCACTCACAGTTGTCACATGTATACATGCACAATCACAGCTTGACAGTTACGAGTCGCAGCGGGTAGAGAAACATTAAACGCACAGACGCGAGCTCGACACATGTATATTATGTGGGGGCCCTACAACAACAACAACACAGAGCCCGAAATTCGTACGAAAAAGTAGTAAATAAAGAGCTCTCAAAAACAGAAGCGAGCTCGATTACACCCCGAATGCTGGCCGCTGGCCGTTAGAGGCATTCGAGCGGTGGGGGGAACGAAACTCAAAATAACGGAGCGAGCTAGAGAAAGTGGTGCGTGCGACGCCAAGTCGAACAAAGTATGTGTACCTATCGATACGAGGCTCTATGACAATTTTGTGCAGCGGTGAGTAAGTACGCGGCGGACGGACCGTGGTCGGTGGAGTGCCCGGACTCACTAGATACGACTCCGGTGCGCGTCCAAGTGCATGCGTAGTAGACGACTGCTGCCTCGGTGCACAATCAGCTTGGCGTCGCATCGCATAATATATTAGCAACCCAGGCAGCAGCAGCAGCAGCAGCTCACGGCAGCGGAGCGGTGCGGCGGTGGGCCACCCGCCACACGTAATACACCTATATATGTATCAGCATTTGCACACACAAACACATGCACATAACACATTGCATACACATGCACGTACTACACCTACATCGTATGTACATACACAGCACTCGGAGTCGGCGGGAGGAGTCGAATTACGAGTAACGAGTTTATATGTGTACGTTAACCGATACGGCTATGTACACTCTCCCATGTATGCGCACAAGAGCTGGTCCTAACTCCTACGTTGCAGGCTACGTTATACGACTTAGCCGAGATATATATTATAGGGGACAGAGATACGGGATGTGCAGTCGAGTGTGCGTGATGCGCGGCGAGGGCGGACTCAACGTGCGAACTGCAATGTCACGTGACCCGTTTTGTTTCGCTCGGCCGGCCAATTGACGCGCGAGATCGTGCCTCGTTAAAGAAATCACGTCCAATGGCGGCTCCGCTTGGCTTACTTTGAAATTTTTTAACCGTCCGCGCTCTCGGCAAACCCATAGCAAGCCTTCGTTCGCTCGCACGACTTGAATCTATTGTCTATATAAAAGATACAGCCATGCGCCGTACGCTTTGATTTCACTCGTTAAACGTGACTATCTTTCCTCGCGTGCAAGGAATCTGTCCGTTATTATTACGATGCTTGATTGCTGCGGAATCAATTTTTTATGTCGAATTTCGCACATAGGTACAGCCAAACTGAAGCAGAAACCTGTTTTGTTGCCGTTGACAGTAACTGTCAGTTTGCGGCGGTTACTCTCTCTCTTTCTCCTCTTATCGCTACCGACGCTGCGTAATGTGTTTCGAATTGAAAGAAATTCAGTCGGCACATGTGCCGCATAAGATGCGAGTCAGGATTGGCGTGTATAACAACAATAGTTACGATACGCAGCCGGCAGCGCAGTAAGTATACAAAAGTCACGTAAGATTTCTAATCCGATCAAGCGTCGTCGTCGTCGAGCGAACGAGTGGATGAATTCTTGCGCAACTTCATTTTCAATCGCGCTTATAATTGATAAGCTTGCGATACCAATGAATCAGGCTTTTGTTTGACACGTTTGTAAAATACGCCGGTATACGTTTCCATGATAAGCCTCATCATATATTAAACCTTCGTAACCTTGACGATCGTTCGACTTGTATAGTAACACCAAAAAAGTTTTCCTTTTACCGTGGATTATTCATTCGATTCTCCGCGATTTTCGCTTAATTCAAGTTTCCCAACGTTTTTGAGCACGACTCCGATTCATCCGCGAGAGCGTACATACGTTACAGAGCTGCAGCGAATCGAAGCGATTTGTACTAGGGACAAAGAGAAAATGAGAGATTCGAATCAGTGAGGCCGACACGATATATACTCGCCATGCAGCTTTTATTTTTCTACTTTGCCTACGCAGCAGCGTCAGCTGCAGCTGCTGTATTTACATAGATTTATTTTTTGATGAGAAGTACCTGACAAAATCGATCGCTTTTGTTTCGATCGATTTTACTGATCGCGATCCAATCTCGTGATTTAAATATTAATACACTAAGTAAGTTATGACTTACATTTCAGATCCCGTTGATAGGATCAGTAAGGAAATCGGAGTAATTGCTTTGCACAAGTATGTCGGTGAAATTAAACAGTCAATGAATTGGGAGACGCGTCTCGGTAGGGCGAGAAATTCACGATATCTGCTTATCGTCGCATAAAGGGCACATTCACATCCGCCTTTGCCAGTTTTTCGCTCGTCTCAGTTCGGAGCATCTGTTCGTCTTTGTTCCTCGCTACGTAGCTGCAGGCATTGCATCGAGATTCGAGCGTGAGCTCAATTGCAGTGCAGCAGTGCAGTCGCCCACCTAGTGCCGATATCGCAAGACAAGAGTAGGAGTGTAGAGGGAGAAAGAGAGGAAAGAGTACATCGATCGTCGTCTGCACGAGATACGATGCACGATAGGCGCAGACATGTTCGAAGGCGCAGCCGTGTACACAGCTGGTGAAAATCGAGGCCCGTGCTCGACGTTTCCATTCCGTCGAGACTCTCGTTCCTCGTTTCTCCGAGCCCGGGTGTTCAAAAGCGATGACAAAACTAGCTGCTGCGGCGTTTAGATCGTGTCCGCGTATACAAAATAAGGAGGATGTATATAAACGCGAAAGGGGAGAAAGATCGGCATTCGGTACAGAGAGAGTGAGTGAGTGAGTGAGTGAGTGAGTAAGAGAGAGGGAGAGGGAGCGATTTGTCGCAGAAAGCGCGCGCAGCCCGCTCGGCTACGGAGATCAGGGCAGTCTGTGGGAGCGCGGGCACGCTGCCGCTGGTTATATAGCCGAGCAGAAGCCCCGTCCACAGACGGCGGCGGCTTTGCGCGCTGCTCGCTTCGCTCTCTCTCTGCACTGCGCTAGTGTGTGCCGTGATCATGGAGACGGAGTCGGAGAGCAGCCAACGCATTCAATATAAAAACGCGTGGCGCGGCCTGCCCAGCGCACATAGCACAACAAATCGTGTGACCGAGCGTTACTCTGTTGCTGCTGCTGTCGCTGCCGCTGACTCTGCTGCCGCTACCACAGCCACCTCCTTTATTCGTAGTCGTCGTACGAGCACTCGTCAAAACTTGCTTCCCTGACGATTTTCCTCCTTTCCTCGTACTCCATCGTTGGATTTTCTTCGTCCCGTAATCCTCCGATTCCTGTAGTTGGCCTACGAGAAAACTCTGAGCTCCTAACCAAACACCAAGCGGTATTCGATGCATCTACTTCTGCTGCTGCTGCTGTCGATGCTGTGCTGAATTGTAAACAACCAAAAGGAGTCATTTATCGATTTTTGACATAGTATACACACACCCCAATATTCCAAGTGTCCAAGTGTTAGTGTACAGTGGAGTGTGGGCAGTTCTCTCAGGGTCATAGTGTAGAGTTCGTGTGAACGCGTGTGTAAAGTTGCTACTGCTACTTGTAACGCTGCTGCAATAAGCCATGCCGAGCAAAAAGAAAAAGTACAACTCTCGTTTTCCTCCGGTAAGCAATTCCTGTAAAGATAAAGCTCACTAGAAATTATCGTCGTGTGAGTCTGTTTCTGTTTTTGTTTTTCCTCCGTTTTTCCTTTTTTTTTCTTTTTTAACGGAAACTCATTGGCTCGTGTAGTGCTGCAACGGTGTGCGTGCCTGCTTGTGCGTGGGTGTCTGTAATGCATTGCGATTACATGTATCAGCCATCCAATGGCCGCACCACTACTATTTTGCATGCTGTTGTCTTACTACATTGCTAATATTTGTGTTCCCCACCTATTTTATATCGGATGCCCGATTTACGTGTGTATGTGTGTGTAAGTGAATGTCTATCCATGCATTATACACATTCACTCACACAACTCAGACAAGCATACACAATTCGCACAAACACACACGCGCGCACACATACGCACACATACACAGTGTGTATTACACACACTCACATGTAGTATTTAGCCTTTGATACGCATTTATGCAGACACACATAAATGATAAATTATTTTGCATTAATGTGATCCATTTTGTTTTTCTGTTTTATTGCCAACAGAGCCGCATCAAGAAGATCATGCAAACGGATGAAGAAGTTGGCAAAGTCGCACAGCCTGTGCCCATCATAATCTATATCCTTTTTATTACAACGAACAAAGACAAAGCAAGAGAGAAGTAATTTCGTTGCCGACTCGACCATGGCCGTCCCATAAAGTCGACTCTATATTCCAGCGGCAGCATAAAAACGAGCGGCTGGTCCTTTTATCTCGGAGCACCTTCAGCTCGATCAGCCCGTGCTGATATGCAAATGTAACAGCTCGTAACTCGTAATATGCACCTATACGTGTGCATACTGCATACGTCTCGTATTAGCTAATGTCGATCGATGCCAATTGCTTTATATCTGTCTACATTCTGCAGAAGCTTCGGTTCTATACCTAGATCTCTTGAACTGCTTGCGCTGCTGCTACGCTAGCTATCAACCTTGGAAGTGCATTCGGTGCCTGTATGATTTACGTGCGCGTTTTTTAGTTCTCTGGATATCTATTACACGCCTGTGTGTTGCATTCGTTTTTCGAGCACATTGCTGCATCTCTCGATGGCCCGAATACGTGTGTCGAGGCAGCAGTCAGCACATATATTTTACGCACACATGGTCGCGATGAGAAAACTGAGCGCCGCCGCATATGAGATAGCTTCGATCCACGATAGCTGAGCTGTATAACAGCGCAGCTGCGCGAACGATGGAATGTGCCAACTATACGGAAAAGAAGCGCGCAACTCCGAAAGAGCTGCCCGCGTACCGCACAACATTTTAGTTAAGCTTAAACTACACGAAAGTATATTTAATATAATACAAACTTTACGTTTTAACTTTCACGTATATCAGCTGTCGTGTGGCTGTAGTGAGCGCACTCATTATGTTGACCGTTACTTTCCAAATGCAATCGACGCACAGAATGCATAAAACTCGTCGCTCGACTTGCACAACTTAATATTTATGTTTTTATGAGTATCCATAAAATTTTCCTTAACCACTTCTACACCTAGAACATTGGAGCTATTTGTTCAAGCGCTACTCACCAAAACCAATGAGATTGTTACTGCGAGACAGGCCAAAACACTCAGTCCTGCTCATATGTAATTTACAACTTTTCTTTGTACATTTTTCTTTTCATATCAATAAACAGAAATCTTATTTTATTTTCTTTTTTCTATTTAGGAAGCAGTGCATTATGACAGAACCAAGATTTGATTTTTTAAAAGATTTAGTAAAAAATATACATGATGCATCTAGTGGAGACAGAACTGGTCCTACATTAGTGCCTTCAACCTTAACATTATCTAATCGTCCAACCGTACCTGCTAATTATGTACCTACAGTTCTTCAAACCATGACATCTCAGTATGTATCGCAATTTAATTTGTTGTTCCATATGTAAGAAATACTGATAATTATTTGTGAATTGCTCTTACAGAACTGCTGAAGATGTATCATCTTGTGCACAAATTCCTCCCAATGAAGTCTTGCAAAGCAATGGAACATCTGATTCTGTTTTTGTAATGCCAAACAAAATCTGTAGCATCAAATCCGAAGAAACAGTATTCTCAGTGGATAGCTCAAAATCAAAAGAACAGATAACATCACCTCTTCCTACTGCTAGCAGACCAAATTTCTACACAGAGATAGTTAAAGAAGAAAATGAAGCAAATAGTGTTCAAATTACAAAACTTAGTATGTACGCCGCCAGTGATGAAGACTACGATACGTAGCAAATAAGTCAATAGTTCATAACACAGTAACAATAAGAAAATTAGACCAATGTATCTCTTTGTTATAATTGTTCTGACTTGAATCATTTTTGATACAATGAACTTGGATTATTTCAGGTCTTTGCAACTTGTGTAATATATTAATTTTTCTTTGCAACACTTAATAACTGTATGTGCAAAAGAAAAATAATATTTTTAGATACACTATGCAAATTATTTCGTTTGAGCCTGGAATTCTTTTTTTGCTTTTTTTTTTAAAAAAGTAAAAAAAAACTTTTGTTGATCCATACAGCCTGTAATATTTTTTTAAGACTGCTATATCTTATTTTTTTACTAACTAAATTATTTAACACTAAAAATTTGTTTATTTAAATGTATGCTCTACTTTTATTTAAGTTAAGCAAAGAACTTGTGAAAAATCAATATACTCTAGTTTTACTTTTTTAATTTTTGTATAAAAGCAGTTTTTGAAGTTCAAATTAGTTTTTAACTAATAATTTATAACTTTGTAATGAATTTCAATGCCTAGGTCTAATTTCGGCCTTTCCTCATTAATTATTTGTTATTTAAGGATGTCTAATAATTTCATTGTAATCACATGCAAATAAATGAAATTTTATTAATGGATGTGATACTAATAAAAATGTTGATGAAGCAATAATGTAGCTAAATACTTTTGTAATAGAAATGAAATGGAAATCGTAAAAGAATAAACTTGATAAATGTGAGTAAACAAGATATTTTATTAATTTATTTATAAAAAATTTCCGAATAAATTTCTCTCAAACTAAACATATTTACATGATAATTTAATGACAATATACAATTTTAAATGAAATTTTATAAAAATGTCATGTTCCTTACACTCTATATTTTGCTATTTATACCGCATAAAACCATACGTTCGCAGTTTTAGGAATAAATAATTTTACTAATAATATTCCATTAACTTATTAAGAATTCAACTTATTATAGTTAACCTTCACTGTATATGGATAATTTAAGATGTTACATAATATGTGCCTAAGTTATACTTTACAAATAAAAATGCATTTTATAATTTTCTTATCCAAAAATGAAAGTTTTTGCAATAGTATTAGAGATTGAATGAAACTATTTTTTCATACCATAATGTGTCATGATTGAAGTAATACAAATATACAATGTTATAACCATAAATGATTATAGTACTAGTTGAATAATGACTTGAACCACCCGATAAACCATGATTGAATTAAAAATGTTGTTCCTTATGCAATTCCAAAAACTCAATAAAAAATTTCCACTAGATGTTTCAACAGAATCATTTATACTAGTAACTATAAAAGAATTGATAAGGCGTACAGAATCGATCGGATTTTAAAACTTGATCGTTTTTATGGTGCTTTGGCAGATACATATAATTTATAGCACCAACGATAGTAGTTTACGGAATAATTAATACACTTTTAAGGTACAATTTTTCGGAATGCTTGGTTTGTACTTAAAATGTAAAAGACAATTATTTGCACCTAGAAATGATTATGATTTTTAATTTTAACATTTATTATGCTATACAACGACCTACGAAACATCTCAGAATTCGATCCATCGTAGTTTAATTTACAGCAGTGCCATGTAATTGCAAAATGACTATTATACCACGGACATATTGGTAATTACGAATAATGTACAAAATATACTGATATATTTGATCGCACTTTTTTACAACAACTTTGAAAAAATTCAAAATTTGTTATATATTTAGTAATTCATTGATCTTTCATAATAACTTGGATTTAAATGTTTTATGAGAGAGCAAATCGCTGAATTAAAATAATAATCATAATTAATAATAGTAATGTACAGTTTGGAACCTTTTGACTTTAGTTATAAAAATAAACGCACTTTTTTACTTCCTTAGAATGTTACATTATGATCTAATATTATGGTTGTTACTTGGATTTACATAAAATAACTTTATGCGAAATTCTCATAACTCATGTGTACATACATAAAAATACAATTTTGCACATCTACGACGTACATAAGAAATTAATGATTAACAAAATTTATCGATGAACTCTACTTGCTTAATAAAGGCTAAAAAATGTGCATCATGTGATTTTTTTGCACTCAGTCTAATTATCGACGTTTCCTTCGTAAAGCGACTCGCATTTTTCCAATAGTCTGAGAACTGGATTGATGTTGTAAGGAAACAAATCCTTGGACACAAGTCTGTCAATAGCCTGTTTGAGATTGGCTAATACTGCCATAGTATCATCAAGATCTCGGCCGCAGCAATTTACGAATTCTGGCCAGAAGCGCCTAATATATTTCAAAAATCTGTACAAATAAAGCAAAAAACAAGTTTCATTGCTTACAAGAAAATCTAGTAGCACATCATGATCATGTGAGACTGCTCTAATAAATTGTACAAATGTTAAACTTGGGCTCAACATATTTCCCAAATCATTTTGTGGTGGACCTCTATAAAATAATCCATTAGCTACGTCAAGACAACAGACCATACTTTCTATAAGATAATCATCTTGGTCATGGAACATTTGAACCACCCACTGAGATAGAGGCATTTCTGGATGGAAAGGCATCAAGACTTTGACACATTGATCCAACTGTCTCAAAACTTCTCGTATGCTTCGCTCTATTACGGCCATGTCTGCATCAAGATCTTCTGCATCTGATGCTAAAGAAGAATCACTTGAGTCACTGCGAGTTTCCTTTACTGTTACCGCTACACTTTTGAGAACTAGCAGCACAATTTTTTGAAGCAAAGGTTGATCACCATCCCCAGTACCACCACCAAACCTTCCTGAACCATGTCTGTAAGGTAATGAATCTAGTAATCTCCAATCTTTGACTGCTCGAACTACTAAATGAGCCAATGAACATGGTTCATCCGGTAATACATCTTGAAGTGCTAAAGTACTGCCATAACAGAGAACTTCATTAAATAGACCAAGTAAATGCCGCCATATCACACCAGGTACATTGGCATTCAATAAAACCACTAAATTATCTAATTGTGTGTAAAATAGTTTAGTATCGATAACTGACAAATTAGCCTTGACTGAAATGATAGATTCCCATAGATCAAGGAATGTTATAACTGCTGATTCATGTTGAGGCGTATAAGAACCAAGAATCGCATCAAATTTTGACACTAGGACTGTCCATTTTGTTTCTAAAGCTTTGACACACATTGCTTTCACAGGTGTACTATCAAGACTTTCAGGATCTGAAATATCGATAATATTGCAATGAGGAGGTGGATGAGATGTTTCCGCATCTTCGAGTGGATGAATGCTACAATCTTTGTATTCCACAACCCTTTTGACTACATCCAAAGTAAAGAGCATTTGAGTAGGTGAATTTGTATTCACAAGAGACTGAGTGAGTCTTTCTAGCCAAGCTGTATCTATACTTTCTTTTGTAATTATGAAAAAAGAAGCTAAGGCTCGACTGGTAGCAAAAGATATAAATTTATTGTTCGAGCATGATAAGTCTATCATTTGATCCACTATTCCATGCTCATTTCTAGCTAATGCTCTGCATACATCTGATATGCGACTGCACATTGAGCCACGTACGTTCTGTTTTATAGCTACATCAAAAAGCAGCTGTAAGGCACTCAAAAATTCTAGGCACTTGTCTGGCTCCCATTCTGATAGTACAGTAGATTTGTACTCATGGTCATTGAGACCTGTATTTGTGAAGGGTTTGCGAAGGCTACTTTCGGACACATTACACAAACACTGACCAAGTAAGTTATTCTGTAGCTGAGCTATTTCAGACACTTCTTCTACACTTTCTTCATCTTCACTTAAGATCCTCTGCTTCTTCTTGGCAGGTTCCTCCATTTTCTTCAGTGGAGGAGTACTGCTCGACCTTCTAAGTACCATGAGCAGAAAAAGTTCTGCTTTCAATATTTTTAATTGAAGATCAAATTATCCGAAGGACAAACACTGTACCTCCATGGTGAAAATGGATCCATTTGTCATCCAAGTTTTTGATTAACATATGTTGATATCTAAAAAAAAAGTAATTAGTGAATAAAAATTTTTACAAGTTACAAGAAAAAATTAAATTGCCATCACATGCCGTAAAAAGTCGATTAAAACGCTCGCTGAATGTTATCAATGGTATAAGTTAACGTGTAGGAGACAGATAAAACGAGCAGACGTAATTAAGGATGTCAAAAAAGCTCATTTACACAGTCCAATTGGGGTAATGACAGCTCATTATCGCAATAGTAGTTAAGAAAATTTATTTAATAGAGCAAGTGTTGCAGATAGAAACTTTGAGATGAATTCTTATGCATAAGGCAGAAAAAATATGAAAATTCGAGACTTTCGTATAAATAGTTTTTCATTAAAAGTTGAAACAATCGTAATGTTTTAACGTAAGCAGACTCACGACGAGGTCCGGGAAAGCAAAACCGGAGAAGTACGAATAGTCGGACATTGCCACAACAAAATGGAGCACGGGCAGACACGAAGAGTAGGCAAAGAGGCGCAGGAGGATCGGTCGCTGGGAGCTACCGGTATTACGCACCTGGTGTATCACCGGCACCAAAAGAGACTTAGCCTCTGAGTCTCGAAGTTTGAGCCACTGGAGACTGCAGCTGGGCCTGAAATGCCGCTCGACATGTCTCGGTGAATGACCGAGGACGAGATTGGACCCGGTTCCCGTCCAGGTGTAAGCGGGTATGGTTTGGCTACGTCGTGCGTAACACCAGGAGTCGGAGGACGCGCTCGCTTCGTTTCGCAGCGCTCGAGCTCTCGTGGAAGTTTAGTCGGATGTTTTCGGGCCTCTGGCTGGCCAGTGGCGCTGCTCCGGAGACTGGTGGTGCTCGCGGGTTAAGGGCGTTGAACAGTTGCACCAGGATCCGCGAGCTCGGGAACTGAGCGAAAGCGCGCGTCTCTGCTACTGCATCCACACAGAGTCCACTGGTGTACAATCACGCACTTTTTGTTAGGCTTGTTCACTGGGTTACTGGCCGAGCAGGCGACGCGTGCCAGCAGTCAACTGCAGCTGGTCACTGTGTCGATTGTTTACAATCAACCTCGTCTCGACGTCGACGTCGCACGAATCCGCGTATCGAGTATATATCCCGCAGTTATCCGTAATAAATACTGACGGCGCTACAAGTGCCTGTGCTATGTGCTGCCGCAGACTTGGTGCTCGATCAGTGTAGCTGCGCGCGATTGGCCTCTCTCTCTCTCTTTCTCTCTCGCAGCCTCGAATGGCTCGAACACCGAGCGAGAGGCGTAATGGCGGCGTTGCCAGATTTACTCGTGCAAATTCTATAGCAGTTCTGTAAATCGGAGCTATGAGCGCGAGGACCGAGATATGAGTTGCGCCAACGAGTATAGCGTTCACACTCCTTCGAACGAGTCAAAGTCCACGCTACTACCGTGCGCAACTGACAGATGCGCAGTCGACCAACGCGCTCCGATCCGAATTCCAAATTACAAATCAAATCGTTCGACACGAGGCCCGCCGCTCGGAAGATCCAACTCCAGAAACTGCAGCATGCTCGCGACTCCTTGTGTCGGTCCCGGCGATCTCTCTGAATGCTTAATTTTCTCGCCCGCTTTTCCGAGACCAAGTTGAGCTTATAAGGATCGCAAGGAAAGAGAAGCTCGGCGCGATTCTGCGTAAGACTGGTAGCGATGTCCGATGATCGAGGCTCGCGCTCGCAACTGCCGAGGTTGGATGAATGAGTTTTCTCTGAAGAAAAGGCTCGATACTTTGGGAAAACATGGAATTATCGCTGAAATATTCTCCGATTCGTTTTCCAGACTTTGAACGCCTCGAGTTCGCGACTTTTCCATAAGCTCGCATTCAATAATCATTGGCCATATCTAAGCTTGAGCATGGAAAACTGGCAACGTCGCATTAGAGTTCGACCCACGGTGTCGCTGCCCCGACCCGATCTGATCATCGACTAACGCCATCTAAAAACGTAATTGACAACTCCAGTCGCATTGAACTGTTGTTTTTTAATTGTACCAACTCATAGCTTGGAATTTAATTGCTTAAATTACTTACATAGGATCAATTACGCTTTATCGCAGTTTTGTTTTTGAAATAACTGATAACAATTAATTGTGGTCTTATAGCTACGATATGCGAAGCCACTGTTGCCATCCATTCAAAACGAAATTATACGCTTAATTGATGTAATCGTTCTGTTTAGCAGTTAGCTTGTCTGTAAATTTTTGACAGTCGCGTAGTTGTTTATTTTTCAAGTTAAAGTTCTTTGGGTGTGTTTGGTATGAGGGTAACAAGCCGTAAAAAACGAGCATACGTACGAACGGTTTCATTATAAAGAATCTAGTGAACATCAAAAGTTAAACTTCACCAAGTCCTTTTTTGGTTGAGTTTTCTCTCTGAAATTAAATTTGACTTATTCGATTTTCAATGTTTGTTTTTTAATTGAATGGTTAACTTGCTTGTACTTTCATTTCTTTGTTGGATTTTTTAAATTAAAGTCTTATTCTACTTGGGTTTTAATTTTGGAAATAAAAAATTAACTTGGTTACATCTTAATTTTTTCACTTCTTTTTAAATTTTTAATTTAATTTTTTTACATACTTTTTTTTTATTGTGATTATTTTTAATTTGATTGCATAGACGAGGACCTTTTTGAAAAAGCCGCCGTAACCCAAAGCTTTGCTCGCAAGTCGCAAGTTAAATACAAAAAAAGCTATTATAGCGCCCCTGGGCCAAGTAAATGCGCAATTTCACCTCACAATTGTTCTTCGGCGCATGAGATACTTCGCGAGTGAAAGTTTATAATCCTTCACCTCTGCATATTTACGGCTACAATTTTAGTTGTACCGCGTGCCCCGTTGTGGTCACTGGTCAGTAAACTCGTCAGTTTTGATGACATTGTTGATCCATTGTAGCTATTATTGACTTTGCTTCTTCAGGAAATCATAGTTCAGAGAAATTGTACGTGAGTAAATAAATAACTTCTTAGCACTGTGCTGCATTTACGTAAAGTTGCATTTAAATGAAAGATTGAGCGCTCGTTGCTAATGTATAGAATATAGATACCTAAAAATATGTACATACCTCCTGTTAACTGTTTACCACACGTAGACTGAAAATATTTAACTGGCTTCGTGTGGGGCACCTTTCACTTAACCTGTCTCATAATTTTTATCTTGCATATCATTTTGCGAATACTACCGGCTGATAATAACAAATTGATCGATTACGACAAATAAATTGAGCGAGTAAAAACCACAAACTTTATTAGTTCGTTTTTTATTCGAAGTTTCTTGTATATCTTAATTAAGTATTTTTATTCAAGTTTTATAAATTCTTTTCCTTACTTTCAGCATAAAAATGCAAGCGATGAGTAGAACAGCAGTGTCTTCGGACATCATTATTATTACTGGTAACTCTCATACAGAGTTAGCCAACTTGATTGGAGAGTAAGTAAAAAGTTTTAATTTTTCTTCTTCAATTACAACAACTTATTTTTTAGTTTGTTATATCATTTATTATTCACAGGCGACTTGGGACTAGAAATATCGGATGTGCTGTATACTACAAAACCAATAGAGAAACCAGCGTTGAAATTGGAGACTCTGTCAGGGGTAAAGATGTTTACATTTTGCAAACAGGAACCAAAGATGTAAATAATAATATAATGGAGCTGCTAATCATGGCTTATGCTTGTAAAACATCATGTGCCAAAAGCATTGTTGGTGTAGTTCCTTATCTGCCTTATTCAAAGCAATGTAAAATGCGCAAGCGTGGTAGTATTGTGTCAAAGCTACTAGCCAGGATGATGTGCAAAAGTGGCTTAACTCATCTTATAACGATGGATTTACATCAAAAAGAAATACAAGGTTTCTTTGACTGTCCGGTTGACAATCTCAGAGCTAGTCCGTTCCTACTACAATACATACAAGAATCTGTAAGTTAATACATACACTTACAACTTATAATATTCACCATTATCAATATGAAATTATATTCACATATTGTGAATCTCACATTTTCCATTTCAATTTAATTTCAATAGATTCCGGACTTTCGGAATTCCGTGATTGTGGCGCGTAATCCTGGCAGTGCTAAAAAAGCTACTAGTTATGCCGAACGTCTTCGATTGGGAATCGCAGTTATTCACGGTGAACAGCGAGAAGCTGAAACTGATATGAACGATGGACGGTACTCTCCACCTACACTTTCTTGCCTGAGGACAATACAAGGAGTTAGCGTTGGCGTGCCCGTTCACCCAGCTAAAGAAAAGCCTCCAATTAATGTGGTAGGTGACGTTGGTGGACGTATTGCTATTATGGTCGACGACATGATCGACGATGTCCAGTCCTTTGTCGCAGCAGCTGAAGTGCTCAAGGAACGAGGTGCTTACAAAATTTATGTATTAGCTACTCATGGGTTGCTCAGCAGTGATGCTCCAAGATTAATAGAAGAATCACATATTGACGAGGTGAAATATTATTATTCAAGTTCATTTTTAGCAACTGTGACAATTTGATAATTAATTGAGATGTTAACTTATCTTTTTTAGGTGGTTGTAACTAATACTATTCCTCATGAAATACAAAAAATGCAGTGCCACAAAATTAAAACAGTTGATATCAGTATTCTTCTAGCAGAAGCTATTAGAAGAATTCATAATAAGGAATCAATGTCTTATCTTTTTAAAAATGTCACTTTGGAGGATTAAACATACGATCGCTGAATGATTCGCTCATTCTTGTGAGCTAGTTGAACGTATTTGAAAAAACAACTCCTCCACAAAAAAGTATTGAGAAAAATACATTGTATTTGTGTAATAATTTAATGCTCATGAACGATTACAAGATTTAGCTGTTTAAGTTATTTTTCTAAAACTTGAAATGTTACAAAAATCTTTTGCAATACATAGAGAATCAAAATTGTTTGGTTCTCATTTTTTTATGTGATTGATTTCCTTTTCAAATTCTTAAAATTACTGTAAAATGTTATTTTGTTCAGTTGATGCTATATACTGTTAAATTTGCTGTGTTTCATTTTCTAAATCATGTATCATTAGATTTAGTTATTCAAAGATTACTTAAACACGAGAGATTGTTGACATTTTAATAAGACTAAGAAAACATTTTTGATTGATTTTTTTTTGTTTTAACATATATTTTTAATTAATCTGTTTTTATCATTATTTTTATATATAATAATATCATTATTTACTATTAGTACCTTACCAAAATATAGCTTTAAGAAAGTAATGTTATTTTTAAAGATTTGGATATATATCGCACTTGACTATTGGAAAAGTAATAAAAATCGACGATTCTGAATCATATCCATGCGAGTAGTTTATTTTAATGTACTCAATGTCCCAAATTGAATAATCGCATGTTTGCAACAGTTACGAGTTCCAAATACGATCGATCAAACTCTCCAAGGTTGTCATAGATACGTCGAGTTGTTTTTTTGCACAAGTAAGTTTAGCGGGGATCGGTGACCGAGAAGACTCTTAAATCGTCGTGTACGCGCACGATTGGCAAAAATGCCGCAAATGGTAGTGAACGACGAGTTGGAAAAAACGTGCGAATCGCTACAATCCGAGGACAAGTTTCGGCGCAAACGAGCCCTCGAGGAGATCTGCGCGATGGTCGTGGCGGCAGCGAACGACATCGAGACGGGGGAGAAGCGCGACGGCGCGAGCGAGTTCCAGCTGGCCCGGCTCTGGGAGGCGTTCCATCGGCCGCTGGTGCGCACCCTGCACGACCCCTCGGAGGCGTGCCGCGACCTCGCCCTCGAGGCGCTCAAAAAGTTCCTCACGAATCTCGACTGCTCGGACAAGAACATCGTGTACGTGCTGCCGATCCTGACGAAGCGGCTGGGCTCGCAGGAGCTGCTCGAGACGTCGGAGGAGGTGCGCCTCAAGAGCATCGGTCTGCTGCGGGCTCTCGGCCAGAAGTACGGCGATCGGCTGTCGAGCCACTTCGACGACCTGCTGAGAATCCTGGCCCGCGGCGTCTGCGACAAGTATCCCGAGGTGAAGCGAGCCAGCTGCGAGGCCATCCAGGAGTTCTCGCACAGTCTGGCCGCGGATTTCTATCAAAAGTCCGACCTCCTGATCAGGCCGATTTTGTCGAACCTGACGCACCGACACCACAAGATTCGGGTGATGAGCGTCGAGACGATCGGCCGACTCGTGCTCAATTGCAAGAACAACCAGCTGGACCTGGTGGCCAATCAACTGGCCGAGCGATTGTTCGACCAGTCGGGCGCGGTGAGAGCGGGTAGGTGCAGCAGCAGCGCATCGCTCGTACAATGCAAATTACAGGCAATTATATGTATAATTGGAAAAATCGTTTGTGGCTCAGCCGTGGTCGAGGTGTCGGGCAAGATGCTGCTCGAGCTCAAGGACCGCTACAGCTGGTGGTTCAAGCTGGTGCCGCTGCTGCTGACCGGGATCAACGACGTCGTGGCCGAGATACGCGAGAGGGCGAGCGAGCTCTGGCTCCAGGCCGGCAAGCAGTACATCAAGGAGAACGAGGAGGACAGCCGCTTCAAGGAGAAGCTCGATTATTACGACGAGGATTTGAAACACTACCCCAAGCACAGTACGTACACAGTACACAGCACGACTGCCAACGATTGCTTTAAGCGATAAAAATAATCGAGTCCCTGATCGATTGCAAGTCACGCGACCGAACTTGGGCTGCCGCGAGATCGTCCAGCGGGACGCGACGAAGCTCTTGGCCGCCATCGGTCGCGAGCTCAACGACTGGATGGCCGACGTGAAGCTCAGGGCTGCCCAGCTGCTCTGCCTGGTCGTGCTCAACGTCGAGGTCGACATGGTCGAGCGCATCGCCAAGATCTTGCCGGCCATGTACAGGTAGGCTTACACTAGCTCTATCGTCGCCTCCCCTACCAGCTGATGCTTGCAAATTTTGCAGGGCCTGCAACGACGAGGACCCGCGGGTCGTCGAGAACGTCGAGCTCGCGGCCGAGTACACGGGCTACTTCGTGCCGCCGCAGAACTACCTGGACGTGGCGATGCCGAGCCTAGAGGAGGGCCCGAGTCCCGGCCACCTCAAGGTCCTGGCCGCGCTACTGCGAGGCAGTCCTCGCGAGGAGCTGCAGCCCCAGCTGGAGCGAGTGGCTCGCCTCCTGGGACAGAGCCAGCTGTGCCGGAGCCGCAAGCCCCGCTACCAGCTGGCCCTGCTCGACTGCTGCCGATCGCTGCTGCGCGTCTGCCGGGAGGACTGCGCGCCCTCGGGCCCGGACCTGTTCGCCGCCTGCTTCGTCAACTTGGCCTCCGCCGGAGGCGATATTCGCGTCGAGGCTCGGGCGCGGGAGGTCCTGCGGAGCCTGGCCGAGGCCGAGGGCCGCGACTTGCCGAGCCTCTACGAGGAGCGCCTCGAGTCCGTCCTCGGCTCCCTCGAGCGAAGCAGCGAGCAACAGCCGGAAGACTGGAGCATCGACTCCTACGAGTTTCTCCTGTTCCAGACGTGCCTCAGGGAAGCCCCCGGGGCCAGCCATCGCTACCCGCAGCTCGTGCGGCCGATCTTCGAGAGAACGAGCCGCGAAGAGAGCGACCAACAGCTGCGCCTCAGGCAGTACATCTTGCTCTCGAGCTACCTTCAGCAGTGGAGCAGCCAAGCCAACGAGGAGGAGGAAGAGAAAAGGAAAAAAGACGAGGAACTGTTTGTGAGCTTCAGCAGCGGAGTGCTGGAAAACGTCATCCTAGTCGGTCTGGAGTGGCGAGCCGGTCGAGCGCCGGAAGCGACGCGCAGCGCCTGCCTCGGCTGCCTGTGCGCCCTGCTGGAGTGCGTCTCGGAGCGGCGCGACTCGAGCGAGAAGCGCCTCTCGGAGCTCGGCCTCCTGGACAAATCGTCGACGCAGCTGCGGAAGCTGCTCGACGACGACTCGGCCAAGAGCCGACTGTACGCGCTGCGCGGCCTCGTGCTGCTCTTCGAGATCGGCCAGAGGATCGGTAAGCTCGACGTCGAGCAGCTGCACGCAGCGAGCGCCGAGCTGGTCGATCGGCTCGAGGACAAGAGCGACGAGGTGCGCCTGGCGGCCACCGAGGCTCTGCGCCAGCTCTGGCAGGTCTTGCCCAGCGACTACCCCATGGACTTTTATTACGTTCATCTGCAGTACGCCATGACCAAGAGCCTGACGCATCTCGATGATCCGGCCGAGCAATTTCAGAGTCGCCTCATGGGTGAGTCGAGCGCGTCTCCGTATGAAAATCTGAAAATATTTTAACGCTCGACTCGCATATTTTGGCTCTTTCCTTTTTGCAGAGTGCCTGCGGGATCTCATGCGGCTGCATCCGGAAATGCTGATCGACAAGATAAAGGAGTCGAGGGAAAACTTTATCAACCAAAAGGCTTTGGACGAGCTCGAGGAGTCCGCCAAGAAGCTCCTGTTGGACAATAAACAGAAATGAACGACGACCGTAGCTATTAATTATTAATTAATTATTACGCATCATGTCCGATGATTGTAATTGGAATATTGTATTGGCATGTCGGCTGTTTTCATGCTCACGTGCTTACTATTGTGATTTCATATACATTTCGTACAGTGGAAAGTAGAATAAAGTTTGAGAATCGAACGGAGATCAAAAGTGCGGCTGACCTTTTTTCTACTCGTCGATGTAGAGCGCGCGTCAACGTGTTTATAGCAAGCTCGAGAGCAAGGGTGGCGGGTCCGATCGATCCGCGCGACTCGAATCCAATTTACGCGTATACCAGAGCTAGAGCACTGGGGCAGATCTTCCCTCTCTTCCTTTATCTGCTCTTCGTGCGCGAATACAGCTTCACCTTGACTCGTAGTCGTCGCCAGTCGTAATCTATCGATCGCGCGCATGTCGTATGCATCCAGCTCTCGAGCCAGAAGTCACGAGTACACCAGCACCCAACGCGTATACGTGTATGTACGTACAAAAGCAGCTGCTGCAGCAGCACACGAGTATATAATAAAGTACGCGCAAGAGCGCACGTGCGACTATTGGCAACAAGCGTCGGCGCGCGCCTGCAGCTGTGCGAGCTGCGAGCGAGGAGCATATCATTATTGCGACAACGTCAGCCTAGCCAGTACAATCGCGAACGACGCTCGCAGCCGAGTCGAGCGAGTTTCGAGCGCGAATTCCGATCGCCAAAAAGCTTGAGCTTGAGCTGCTCCGAGTCTGCTGTTGGTCGCGTGAGCGCAACTTCGCCATATTGCTGCTGCTGCTAAACGCTTTTGGGAGAGCCCCGCGCGTCGCATGAGCCGCGAATACCAACGGACGCCCGCTACATCGTCGTGAAATTCTTCGCGCTTTCTGTATACGCATATTATACGCGATCAAAGCTGTGCATAAGTACACTGTGTACTGCGTGCCGCGAGCGAGCAAAGAAGAAAATAAAAAGAATCTCTCTCTCTCTCTCTCGCCAATCCGCGCGCCTCTCTATAAGCGAATTTCGCACTGACTGCTGTGTGTATTATACCGTGTCAGTGTCTGTATCGGAGTTGTGCGTGTGTAAGGCCACTGTATGTGTTTGTGCGCGACGCGTGTGTCGCTGCGCTAACTCGGAGCGCTTGTTATATTATATATCGCGCGCGCGCCGAACCTACTGTATTCTGTATCGCCCAATTGCAAAAACTCGGCACACTGCGTGTCGTCGTCGTCGTCTAGTCTTTGGTGCGCGCTTGTGACTGTGTGACCGTGTGTGACCGTGTGTGTGCGTTTTGTGTGCCAAAGCCACTGGCTATACTGCAAGAGAGATATCTTTGCTCGTGCGACAGGCTACTGCTGCTGCTGCTACTGCTGCTAAGTAGACGTAGTTCGTCGTCATCCTCGTCAGCGTCGTCACTGCGTTTCTAAGTAAGTACCTATATATATGCCCGATGCAATAGGTGATCGAGTGCACCTCGCAGTTGCAGCTAGTATACGCACGCACGCGACCCTCGAGTCGGATTACCGGAGCGCGAAGCCGCCGCGGCCTTTCAGCTTCTTTCGCGATCGAAGCTCTGCTGTTGCTGCTGCTGCTGCTGCATGATCCATAAGATACTTGCTTGCGCATCTTTGCATTCGGCCACCCGTTGCTGCAACCGAATTGTACTTGCCTACCAATCATTATCTCTTCGTACACGTATACGCGTGTGTAACGCACAAAATAATCTGCGCCACTGATTATCTCTCGACTCGATTCGCGCTTAATAGTCGAAATTCCAACGAGACTCCAGTTTCATACCCTCTTGGACACGAGGAATCTCACGCTTGCCCACAAAGTACATTCTTCTGATCGTGTCTCTTTGGTCTCTGGCATTGTGTAAGTGTTTGCTGACTACAAGTCCACTGTGCTTTTCGGCGCCTCTCTTCGACGCGCTCTCTTTGTTTTTTCGCATCTCTTCTGCAGCCTGCGCATACCTACCTTGGGCACGGTACCTCGCTGCCGAATGCGAATATTTTTCCTCTACCCGTCAATCGACGCGCGTCTTTTTTGCCTGTAATGCAATTTTTTTCTTCGCTCATTTACATTCGCGTACACACACGCGCGCACGCACCCCATTGTATTTTAATCCGACTCGGCATTCTCGTGCCTATATATGTCTGTTTGTACCTTATCGCGATAATACGTGACCTGATTGCCAATTAATAATATGACGTGTATTTATGTTGTGTATCGCTCGTCCATATACACACGTACGTTCGAGTGCCCAAGTGCCGTATCACGCCGAGTGTAACGCAGTAATTCGACGCGCCAACTCACTGCCTTAATGTCACTATATTTCCTTCGCATAACATTTAAAACTCGCCCTTTTTCGTTAGCTTCTTTTACTCAAGTTTTTTGGAGTTATTAATAGTGATCGCTGACTCTTACTGACTCGACGTCAGCAGCAGCAGCAGCACAGCGCGGCCTATTTCCTCGCCCGCATTTATACGGACCACGTTGCTCTCGTGAGTCTCCGGCAACGTAACGTGCTTAGCTTTTCATCTGATTAAACAAATGGATTCGTTCCCCCGACAAATTTTCCGTACTATACGATCTAATTGTTCTTGCTTTTATTCGGTTCATTCTTATCTTTGTCGTTTCATATCCTCTTTTAGATTACTGTACATAACATGACCCATGTGCTCCTTCTAAATCTCGTATCTTTCTACAGGAATAATTCTATAATGTCTGAGCCCGTGCTAGACCATGTCGACTCCGTCGACGAAGAGTTGGAGACGGATACAAACTACAAACCTCCCCCTGAAAAGACCATTGAACAGATCATGGAGGCTGATAAGGAAGATGAAAGCCTGAGGAAATATAAAGAAACTCTGCTTGGTGAAGCCAAAGCGGGTGGTGTTGTTGTTGGTAAGTTTTCTTTCAATCTTAATTCTTTTATAAATCACTTTGTTGATTCAGCTGCAAGTCATTTATACCTGCTTATAATAAACAATTGATGGTCTTGTGTTTTGTTTTAGGCAATTGACTATATCATTTCTAAATTAAAAAAGGACAAATTTAAATCCAATATTACAATCATATATTTTTTTAATAAAATTAATTTTCACTATTGTCATTACTGACTGTTTTCAATATTTAATAACACTCAACATTTTTTCAGATCCCAGCAATCCTCGAAAAGTCATTGTTAAGAAATTGGCCCTATGCGTGGCTGGTCGACCAGATATGGAGTTAGATTTAACTGGTGATCTTACAACACTCAAGAAACAAACATTTGTGATTAAAGAAGGAGTTAGTTACAGAATTCGAATTGACTTCATTGTACAACGAGAAATTGTTCATGGATTGAAATATGTCCAGAAAACTTATCGCCTTGGAGTTCCTGGTAAGAATATGATATTTTACCATTTAATGATGTTTTTTGTTTGTAATTTTTATTAGAGGATATAAATTGATCAAATTATAAATATTACTCAATTAATTAACTTTTTATTTTTGCCAACATGGATAATCTTTTTTATAGGAGTAACAGGTATATGTTAATGACACCAAGTTCTTGTAGCTTTATTATATATATACTGTACATTTCAAATTGTTGATTTATGCGACCAACAGAAATCAGTCCTAGCATTATAAATCTACGATTTGAAACGGCCAAAGAATCATTCACATTTTAAAATTATGTACTTATGTACTTATAAGTAAAATATTTTTATAGTATATATTGTAGTATATATTATTATTAAAATGAACTTTTAATTTTTTGTGCATAAAAATCTAAGTGGAACTTAGATTTCTATCCATGATTAAACATATTTATACGCATTAATCTTATTTTCAGTGGATAAAATGACGCATATGGTTGGTTCTTATCCTCCAAAAACAGAAATCCAATCCTATACAACACCACCCGAAGATGCACCTTCAGGTGTAATGGCAAGAGGCTCATACACCGTCAACTCTCTTTTCACTGATGATGATAAGTTTGAACATCTCAAGTGGGAGTGGTCTTTTGATATCAAAAAAGATTGGAAAGAATAAATAATTACTCAGTTACAACGCAAAATGGATAAAGAAAAACAAGCAATGTTTTAAGATAGACACCTTCTTGTTGTTTTCATACATTGTGTATCATTTATAGAATGTATGCATGTTAACGACCAACAATCATAAGCAATGTTACTTTTTAAGGATGTATAACAATTTTTTGCGCATGTCAAAAGTTTGTCATTTTGATAACTCATTCAATGTGTATTTATTGCTCATTTTGTGTGGTGCATTGCAGTTACATACATGCCATAAAGTTTGAATGAAGTATTGTTTGTAAGCGTTTTCTCTAATAAGAATTATTATTATTACTATTATAACTATTGTTACTATAATTATGTTGTACTTGGTTTTTCAAGTCAATTTACTTAGTAGCTACGTTGCGTTTTGTGAATGTGTGTACCATACTAATAGTTTTGCTTAGAAAAACCACATTCAAATTACTGCATTAATTTATAAAAAAAGTGATTGATAATGGTAATACATAAAAATGATGCATTTTGGAAGAGTTTAACTAGACAAAGTATTTGAAAATTTTAATGATGAAACCTAGTGCCGATTATACAGTAAATAAAAGTTGTAGATATTTTATGCACAATCGTTAATACTCGTGCCAATGTTGTCCAAACTATTATCAAAAGTTTTTTTAGAATGCGGCATAATGATAATTTTTCTTAAAGTCGTTAAAGATCGTTAGATAAAACGTCATTAACTAAGTAGCGTAATAATCTGTTAGGAAGTTGAAAAAAGTAATGAATATTTATAAATCAAGCTGATGAGATATTTTTTGAAAATTTTAAGAGAGAGCACACTTTCAAAGTACATTTTTAGATGTACCCCTTGAATAATATAGTCGTCCCTTCAAAAATTTAATTGAATGTTTTTAGACAAGTGCACTTTTGTATAAACATTTTACATGAAAATATATAAACGTCGTTTACCATCGGCGTACACGAACATAATCAACGACACACATTTACACACGTAGTACTAGTACATAAAGTAATAATAGGATTTATGAAACGACTAACATTGGTCATCATATGTTAAAAAATGAAAAAATTACAAGTATTGTAATTGGAGAAATGTTATCGTATGGGTAATAAGTGTTCACTGTTATAGATGCGCGATTGCTTATGATATATATTCAGAAACAACCGGTACAAAATTCGTTTGACCGCGAATAATAAATCAAAATGTCTACATGTAATTTTTCTGTGCGTTAAAAATTTGTTGATATTAACGAGAGATATTCATGCTGTGCTAAACTATCAATGATGAAAAATACTACGTATGCAAAGCCGCGAAATAAATTTTAGTACAAAAGTTAACGATGCTCTTTTATACTCAGTACTTGTTTTCAATATGTACTTGGTTAATCGGTTTGTCGAGTCGTAATAGTATATAGTATCTAATTTTGTACCGAAAGCGGCGTATTAGTGCTTTATTTATTTTCTAAAAAAAAAAACAGATTCAATTAGTTTTTTTAATCGTAAGATTGAACTACTTGTAGCGTAGAAGAATATATTTTTCCGAAAGTTCTATGCATTACATATATTTAAGTTGAATTATCGTTTATCTAATTGTAATAATAATTGAGGTTCATTTTTTTAACGCCAAAATAAAGGAAAATGAAAAATGAAAAGATGATGTGTTGTGCCGATTGAAATCCTAAGCATCCAAAAAAGTAACATATATTCGAAGACGAACTGTAGCAGGTCAGAGACGTTAGGAGCTGGAAAATAGCTGGCATTAATGGGACGCGCGCACTTGCGGTCGCTGCACGAAGCCGGTCACGGTCGTGGATGACGATGCAGATCGCCGCCGCAGCCCTCGTCGGTCAGCGAACTCGTGCATATATACACACACACATCCACGCAAAGAAAAAGTGCTAATATACATAGACGCGTGTGCGTCGAAGGAAAATTAACGAGAGCAGCAGCGGCAGTGAGCGAGCATTTTTGCATCGCGAGATATTTTCAGCGCCGAGCTTATGAATTTCAGACAAGCGAACGCGAAACCACTTGAAATCGGTTTGTCTCGGAAAGATAAAGATAAGAGTCGCAAGAGAAAGAGAGATGAAAGGAAAATAAAAGTGCGCAATGATCGAGGCACTCGGGGGCAGCAGCATTTAAGTGAAATAATAACAGCACGAGCGCAGCCGGTTGAGCAAAATAATTATACCATCTTGGGCTACAATGAGCAGCTTGGAAAGTGCTCAGTATTTCTAAACGATTTGAATTAAAAATTCTCGCAAGCTACGCGAGCGAGAATTGCGGAACGTCTGCCTGGCATTTCAAAGGATCCTGGGGAAAGCTCGATTTGCCGATTTCTTCATCCGATCGGAAGCTTTTTACACGAGATCGTTCTCTCGCGATTCTCAGCTGATACGATATTCATCATCGAGTCGCTGCGCGGGCCTCCTTTTCCGGACTCGGGCTCGCTCGGAAAGGAAACGCGGCAAGCCAGCTCCAAGAACGCTCGCAGGTACTTGGAGAGTGCGTGCGCCGCTTATCGCACGCGACTAGCACGAATAATAGAAATTCCGGCTGGCGCGAGGCTCATAGCGCAGCTATATACACGGCGTTTGATTCTCACGCGCCGGATCGTCCATTGTGTCGGTTCGCGTTTAGACGGCTAAGTAAGTATGCGACGAGAGCTACGATAGGACGACTATGGAGCGCGCGTCACGCGCCAGCTGAGAAGACGCGCCGTTTTGGTGACGATCCGTCGAGCCGAGTCGGCGAAAAGTGTCGGTGTAGCGCGACAACTGGCACGCACGTAATGACACGGCTCGCTAGCCCAAGACGTTTGTTCGCTAAATTGTCGAGCATCTACATTTGTTTATTTTAGCCAGATATGTAGCACGATCGTCGTATTTTTAGGAGCGACGGTAATTAGGATGAGTCAACCGATGGACGGCTTTGGCGTACTCGACAGAGACGTTCATTGCACTTGGTCGCTTACGACTCGATTATACAAGTACGAGCTCGAGACAATATAGACCGAGTTTTAGTTGCGGCGCTGATTTTGGCCAATATAATCGGAGGCCTTGAAAATGTTTCTGCCTCGTCGTCTGGCTCGTCTCCACTCGATGATGGAAACGTCATCGTCGTCGTCGCATCCCGAACTGCTATACCCTCGAAGATCGACTCGATCGTTGAGCGCTGAGGCCATCTGGTCAATGTCTGCGCATATTTACGGCGTCTGATTTGCGCAGCTGGATCGGATTATTATATATTTAGCGGATCGTGGGAGTCGCGCGTGTACCGATCGGAACGCGTGTACATTACAGTGAGCACGCAAAGGAGAGCCGCCGATATCGTGCGAATGCAGCCGATCGTGTGCAGTTTGCGGAATTTAATTGTTTGGCGGACGCGTGCTCGATGCTCATCGCTCGAATTGCGCCTTATCTCGCGCCGATTTCACGACGAGCACCTCTTTCTGCGCGTGAAATTGCCAATTACTATAGGCCGCAATTACGATTCTCGCGTTGCTCGCCTTCGTTTGACTTATACTCGATGACGTTGAATCGTCCAATTGGCTCGCACGAATTAGGAGCCTCGTTATAATTACAATCGCTTTGGGCCCTTTTATATTATACTTGGATAAAGAGCAGATCTAATTCACTTTGCACGTCCGATTTCTCGAGTCTTCTGCTTGCGCGAGTATCAAAGAAAAGTCGCGATTGCATTTGGAAAGTTATACGCTCTCGATCCGCGCGCTGCTAATTCGCTCGAGATATTTAATTAAATCATTCAATTGCGGCAGACTCCGTTTATGTGCGCGCTCGTGAGTTATTTATTATAAAAATCATGATGATACGTACGAATGCATAGTTTACATGAATGCCCGTGGCCGATCGTAATCGCGATTTTTATGTAAATACGGACTCGCGTGCGTGAAGTGAATTTAGTAATTCAATATACTGCTGCTGCTGTTGCTCGAAGAGAGGAAAAATGAATTATTATTGCGGATCGCGTGCCTAGCGCAACGAAAGTAATCTCCTCTCTCGTTCGACGCCGCTTTATATTCGAGTCAAGTTTCGTGCTCGCCTTCGAAAACGATCACTCCCAACTGAGCAAGTATCGCTAAGGAAATGTTGACGTTTTCGGAGCTCGCGTCAAAATAAACCGAATTCTGGCTGATCGCCGCACGAGTCGTAACGCAAAGGCAAAGTTTTCTCTCTCTACGCTTCGCTCGCGTATATATCATACTTAGTTTGCAGCTCGCATGGAAAGGAGATTTCGCGCGCACCTTTTTTTGTGCCTCTCAGCCTACAAAACGTTATAGCGTTTTTTCCCGCACGAGCTGTGCCGCCTCGAGCGCGCACAATAGAAAAGATGCACCGGTGCAGCGATTTCTTTCGAGCGCGCCATTCCTTCGACAAACGCGTACTTTTTGTAGCTTTTCTATATTTGGCTTCGAATCCCCGCGTCCTTGAGAAAGCATCGAGTCTGACGCATACGCGTACAGCTCGAGTACACTGGAATAAGCTGCTTAGGGCAGGAAAAAGATGAGACTCGGGATGTAGCATGCGTCATCGGTTGGATCGCTCACGAATTAGCCAAAGAAACAGTCGATTCGGAACTCCCATGAAAGATTCTCTATATATTTTGCAGACTTCTCTGTATACAAGCTTCGATATACGATATCCTCGCAATAATGCATCGAGGCTCGATCGAAGGCTATTTTTGCCTCAAGTTCGAGTGTCGAATACGAATAATCCTGATCGATTCTCTTAGACAGTCGCACGTCACCTGCCAAATAAGTCCCAAGGATCAAGCTCGACAATCGCAGGATATCGAGTGGCGATCAAGAAATCATCGGAAGTAATATAGAGATGATCGGCAATCGGGATGTAGGTGAATAGGTAGCAAGGAATGATCGATGAATCGAGTGCGTGACTCGGCCGCGAGTCAGCTGTCCGAGTCGGCGGATTTCACCGGTGCGCAGATCTGCAGCGGCGGAGTCGAGAAATCGGAGCGAAGCTCGAGCTCGCGAGTAAGCGAGGCTTTTGTAAAGCGTGCAGACTCGTTAGTCACGCGAGCTCGAGTGTGCCTTTACTGTATGCAGGCTAGCCTAGACTCCTTTTTCTCCGGTCCGCAGCTGCGTTGCACCGTTGCCGAGCGAGAAAGAGAGAAAGAGAGAAGAGCATTCAAAGCACTTCTAATTAATCCTTCATCCTTTATATTAATTAACGCGCACCGACTCGCTGCCTCGACGCGGAAACTTGACCGTATTAGTGTGGCACTTTGAGCGCACCTTTGTCTGGCTGTGTATTGTTATCGAGCTGCCCAACGCTCGCTTTTACGATCGCCAATCGCGAATGCGCCCGTTGCGATAATATGCGTGCGGACTGCTGGCCGAGCGAAAAATTTGAACAAAATCTTAATGGAACAGTTGCAGCTCGCTTAACCTCGCCACTTTACCGACTTACTTTTCTTTTTTCTGCGTTCGAGCGTTAAATTAATATATAAGAAAATAGAAAATTTTCTGCATTGTTTTGGCGCCTATAAATTCATCTGCATTTTCGTCGTTCATTTGCATCGTTTTCATTTGCAAATTATCCATTTTTCAACAATGATCACGATTTGCAGGTCAAAACAACGAAATATTCAAAGTAATATTGTCCATGAATGTTTACTCACAAACATACATCCAATTCAAAATTCAATATGAAAGGTTTGAACATTTACGAAAATTAAGAATCATTCATGTCCTGCGGCTGTAAAGTTTACTCTACGTTTACCAGTTCTTGGCTGTGATATAAATCTAGCTGATCAGTTTATTATGCATTTTAAGGCTCAAATTATCAATGAAATGTGCGCCAAAATGACGTGATTTTAATTGCTTCCTTCTACAGGAAGATTTTCTTTAAAATTGTTTAAAAATGGGCACCATTCATTAATAGTTATTATTGACACGACGTCTGCAGCTGAGAATTTCAAGTCTCAGATGTACGTCTGTAAACTACTTGATAATAATGTACTCAAATATCAGAAGTATCATGTGAGCAGCGTCTATATAGCTACAAAGCTTTCAACAAATTCATGCCTTAGAAATTGAGATACTGCCAAATTTAATAAAAATTTCGGAAGAAATTTGTTTTTATATTTTATGAGCATTTTACAATTTGGAGGAAATTTTAAGACTTTGGAGCCGTGATTATCAATTTATAAAATACATACGATTTCAGCAAGAAAATGTGAAAATAACTCGAAAAATTGACAAAATAAAAAATACTGCTAAAAAAAGGCAAAAGAATGGGTACCTACGTCACGCGGGGTTCCCAGGCGGTCACCCATCCAAGTACTAACCGCGCTCAACTTTGTTTATATTCGGTGATCGGACGAGAACCGTAGCTTTCAAAGTGATATGAACGTAGACATTGTGGAGAGGTTTGGAGCAAATTTTATTGTACTATTTTGGAGCAAATCATGTTAGGGAATTTATTTTACCATATTAATAGTGGTTATCAATTCATGAAGGGCATCAATTTTGAGAAAAAGAATGGAAAAATAGCATTAGGCACTAGAAAATTCGTCATCCCTGTTTACCCATACAAATTGATTACTTTTTGAGCAATCGAACAGTAAAATCGATCGATAAAAAATGCTTATCGTAAATGCCAAATCTCTGACCTTCCGACCACTTCGATCGATCAATTTTCGAGAAGGGTGTGAAGCGTCGAGAAAAAATAAATCGGTCGCTGTGGAGCATGCAAAAGTGGACACGACAAACGCTGATTCATTCGCGAGGATATTTATTTTAGGTCGGAGCGTTGCGAGGCGACCGACGCGCGGTAACCCGAATAGGGTAGGATTGGAGAATTCGCGGGATCGAGTTGCACATCGAGTAGGATAATGGCAGGTCGGCTCCTTTGCTTTGCTGCTTGACAATCTTCCCTCATTGTAAAATATCGTGGACGTGTGGCTCTGTACTCGTCGGTCAAACATCAAGTACACGCATCGTAGGCGAGTAACTCGAGCCAAGTCGAGGTAATTCAAGTCTCAAGTTTGCGCTGCACTGCGCCTACCGTACGTATTCGCAATGTACATATTGCACACATAGGTAAGTAGATGTACGTACACGGGTCGTACACGTAGGACGTATAAGGTTGATTGGATCGGTTGCGCTTATTGTCACGCATCGCTCGACTTTAAACAACTCATAAGTTTCTATGCGTAAACGTGAAAGATACGCGCAGAGATTGGGACAAGTAGCACGGCTAGTGGGGCAATTGCGCAACGCTATTTATCGCTCGATTGTTTTCGATGCGATCCATTGTTGCAACAATTGCGCGACTCGGCCCGAATTTACATGCGGTTGTTTGTTTTTCTTTCATTATTAACGAGTTAGAACGTATTGGCTATAAGCAACGGTCGTTCGCGGAAAGTCGTTGCAATCGTCCGCGCATCGAGATATAATTACGATATTATAATATCGACAGCTACGTACAACTCACTTCCGACGTGCATCGGCGCGCTAATAAATTTGCGAAATCGATCGACTATACGAGTAAATAAACAAAGCGAAGAAGCCGACGGAGAGATCGACGAGAAGAGGCGAGAAACCAAGAGCTGCTGCTGCGGCTGCGGCGCGTTAATTGAGATTTGAGCGACGATTTAAGAGCGGCACTCTCGGCACTCTCGGCATCTCCTCGCCGTAGCACACAATCTGCACTCTACACGGCTCCATATACTTATGGGTGTGTGTGTGTATGCGAGGCTACAGTATCAGCGCCGGCTCGAGGCTCGCTATACATTGCCTCTGCCTTACACACTCTAACGCGCAGTCACGCAGTCACACACGCACACACACACACACAAACGCAGGCGAAAGAAGAGGGGCAGTGGCAGCAGCAGCAGCGGCCGGCCTGGCTGGTATAGACGGCAGGCGCAGCCAGCAGCGACGGCGCTCGCAGACCGGCTCGATCTGTGCGAGGCTAGTTCAGTAGCGCAGCGAGCGTCGAAGCGCGTGTATTTCTCGTATTCTATTTCTCTGACCTTGTGCAACACCCTTAAACACAGACACACACACACGCACATACGTACACGAGTTTTAGCACACACACGCAAGTTTTTCTAAGCAGTTGAACAGTGTCCGTCATCCGTCGCCGCTCATCCGTGCACTCGCTCTCCTCGAGTATCCTCGAGTGATCTCGGCAGCTGCATTTATAGATTTCGGAGTCGTCCTGCGCGCACACGCACGGTGAGTGTCGCTAATAATAATCAAGCTCTTTTCTTCATCCACACCTTCCTGTGCGATTGCTGCATTCGTGCGGCATGCACACCTTTGTATATACACCTATATCCTCGTACTGCGCCGCGCGGACGGCGCTTCTTCTGCAGTGCGCTGGGCCTCGAGCGAGCTATACGCGCACCCAGGGATGCAACTTGCGGAACGTCGGAAGGACGACGAATGGCGGCTGCTACACATATACACGACCGATACGAGCCTAGTGCCTACCAATAGTGCAAATGCGCGCCGCCTCGTATACCTATACCTAATGCGGAGTCGCGAGTTTGGAGCTAACTCGCAAATTGGCAGTCTGGCAATGTCCAACACATCTCTCGAGACACCTATACGTGCCGAGCCTCGCTAATACATACTTTTTTACGTATACAAACTGCAGACGCCAAAGGCCGAAACGGACCGGCCCGAGCATCTATATATACATTTCCTTTTGTATGCGTGTGCCGGCTCTATATACGTATACGCATATACGTATTCGCAGGCCGCAGAGCATTTTGGGTGGGTTCGCGGCTGATTGCGCCTTTGCCGAGGGATGACGCTCGCCGAGCTCGTGTACACGAGCACTACCTTCTATCCCTTGTACTCGCATCCCACACCCTTTTTCTCTTTTGCCCTTATTCCCTTGCCTTTTTTCCCTTGTCGCTGCTGACTAATTCCTTCTTTCTTTCCTCCTTTTTTTCTCCTCTACCCCCACACAAGGAGCGCAGTCGTTTCCTTTTTTTATTTAGAAAAAAATGAAACTCTTGCGGCGAACGTGCGCGCCGACAAAACAATTTTTTTTTCTTTCTGAATTCCTTTCTTTTTTTTCCGAACGGCAGCGCGCTTTGACTCAAATATAATAATACGCGTTTTAGCTCAAGATGGATGGTTAAATTTTATTACTCGTATATCTCTACGCTCTGAAAAACTCAATTAAAACTCATTTCGCGTGCGTGTTGAAAAAATATGATCTGTTGCTTCGCCGCTAGCATATATCCTATATACCGACGAGATTCGTATGTATACGTATAATAGTGCAGGCGCGCAGTTGTGTGTGTGTGTGTACGTGCAGCGAGTGCGCATAAACACACAGGCGCGAATTACAAACTATAATTTGCTGCTGCACACGAGCATGTACCTGAGTGAGTAGGCGTATCTGTACGATAACGGCAATTAGCGCTAGATTAAATTCAAGTAAGCTCTCGGGCTCGTTGATTTTGGAATTTCTCAATTCGATGCGCAACTCGCGTCTACCTAAGCATCTACTCTCGCATTGACAGGTGAGCGTTTGCGAGTCTATACGAGTCGCGAAGAAGGCGAAACAATGCAACAAAGGCTCTCGTCGCGAGGCTCAAAATTCTCTCAGCGAGTCGTCGTCGTCGAGTGTGTCGCGAGGAATTAAAGTCGTCCTCATTGGCCGCGTGTAGTCATTTGTTTCGCAGCAAGAAAAGCAGCGAGAGACAAAGTCGGCGGCTGACGTTTTCACCGCGTCGCGTATCACACGAGCAGCAACTAAACGCGCATCGCGTTACACATTCGGTCGAACAAGAGCCACGTTTTTCTGGATGCTCGTTTGCTCGCGCGCTAACGCACACAGGATAGCTGTCAGCTTGCCTGCAGCTATTATATGCGAATTCAGAGCGCGTGTATCAAGTACGCGTTCGAAAGCTCCCTATGTATGATACATCCCGACGACACGTGTACTCCGCAGCTCGTGCTCCGTGTATACGAGCGGAGTCGCGTTGACTCGTAATAATATAATACAAATCGCGCGAAGAGCTCGTGCAGTCCGAGATAGGCAGAGTCTTTTGTCGCTTTCGCCGGCGCTCGGCAATATAATAATACAAGTGCGCGTGTGTACACATTCGCAGTGCGCACCACTGCTATTTCCGTCCCGCGAGTATAAGAGAGCACCGAGTGCAGCCCGTACACACGCGCTCGGGCCTCTCTTTCTGCATTATTTTGACGGCCAACGAACTTGTTGCCAGTTCTCGCCAACTTCTCGTCTTTTTCCCTTTTTTTTTCTTTTACTTTTGTCGCTCTTGGAACCATGTGCTCTCGGGGATATCTTATCCTCTGCGATGACTCGCCTCATGCAGCTCGCGGAGAAAAATCGCTCACTGCTGCATCTTTGTACGATCGGAGGAGCTGCTGCCGCGATCGAGTCACGCTTTTATTTCTCGGCTCCGTGTAGGCAAGCGATAAAAAGCACTCCGCGACGAGCTAGAGTCATGAACCTCCGTCGCGCAGCCCTGCAGATAGCTGCGCTACATGTTTTTTCGATATACAATATGTATTGGCTTTCCCCCGTACAGCTTATCCGAGCTGCACATCTGCGCGCGCGGCTAGACAGATCCGTGCTGCAGCTTCGACGCTTTATTACGAATTATTCTCAATGGCACGAGCTCGAGTACGTACTCGACTCATTAGCCAGCCCGACTCGAGCTAAGCGGCTACTTGCCCAAGGCTTAAAGAGAGAAAAAAATCGAAAGTTCGCTTCGCTGTGGTTCTGCTCTGCGCACACGTGCTGATGTGGGCACGTACTCTATGCACTCCTCGCGTGTGCAGTCGCTCGTCCAGCGGTCCGCGCGCGCCTTATAACTGCACAGCTAAGCAGCAGCAGCTCTGGATTGGCTGCCCTCCCGTGCACGTCGACTCGCACGTATACCGCAGCTGAAGAAGCTCCTTCCCAATTTACGGTTATCTACGTACGGTGTGCGCTTCGCTTCTCTGGAGTCTGGACTCTTTATGCGCGCAGCTCTCTCGCGCCGTACGATATGGGATTCGATGGCTTCTGAAGTGAGAATGTGGATGAGCTCGATATGTCCGTTTCTCATAGCTGCTACAGTACTTTTGGTTCCCGAGTTTGATTCTTAAAACGTCCATATTGAGTTCTCTCCTCGTACTTACTTTAAAATGCTATGCCATAACGATTGCAGTTCGCGATAATCGTGATAAAAGCCCGATCTATCGAATACTTTCCCGAGTTAATAGAAATTCACGAAAAATCCACTCGGGAAATTTTCTCAACTCCTAAGATTATTTCTTCCATCCAAGAGTGGAATTCAAAAGGTTTCAAAACTTGTTTATGCTTTAAAAATTGAGTGAAATAAGTCATCAGGTCAGGAAAAAGAGAGAAGTGAATAATAAAACGGAGCCACAGTTCTACATGCTATAGAAAACTAATGATCAATACCACACTGAACACACTGAAAGTTCAGCACCTTGGAAGAGGAAACTTCATGTTGTCCCTCGAAAATTTTATTCATTAAGAATCGTAACCGCTTATCCCAAGTTTTATAACATTCCCAATTACTTATTCAACTATGACGATCCTTATAATTTAAGCTTAACTTTAAAATTCTTACTTTTTTCGAATTGTTGAACATTTTAATCTCAATCTACCATTCATTATTTACTCAGCTATAATAATAAAGAAATCAAATACATTGTGACAAGTATTCAAGTAAACTGAAATTTTCCTCTTTCAAACTATATCCACACTGTGAAGTTTCTAATTGAGATTAAAAGGTTCAAAAATTCGAAAAAGAAAGAATTAAAAAGTTAGGCTCAAATTATTAGAATTTCATATATTTTTCCGATTCAAAAATAGTCAAGAAATCATGAAATAAATATTTCTATGTTTTCTATCTCGTATAAGTATACTTATTAGTTTTTCATCAAAAACACTTATTTTTAAGTAAACTTATTTTTAATCAATTCGTAAGCGTTGTCTCGTCGTTGCTGTGATCGTCGAACTGACTCAATAAGTAGCCAGTTATGTGCTTGATCAATATTTTGATGAGACATGCATTTAAATGAGCAAATTGAGCGCCTGTAACCACTTTATTTTGGTACTTTTAGGATGCGATAAGAAGAATCTTATATTTTCAGAATTTCTCTGTTCCGATGTGCTCCGTAAAAGTATTTATTCAGATGGGATTTTATTTTTAGGTTCCATCGCGCCTAGTACCATACAGTCCATACGTATAAATTATGATCGATGATACTGACTGAGAGAATACGTATACATAATACGCGAGCGGTAGGGTGCGGCCCGACTGCAGCGCATTATTATGACAATTGCTTGGGTGTGATTCGCGCCACATGCCAATTCGTCAAAGCGTCGTGGCGTTGCTCTCTTTTCGATTCGTCCGACGCCGAAACGTCTCGCTCTGTTCGCGCGAGCTTTGTCAGATCGTTTCTTTTTCTTTTTCTTTTTTTTTGTTTGCTTCACATTTCTCAACCCGAGAGCACACATGTGCGCGCACTGCTGTTGCTCTCGAGCTTCGGAAAGAAAGAGAGCCTGCACGCCTCGGCGTAAGTAAATATTGCTACCTTTGTGATGCACTCCACCATAACGCACCATGCACATCGCTAAATTTATCTCTTTTCTCTTTAGCTCATTTTTATGCGCATGGGCTTTTTCTCCTCGGGCCCATGCATCAGTCGTGAAACGCACAGGCGCATATGCTGAAGCACGCACTCGATCTTTTTTTTTTCTAGCCAAGCCAGAGAGTATTTTTGAGATTTTTCTCTTTTGGGCTGAAAAAAATTGCACTTTCGCAGGCCGCGAAGCGCGTCGGTTCCTTTCTTTCTGGCTATTCCGCTGTGGCCTGGCCTGCCCCCCTGCGTCGACAGCGGTCTACTTAATTTCTAATTGCCCAAGGATAAGTGCGGCTACTCTGTGGTGTATTACCTTGACTTGTCCACAGGCTCGTCTATTGGCAATCAGCGTTGATTTTATGGAGAACGACTAATCAATAAAAATTGTTAAAATTGTCAAAATCGGATACTAAACGCTATAGACACATTAAAATGTATGATATGCAGAGAGCTTTGATGGAGTTTCAATGAAAGTTGCGAGCAAAAAACGACTCTGGTCGTTTTCTTTCGCTGCTCCAAAGACCATTTAATTAGGTTAAAACAACAGCAATTAAATGCTCGCTTCGTAACATAATGGCCAAGATCGCACG